AAGTAACTCAGACAAGTAACTCAGACAAGTGACTCAGACAAGTAACTCAGACAAGTGACTCAGACAAGTGACTCAAACAAGTAACTCAGACAAGTAACACAGACAAGTAACTCAGACAAGTAACTCAGACAAGTGACTCAGACAAGTAACACAGACAAGTGACTCAGACAAGTAACTCAGACAAGTAACTCAGACAAGTAACACAGACAAGTAACTCAGACAAGTAACTCAGACAAGTAACTCAGACAAGTAACTCAGACAAGTGAGACAGACAAGTAACTCAGACAAGTAACTCAGACAAGTAACACAGACAAGTGACTCAGACAAGTAACTCAGACAAGTAACTCAGACAAGTGACTCAGACAAGTAACTCAGACAAGTGACTCAGACAAGTGACTCAAACAAGTAACTCAGACAAGTAACACAGACAAGTAACTCAGACAAGTAACTCAGACAAGTGACTCAGACAAGTAACACAGACAAGTGACTCAGACAAGTAACTCAGACAAGTAACTCAGACAAGTGACTCAGACAAGTAACACAGACAAGTAACTCAGACAAGTGACTCAGACAAGTGACACAGACAAGTAACTCAGACAAGTAACTCAGACAAGTAACTCAGACAAGTAACTCAGACAAGTAACTCAGACAAGTGACTCAGACAAGTAACTCAGACAAGTAACACAGACAAGTGACACAGACAAGTAACTCAGACAAGTAACTCAGACAAGTAACACAGACAAGTGACACAGACAAGTAACTCAGACAAGTAACTCAGACAAGTAACTCAGACAAGTAACACAGACAAGTGACTCAGACAAGTAACTCAGACAAATAACTCAGACAAGTAACTCAGACAAGTAACACAGACAAGTAACTCAGACAAGTAACTCAGACAAGTGAGACAGACAAGTGACACAGACAAGTAACTCAGACAAGTAACTCAGACAAGTGACTCAGACAAGTAACTCAGACAAGTAACTCAGACAAGTAACTCAGACAAGTAACACAGACAAGTAACTCAGACAAGTAACTCAGACAAGTAACTCAGACAAGTGAGACAGACAAGTAACTCAGACAAGTAACTCAGACAAGTAACACAGACAAGTGACTCAGACAAGTAACTCAGACAAGTAACTCAGACAAGTGACTCAGACAAGTAACTCAGACAAGTGACTCAGACAAGTAACTCAGACAAGTGACTCAGACAAGTAACACAGACAAGTAACTCAGACAAGTGACTCAAACAAGTAACTCAGACAAGTAACACAGACAAGTAACTCAGACAAGTAACTCAGACAAGTGACTCAGACAAGTAACACAGACAAGTGACTCAGACAAGTAACTCAGACAAGTAACTCAGACAAGTGACTCAGACAAGTAACACAGACAAGTAACTCAGACAAGTGACTCAGACAAGTAACTCAGACAAGTAACTCAGACAAGTAACTCAGACAAGTGACACAGACAAGTAACTCAGACAAGTAACTCAGACAAGTAACTCAGACAAGTAACTCAGACAAGTGACACAGACAAGTAACTCAGACAAGTAACACAGACAAGTAACTCAGACAAGTAACTCAGACAAGTAACTCAGACAAGTAACTCAGACAAGTGACACAGACAAGTGACTCAGACAAGTGACACAGACAAGTAACTCAGACAAGTAACTCAGACAAGTGACTCAGACAAGTAACTCAGACAAGTAACACAGACAAGTGACTCAGACAAGTATCTCAGACAAGTAACTCAGACAAGTGACACAGACAAGTGACACAGACAAGTAACTCAGACAAGTGACTCAGACAAGTAACTCAGACAAGTAACACAGACAAGTAACACAGACAAGTAACTCAGACAAGTAACTCAGACAAGTAACACAGACAAGTGACACAGACAAGTAACTCAGACAAGTAACTCAGACAAGTAACTCAGACAAGTAACACAGACAAGTGACACAGACAAGTGACACAGACAAGTAACACAGACAAGTAACACAGACAAGTAACTCAGACAAGTGACTCAGACAAGTAACACAGACAAGTAACACAGACAAGTGACTGAGACAAGTAACTCAGACAAGTAACTCAGACAAGTAGCTCAGACAAGTAACACAGACAAGTGACACAGACAAGTAACTCAGACAAGTAACACAGACAAGTGACACAGACAAGTATCTCAGACAAGTAACTCAGACAAGTGACACAGACAAGTGACACAGACAAGTAACTCAGACAAGTGACTCAGACAAGTAACTCAGACAAGTAACACAGACAAGTAACACAGACAAGTAACTCAGACAAGTAACTCAGACAAGTAACACAGACAAGTGACACAGACAAGTAACTCAGACAAGTAACTCAGACAAGTAACTCAGACAAGTAACACAGACAAGTGACACAGACAAGTGACACAGACAAGTAACTCAGACAAGTAACACAGACAAGTAACTCCGACAAGTAACTCAGACAAGTGACTCAGACAATTAACTCAGACAAGTAACACAGACAAGTAACACAGACAAGTAACTCAGACAAGTAACACAGACAAGTAACTCAGACAAGTAACTCAGACAAGTAACTCAGACAAGTAACTCAGACAAGTGACACAGACAAGTAACTCAGACAAGTAACACAGACAAGTGACACAGACAAGTAGCTCAGACAAGTGACACAGACAAGTAACTCAGACAAGTAACACAGACAAGTGACACAGACAAATAACTCAGACAAGTAACTCAGACAAGTAGCACAGACAAGTAACTCAGACAAGTGACACAGACAAGTGACACAGACAAGTAACACAGACAAGTAACTCAGACAAGTAACTCAGACAAGTGACACAGACAAGTGACTCAGACAAGTAACACAGACAAGTAACACAGACAAGTAAATCAGACAAGTGACTCAGACAAGTGACTCAGACAAGTAACTCAGACAAGTAACTCAGACAAGTAACTCAGACAAGTAACTCAGACAAGTAACTCAGACAAGTAACTCAGACAAGTAACTCAGACAAGTAACTCAGACAAGTAACACAGACAAGTAACTCAGACAAGTAACTCAGACAAGTGACTCAGACAAGTAACTCAGACAAGTGACTCAGACAAGTGACTCAGACAAGTAACACAGACAATTAACACAGACAAGTAACTCAGACAAGTCACACAGACAAGTAACTCAGACAAGTAACACAGACAAGTAACTCAGACAAGTAACACAGACAAGTCACTCAGACAAGTAACACAGACAAGTCACTCAGACAAGTAACTCAGACAAGTAACTCAGACAAGTAACACAGACAAGTAACTCAGACAAGTGACTCAGACAAGTAACTCAGACAAGTAACACAGACAAGTAACTCAGACAAGTAACTCAGACAAGTGACTCAGACAAGTGACTCAGACAAGTAACTCAGACAAGTAACTCAGACAAGTAACACAGACAAGTAACTCAGACAAGTGACTCAGACAAGTGACTCAGACAAGTAACACAGACAAGTAACTCAGACAAGTAACACAGACAAGTAACTCAGACAAGTAACTTAGACAAGTAACTCAGACAAGTAACTCAGACAAGTAACACAGACAAGTGACTCAGACAAGTAACTCAGACAAGTAACTCAGACAAGTAACTCAGACAAGTGACTCAGACAAGTGACTCAGACAAGTGACTCAGACAAGTAACACAGACAAGTAACTCAGACAAGTAACTCAGACAAGTGACTCAGACAAATGACTCAGACAAGTAACACAGACAAGTAACTCAGACAAGTGACACAGACAAGTAACACAGACAAGTAACTCAGACAAGTAACTCAGACATGTCACACAGACAAGTAACTCAGACATGTCACACAGACAAGTAACACAGACAATTAACACAGACAAGTGACTCAGACAAGTGACACAGACAAGTAACTCAGACAAGTGACTCAGACAAGTGACTCAGACAAGTAACTTAGACAAGTAACTCAGACAAGTAACTCAGACAAGTAACTCAGACAAGTGACTCAGACAAGTAACTCAGACAAGTAACTCAGACAAGTAACTCAGACAAGTAACTCAGACAAGTAACACAGACAAGTGACTCAGACAAGTAACACAGACAAGTAACTCAGACAAGTGACTCAGACAAGTAACACAGACAAGTGACTCAGACAAGTAACACAGACAAGTAACACAGACAAGTGACTCAGACAAGTAACACAGACAAGTAACTCAGACAAGTGACACAGACAAGTAACACAGACAAGTGACACAGACAAGTAACTCAGACAAGTAACACAGACAAGTGACTCAGACAAGTAACACAGACAAGTAACTCAGACAAGTGACACAGACAAGTGATACAGACAAGTGACTCAGACAAGTAACACAGACAAGTAACTCAGACAAGTGACACAGACAAGTAACTCAGACAAGTGACACAGACAAGTAACTCAGACAAGTAACACAGACAAGTGACTCAGACAAGTAACTCAGACAAGTGACACAGACAAGTAACTCATACAAGTAACACAGACAAGTGACTCAGACAAGTAACACAGACAAGTGACTCAGACAAGTAACACAGACAAGTAACACAGTCAAGTAACTGAGACAAGTAACACAGACAAGTGACACAGACAAGTAACTCAGACAAGTAACACAGACAAGTAACACAGACAAGTAACTCAGACAAGTGACACAGACAAGTGACTCAGACAAGTGACACAGACAAGTGACACAGACAAGTAACACAGACAAGTAACACAGACAAGTAACTCAGACAAGTAACACAGACAAGTGACACAGACAAGTAACTCAGACAAGTAACTCAGACAAGTAACTCAGACAAGTAACTCAGACAAGTAACACAGACAAGTGACTCAGACAAGTAACTCAGACAAGTAACACAGACAAGTAACTCAGACAAGTAACTCAGACAAGTGACTCAGACAAGTAACACAGACAAGTGACGTTGTGTGTCTGTGTGCCCCCTCGCCCCTGTGTTGTGCAGGCGCTCATGTCGCTGTTCGTGATGGCCTCGCGCGACGGCTGGGTGGACATCATGTACAACGGCCTCGACTCCGTGGGGGTCAACCAGCAGGTGACCGTTGCCCCTGGACAGCGGCGGCGGCGGCAGCGCCACCGGCGTCACCATCGCGTTGTCGTCACGATCAGCACGGCCATCGTCATCATCATCAGCAGCAGTGATAGTGTCGCTGTCATCGTCATCATCATCATCAGCAGCATCAGTGTCACCGTCATCGTCACTGTCACCATCATCATCAGCAGCGTCAGTGTAGCTGTCATCGTCATCGTCACTGTCATCATCATCAGCAGCGTCAGTGTCACTATCATCGTCATCGTCACTGTCATCAGCATCATCAGCAGCGTCAGTGTCACCGTCATCGTCACTGTCATCATCATCATCAGCAGCGTCAGTGTCACTGTCATTGTCACTGTCATCATCATCAGCAGCGTCAGTGTCACTATCATCGTCACTGTCACCATCATCATCAGCAGCATCAGTGTAGCTGTCATCGTCATCGTCACTGTCATCATCATCATCAGCAACGTCAGTGTCACTATCATCGTCATCGTCACTGTTATCAGCATCATCAGCAGCATCAGTGTCACCGTCATCGTCACTGTCATCGTCACCATCATCAGCAGCGTCAGTGTCGCTATCATTGTCATCGTCACTGTCATCATCATCAGCAGCGTCAGTGTCGCTGTCATCATCACTGTCATCACGGCCATCATCATCATCATCAGCAGCAGTGATAGTGTCTCCATCATCATCACTGTCATCACGGCCATCATCATCAGCAGCGTCAGTGTCGCTATCACCGTCATCGTCACTGTCATCATCATCATCAGCAGCGTCAGTGTCGCCGTCATCGTCACTGTCACCATCATCATCAGCAGCGTCAGTGTCACTGTCATCGTCACTGTCATCATCATCAGCAGCGTCAGTGTCACTGTCATCGTCATCGTCACTATCATCATCATCAGCAGCGTCAGTGTCACTATCATCATCATCGTCACTGCCACCATCATCATCAGCTGCGTCAGTATCACTGTCAACGTCACTGTCACCATCATCAGCAGCGTCAGTATCACTGTCATCGTCACTGTCATCATCATCAGCAGCGTCAGTATCGCTGCAATCATGGGTGACGTCATTGTCGAAATCATCACTATCATCGTCGCCGCCATTTTAACTACTAGCATCACCACCACAGCCAGTGGCTATAAAGCTCTCTCTCTCTCTACTCATCATCCTCACTCCTCTCGCTACTCATCATCCTCACTCTCGCTACTCATCATCCTCACTCCTCTCTCTACTCATCATCCTCACTCTACTCACTACTCACCATCCTCACTCCTCTCGCTACTCATCATCTTCACTCTCACTACTCATCATCCTCACTCCTCTCCCTACTCATCATCCTCACTCCTCTCACTACTCATCATCCTGACTCCTCTCTCTACTCATCATCCTCACTCTCGTTACTCATCATCCTCACTCTCGCTACTCATCATCCTGACTCCTCTCGCTACTCATCATCCTCACTCTCGCTACTCATCATCCTCACTCCTCTCGCTACTCATCATCCTCACTCCTCTCGCTACTCATCATCCTCACTCCTCTCTCTACTCATCATCCTCACTCTCACTACTCATCATCCTCACTCCTCTCACTACTCATCATCCTGACTCCTCTCGCTACTCATCATCCTCACTCTCGCTACTCATCATCCTCACTCTCGCTACTCATCATTCTCACTCCTCTCGCTACTCATCATCCTCACTCCTCTCGCTACTCATCATCCTCACTCTCACTACTCATCATCCTCACTCCTCTCCCTACTCATCATCCTCACTCCTCTCTCTACTCATCATCCTCACTCTCTCTACTCATCATCCTCACTCCTCTCGCTACTCATCATCCTCACTCCTCTCGCTACTCATCATCCTCACTCCTCTCTCTACTCATCATCCTCACTCCTCTCGCTACTCATCATCCTCACTCTCGCTACTCATCATCCTCACTCCTCTCACTACGCACCATCCTCACTCCTCTCACTACTCACCATCCTCACTCCTCTCGCTACTCATCATCCTCACTCCTCTCGCTACTCATCATCCTCACTCTCACTACTCATCATCCTCACTCCTCTCGCTACTCATCATCCTCACTCCTCTCTCTACTCATCATCCTCACTCCTCTCTCTACTCATCATCCTCACTCTCTCTACTCATCATCCTCACTCCTCTCGCTACTCATCATCCTCACTCCTCTCGCTACTCATCATCCTCACTCCTCTCCCTACTCATCATCCTCACTCCTCTCGCTACTCATCATCCTGACTCCTCTCGCTACTCATCATCCTCACTCTCGCTACTCATCATCCTCACTCTCGCTACTCATCATCCTCACTCCTCTCGCTACTCATCATCCTCACTCCTCTCGCTACTCATCATCCTCACTCTCGCTACTCATCATACTCACTCTCGCTACTCATCATTCTCACTCCTCTCGCTACTCATCATCCTCACTCCTCTCACTACTCATCATCCTCACTCCTCTCCCTACTCATCATCCTCACTCCTCTCGCTACTCATCATCCTCACTCCTCTCCCTACTCATCATCCTCACTCCTCTCGCTACTCATCATCCTCACTCTCGCTACTCATCATCCTCACTCTCGCTACTCATCATCCTCACTCCTCTCGCTACTCATCATCCTCACTCCTCTCTCTACTCATCATCCTCACTCCTCTCGCTACTCATCATCCTCACTCTCACTACTCATCATCCTGACTCCTCTCACTACTCATCATCCTCACTCCTCTCACTACTCATCATCCTCACTCTCGCTACTCATCATTCTCACTCCTCTCTCTACTCATCATCCTCACTCTCGCTACTCATCATCCTCACTCCTCTCGCTCCTCATCATCCTCACTCCTCTCACTACTCACCATCCTCACTCTCGCTACTCATCATCCTCACTCTCACTACTCATCATCCTCACTCCTCTCGCTACTCATCATCCTCACTCCTCTCGCTACTCATCATCCTCACTCCTCTCGCTACTCATCATCCTCACTCCTCTCCCTTATGACCCCCCCTCTCTCCTGACTCCTACTCACTTCTCATTCATCTTCCTCCAATCTCCTCCTCCTCCCTCCTTCTGACTCCCCCAACACCTCCCGCCATCACTCCCTTTCATCCCCCATCATCTCTCCGCCTCTTCCTCCACAACCACCACCACCATCATCTCCTCCTCCCTCCTATTCCCCCTCCACCCTCTCCCCCCTCCTCTCCCCCCCCCCTCCTATCCCCTCCCCCCCTCCTTCTCCCCCACCACCTCCTTCTCCTCCACGACCATCACCATCTCCTCTTCCCCCCCTCCTCCCTCTCCCCCCCTCCCCCACCTCCTCCTCCACCACCATAATCTCCCGCTCCCTCCTATTCCCCCTCCCCCCTCGTCCTCCCCCCCCTCCTCCTCAACGACCACCATCATCATCTCCTTCTCCTCCCCCTCCTGCACGACCATCATCAATTTCCTCCTCCCCCCCCCACCCTCCCGGACCTCAGCCGAGGCAGAACCACAACCCCTGGATGCTCCTCTACTTCATCTCGTTCCTGCTCATCGTCGGCTTCTTCGTGCTCAACATGTTCGTCGGCGTGGTGGTGGAGAACTTCCACAAGTGCCGGCAGCAGCAGGAGGAAGAGGAGACCAAGCGCAGGGAGGACAGGCGGCAGCAGCGGCTCGAGAAGAAAAGGCGCAGTAAGGAAACCTGGCGCAATGGTCGGTACACCCCGTCAAGTGAGACCTTCCTGAGTCCGCCCCATCGCCAAATCAGTAGTGGGCCTGCCTCTCTCCCTTCCTCTACTCCATCCCTCCCTCTCTCTCTCTGCCATCCCACCGCTGGACCGGTCGATGGCCGATCCCGTTCCACCGCCAGATCCTCCGCCACAGCCGTCGTTGCGGTCGAGTGGAAATCCGCGGCAGTTCTTAGGTTGTTTTATATCCCGTTATACAGATGCGTAAGTCACGGGAGTCATCGGTGACGGACGATGCCGGAGAGGTTGTTGACGACGACTGTACGTGGTGGTTGTTGTTGTTGTTGACGACGTTGTTGTTGTTAGCGATAGTTGTTCCGAAAGGGGGGGGGGGGGGGGGCTTGTTATTTCAGCAAGCGCTCGGAGTGTGACGGTCGGCACATTGCCAACGCTCGCCCGGAGCTCTCCTGTTGAAGTCCGTCTCTCGGACGTGGCAGTTATGAACAACCGCCCTCCCCCCACCAACAACGACAGTCGCCATTGAGCCACTAAGCGGCAGTGACGTCAGCACGGCGCCTGTGCCAGGCCATGTGCACTTGAAGGCCACGTGAAGTGTCGAACGCCCGCTGGCAGGAGGCCACAGACAGACCCAGGTCCCATGGGTTGACTGACTGAGATGACTGGCCGATGCACCAGCACCACCGCCATCACCGCCGCCACCACCACCACCATCACCGCCATCACCGCCACTGCCACCACTACCACCGCCACCTACAACAACAACAACAACAACCGCCATTCGCCATAAAGTGGCGGTGATGTCACCACGACGCTTGTACCAGGCTATGTGCACCTTGAGGCCACGTGAAGTGTCGCTACCTAAACTACCACCGTTACCGCCACTACCACCGCCACCATCAGACAGTACAAGTGGGAGTGACAGTGCAAGCATGACAGTGCAACAGAGACACTGACAGCCCACACGAGACATAGACATCAACCAATCCAGTAGAGACAATTGAGAAATTATAAACGAGTCAACAACGACGAGCAGGAGCGCCGTCCAGGAGCTGAACCGGGTCCTCTGTGACCCCGCCGGTACACCGGGGCGACTTAACAACTTCCCGCAGATTTCCATTGGCGCTGGCAAATGACGACGGTGGCGATGGCGACGCTTTCGCGGAGCTAACGAGGTGAGGCAAAACGCAAAGCCTTTTTTTCCTGGCCCGAAACGCGGCGGCCTCGAGGACGACGTCGACGCGACGTCAGTGTCTGCCAGGGTCCCCCGGCGGTAAGAAGGAGGCCTTACCGCCGGCGGTCTCGCGGCTTGCCCCCACCCGTCGCCAACATTCTGCGCGACGTTTCATCCGCCTGTAGCTCGCCGGCCGTAGAACTAACGCATGCACGCACACGCACGCACGTAGCGCGCTCACACGTAGCGTGCTCACACGTAGCGTGCTCACACGCAGCGTGCTCACACGCAGCGCGCTCACACGCAGCGTAGAGCTCACACGCTGCGTGCTCACACGCAGCGTGCTCACACGCAGCGTGCTCACACGCAGCGTGCTCACACGCAGCGTGCTCACACGCAGCATAGTGCTCACACGCAGCATAGTGCTCACACGTAACGAGAGAGTCGCCGACACTCGGTGCTGTGCCGCGGGTTACGTCCGTAACGTCGCCGTGCGTGCGCGCGTGGCCTTTGAAACCAGATGGGGGAGCGCGGTGGTGCAGCGCCCCAAGGCAGACCTTGTCGACGGTTCCCCGACCCGCACCGTGCCGCACAGAGACAGCTGCCATTGGCGATGGGGGTGTGTGTGGGGGGGGGGGGTTCCCTTGGCCTAGACTGCATCGGGGGCGTTGGATCGGTCGACGTGAGGTGCGTCGGAGGCACGGCCGTCCAGATGGTGGCGTGCCGGGCCGGGCCAATCCAACCCCGAGGCCTTCAAACCAAAGCGGGGGCATTACCGCTGACAACCCCCCAAAGTGCGGGGCCCGGGGCAGTCGCCACGGCTCGCCATCTGCCCTAGGGACGGCTCTGCGTGTAAGGCACCGAGATGTTTTTTACCTGCCAGGCAAGGCCCCGCCGAGCTCTTGTTCAGGCGCGGTGACCTCACGAGGGAAGAGGTCGGTGTGGGTGGCAGGCAATGCTAACGGCTCAGCCCTGCATTAGGTCGCTCTCTCGCCCCACTGCTGACGGAAGCGACTTCCCCAGAGCGGACTCTCGGCCAATTTCCTCCGGCCGTGTTCCATGTTGGAACAAAAAATAAAAGAACCATCCCCACTATATAGGATTATAGAGCTCGGGCAATTGCTGGTGGCGCCCCGTATCAGGGCTGCCCCCTTGCCCCTTCGCCCGTGGCCTTCTGTGCCTCTCCACGCACGGAAGCTGCTTCGCGGAGTTGCAACTTGGAGCGGCATTTTTTTTTCTTCCGATCGGCGATGAATCTCGAACAGGTGACGGCCGTGCGGTAACGACGGAGAAAGAAAACACCGTGTGGACGTTATCGTCATCTTCTTTTGTTGAAATTTCTGTTGTCTCCTCCCTCCCCCACCACCACCCCAGTGTCGCTGCTTGCAGCCGAACAAAACCAGATGCTTGTGAGAATTATGGCAAATAAGTATCTGAGCAAAGGTATAGAAGGTTCCTTTTCTTCCGCTCATTTTGTGTTCCACGAACGTGGTTTAACTTTGCCTGCTCTCCCGTGTTTGGCTACTAAAATGCTAACACAACTCTAACAAACTGAACGATAACACAACTTTAACACGTGGGCTTTCGCCACCAATGTTAACCAACATAATTGATCCCCCTTCTATTTAAGACCGAAACAGGAGGAGGATTTATCCACAACTCTCTGGTTGTTCGCCTTACGATGCTGCTGCTAGCTGGTGTTGTTGCTGTAATCACCAGCGAAACGTCACAGTACTCGAATTGTAAATGTTGTAGTGGGTTTACTACACTATACACTACACTATACACTACACTATACACTGCACTATACACTGCACTATACACTCCACTATACACTGCACTATACACTGCACTATACACTATACTATACACTGCACTATACACTGCACTATACACTGCACTATACACTACACTATACACTACACTATACACTACACTATACACTGCACTCTACACTGCACTATACACTACTATACACTACACTATAGACTACACTATACACTGCACTATACACTGCACTATACACTGCACTACACACTACACTACACACTACACTATACACTACACTATACACTACACTATATACAACACTATATACTACACTATACACTACACTATATACTACACTATACACTACACTATTATTTTAAATGTTGTAGTGGGTAGAACGTCAACATTATACAAATCTACAGCACACAACCAGTGTGTGCTGTACTACTATACTTAAAAGCCTCCATACCTATATAGAGAGCTGCAGACTCACCCCTAAACCCATAGACTCGCATAGAAACTCATAGACGAAGAGATGCGGACACTCATTGTCTCATAAATACACCCATGGACTTACATTTCCCTTCTTGTACCAGGGCCCAGGCCAACCACCCTTTGCCACCTCTAAACTCCAAAAGAACAGGGAACATGAGTACATAGGGTGCCACGGTGGCTAGGAGATGTTAACTACCTCGCCTGGTATACAGGAGGTCGTGGGTTCGATCCTGATTCTGACGCCTGCTGTATAATTTGAGTTTATACAGCAGGTCACGTGGATTTTTCTCCAGGTCCTTCTTCCGGTTTTTCCCTCCACATTTAGAAACATCCGTTTAGGGTGTTGGGCTGCTATACATTTTCACGTGATGATAAGCCACTTCGTCGAGCTCGCGTTTGTGGTCATGTCACTTCTGAAACAGAGCTACATGGCTCAGTGGGCCTTACTTGGTAAAATAAAATAAAACGTTACTTTTTAAAATATATTATGTTGAACTTCTTTCGCATCGTAAGTAGCCAACTGTCGCTAATCGGCGGTGTGGGGCAGAAGAAGATCTCTCAATAGTGGGAAAAAAAACTCAAAGCGAAAATAATATAGAGTGGGCAAATATAGAGTGGGAAAAGATTTTGGCAATGGCACCTTCCTCTGAGCACACTTGTTGCCGTGACGGAGGGAAAAAAACGTGAAAACCGTGATGCGTGGGCGCAGGAGAGGCCCCACGTGATCCTTAGAGGGCCCCACGTGATCCTTATAGGACCTTACGTGTCCCTTAGAAGGTCCCACGTGATCCTTAAAGGGACCCGCGTGATATTTAGGACCCAACGCGTGATCCTTACGGCGCGAAAGAAGATCAACGCACGCACATGCGTACAGCACAATGCATACCCCAGGTGTGAGCATTGAAGAGTGTGCAGTGTTTACAAAAACCAGCACAACAATTTATGCCCACGGGCACACCACGGGCGTAGGGGAGTAGAGCCAAGCACACAGCGATGAATGGGAAAAGAGGACCGAGAGAGGGAAGACAGAAGAGAGGGAAATGAGTTAAAGGTTGGAATAGGAGAGAGGGGAATGAGAGTTGAAGGTTGGAACGGAAGAGAGGAGAGAGAAGAGAGGGGAATGAGAGTTAAAGGAGAGGTAAGGGGAATGAGAGTTAAAGGTTGGGAGGCAGAACGGAGAAACGGGAGCAAAGAATCAGGAGAGATGAAGATGGGAAAGTTAGAGGCTGTATCGGAGCCTCTGCTGCTGCTGCACAGAGCCGAGTCTGTCTTCAAAGTGGGTGGCGACGGAGAGGGGGAGGGGGGGGGAGGGATTCAGAGTGGGGGTGGCCAACACTGAAGCCGCGTGGCTCACGGGGAGGAGGCTTTGAGCTGATTTATTAGCTCGTTCATGACTTCGTGAGGGGGATGCTGCGTCGACTTTACCACGCGAAAAAGACCCCGGTTGTGCTCGGCATTGCGCGAAAATCGGAAGGGAAAATAAATCTCCCGAACACAGCACAAAAGCCCCTCCCCCCCACCCCCGATCCGCATCGCCGGTTCCCCCGTGCGGTCTCGCGAACGGACGCTGACATTGTGAGGGTCTCTCAGCAGGGACCGAGTGACTCGCGTGACTCACAGTGTGCTTGCTATGAGGGACCAAGTCACTCTGTTCCTCATAGCCAGCGCACCGGGTCACTTGGCCCCTCATAGCAAGCGCACAGCAAGTCACTCAGTCCCTCATAGCCAGGGTACCAGGTCACTTGGTCCCTCATAGCCAGCGCACCGAGTCACTTGGTCCCTCATAATCAGCGCACAGCAAGTCACTTGGCCCCTCATAGGCAGGGTACCAAGTCACTTGGCCCCTCATAGCCAGGGTACCATGTCACTTGGTCTCTCATAGCCAGGGTACCCAGTCACTCTGTCCCTCATAGGCAGGGTACCAAGTCACTTGGTCCCTCATAGGCAGGGTACCGAGTCACTTGGTCCCTCATAGCCAGGGTACCCAGTCACTCTGTCTCTCATAGCCAGGGTACCAAGTCACTTGGTCCCTCATAGCCAGGGTACCCAGTCACTCTGTCCCTCATAGGCAGGGTACCAAGTCACTCGGTCCCTCATAGCCAGGGTACCCAGTCACTCGGTCCCTCATAGCCACTGCACCGTGAGTGCCCATTCATTTTCTTGGCAGTCATTTAAAACTAATAACGTAGAAGTTGTCGTCATTGCCCCTCCGTAATCTTTCCTGTTTCATTTCCTTTCCATTTAACCAAATCCCCCATTCCCGTCGAACACTAACGGACTCAGAAAGATCCACGCGCTCTTTCTTTTATTTCCCCCGTTATGCTTCTGCGGCGCGGTTTTTCGCCGAGCTCCGTCGCTTGCTTTCTCGCGGCCGCGTTGCGTGGAGGCCATTTTGAGATTTTGCCCTGAGGCCTAAAGTCATTGGGCAAAGCCTGCGGCAGTTGCTGCTGGGTTACGCATAACAAAATCATCCATTTGGCGGGCTGTTAAAGGTTGCTTTGTTGGCTAAATCGAGAATTCTGCTCTCGACTTAAGTCGAAGCACCCGCATTTAATGATAAACCCTGGAGAGAGTTCCTGTGATCAGTAATAAGATAAGTTGCCTGATCTAAGAAGGCCATTGAGAGTGTCGAAGGATCCTTCCTCTGGTGCTTTCCCAGTAAAAGTGCAACGTTGAGCCAACATTTGGATAACGTTCAAACAACGCTGGCTCAATGTTTGCATGTTTACTGATTTGTGGCCTAAGAAAGTAGTTGAATTCAAAGCTATTCAATGCACCTCCTTCTTCATGACAAAACTCACATGGCCGCCGGCACCCGACGCGATTTGCCCGGTGTCCGATTTTTGCTCAAACTCGGGGTCATCTTGTGGTCCGTAAGGGCCAGGGACGAGGTATCGTGGAGAGAGGAGAAAAACAAACTCCCAATAGCAAGAAGAGGGCAAGCCCCCCTTTGCGCGTAGACGCATGGGTTTTAAGTGATGCAAGATTCCAGGTTTTAAGATATTTTTATTTGTTTTTGGCAAACTCGAGAAACCTGCCGGTAAACATTGAACGTGCCAACGTTGGCCCAATGTTGCGTGTGTTTGCTGGACCGGGCCAGAGGACGTACACACATTGAACTCCTTTCGCACCATACCTCGCCGACCGTGCTAAACCGTGCAATTCGGATCATCGACAACATTGCCCAGAATTACTTTTTTTGTGCACGTTGTCGCGTTTTTTTGTCGACTCATTACCGTTATTGTAGCCGCCAGAAAAAAACTAAATCGCGAGACTCTTTAACGAGACCGACGGATCTCACCCAGGATAGTCTGCTGTCTCAACAACAAGAGAAATGATCTTGGACAATATAACTAAATTGAGACAGGTGGAGGCAACATCTAAGCCCCCTAAATAGTTTTCACGTCAACAGCAATGCCCCCCCCCGCCTCTCTACTGTTTCAAACTCAATGAGCCGGCTGTCATTGAGCGGGGTGACCACCCCCCCCCCCCCCCCCAAGTTGCATGGCAAAAAAATCGGATGCTCGTGCATTTCGCATGTAGTTGTAGTGATTGCGGGCGCATGTGTATTGCTGTTGCAGCAGTTGTGTGTGTGCGTGGTGTGTGGTTTATGTCGTATGTACGTACACACTCGGATGCTGTTTCAACGGTTAACTCTCAATTATCCGGCGGGGAGGTAAGCCAGGCTGGTCCACTAACAACGAATATGCGGACACATGCAAGATGTTCGTAAATCGGGGCACAAAATGCATTCGTTTTGCTTGGCTTCGATAGAACCAGGGGCGGGGGTGGTGATAACGACGCGTAAATGTGTCCGTTGCTTCTTGGAGTTGGTTGGATCACTCGCCCACGTGACCCCCCGGCAACAACGTCAGACCACGTGATCACGGTCTGTCCCAAATGTGCGTCATCGTTGAGAAGAATCCACCACCCTACAATGGTGAAACGAATTAAATCGTCACGTTTTGTCGTAAGCGTTTAAACGACGCACCGACGACGATTATTACAATAATTTCACTTAATAAAGGGGGTTTATTTTTGGGTTAAACCGCGTAAATATAGATGTGTTGTTAAACCCGCCCATCACCCAACACAGCCAATTAGTAAAGGGTGTGTCACGTCAACAAAACACATGCCAATTCGTTACAAGTTCAGTACACACCGGTGTGTTGGAGAGTAAGCCCACGATATTTATATTCACGCGATCTAACCCGAAAAAAAAACCTTATGGATAATATTGGTCGCGAAAGCCTACCGGGTGTTAAACTTAATTTACTGACTTCTGGGACTCTGCCCTGCAGGTGCACGATGCAGTATCAAGCGAAACACCGCGCGTGCGTGCGTGCGTATGTATATCTACTGCCGCCACATTCGGCCACGCGAATTGTCTCCTTCAACGACGGACACACATTTGGCCCGGTTGCAATGACGCACGCGGTGGCCCGAGCCCGAGAATGTAAACTGCGACTCAATCGGCGCCCTGGAATTATAACCCCCACCCAACGCGGATAATCGAGTGTTAAACCGTGAAACTCTCCTCTCTGCAGCGTATCAGAATGTCAGGATATGCAGACTGCTCTCGTGTTAACCGGACGGTGGTAGCGGCGGCGACTCCGCACGGCCTCCCCAGTCCAGCGTGGCGGAGGTGGCGAGGGTTGGTGGATCACGAGCCGATATTGGGAAAGTTCCCCTTCCCTGTGTTGGGTCTCATGGGAGGAGGCAGTCGAGCAACGTGTGGACCAACCTCCATCTGTTCCTTCTGTGCGGGTATAGAGCGTTGCCCCCCTCCTCCCTCGCCTCTCACGCAAGGCATGGGGTTTTCTGCGGGTGCTCCGCTTCCCTGCCGCGTGAATGATAAATATAAACGCAGCTCATCATAGACTTGTCGAAAAAAAACATCGTTAAAATCTAGACCCAATGCAGCAGGACCCTCTTAAAAAGGAGTCCTTGGGCTGATTGTGGCTTTCCTTGATACACAATTAATCATTGTCATGTTAAATTGGCCTCGCAGCACAGTCTGTCATTTCAGTATGAAGTAACGTTGCCTCTCTGCCGCCAATTCCTATCGGCAGCCCGCCACCACCCCTCTTCTCCCCCGATGGCCAAGAGTGTCGATTCCACGTTAGCGTGCCGGGTGCCAGCGGGGCCCACGTAACTAGCACGAATGTTTGACCAGCGCGCCAAAGTGGCCGTCGTTTTGGCTGACCGCCTCCGCCGGAGACAGTGGGCCGATTTAGAGGAATTCGATTCAAGTTTCCCCAATTTTTAAGCGTCCCCGATGCACTTGCGGTGTGACTTGAGGCGCGAAAGCAGGCCGCAATACCGCCGATGTTCTGCTACGCCGGAATGTTTCACGCAGTCACGGGTGAAGGAATAAATGGACCGAGTGCTCAGTGTATCTCTGCATTTATTTATTGTGCCAATGCGATTGCCGCACCTAATCGGTTAAGATCCGTCGAGTGTTTTTATTGTTGTGCAAACTATGGGGTGTCCCGTAAGTCTGGAGTCTGAGGGAAAACACAGCTCTCTGTTATTGGGTCGCGGTCCGGATGCAGTCTGTTAAATTCAAGTGACCTCCCTCTGACTCCGATTTCCTACGAGTAGAATTATCTGGACTCGTTCTTCCTTACTCAGAGACATAATGGACCTGCAGAAACAAAAAAATATATGAATTAGTTTTTTTTTTCCATATGATTCCAGACTTATGGGCCACACTGTATAACCACTCGCAGGGCTCTTGATCAATCCGCTGCTGGATGGAGGCCTTCCCGAGGCACGGCCGTCGTAGTGGAGGTCGTTTGACCGTACTTCACCACGCTGGTCAGTGCGGGCTGTGTGAAGGGGTGGGGTTTGGGGGGGAGGGTGCCCCGGGAGCGGTTTCGGATCGACCACGCTCATCGGCAACACGGAAGACAGCCTCCTCCATCCAGCAGTGGATAGATCGCGGCGACGATTGAAAGTCCCTAGCAACATTGTGACGTCGTTGCGACGTCGCACGCCGTCGCTCAGTTAACTCATCCGGGCCCAACGTTCCGTGACGTATGACGTTGCACCCCCCCCCCCACCGCATCGCCCCCACCCCTTCCCCCCCACCTCCCCCTCACCACCTCCCCTCCCCCCTCACCTCCCCCACTACCCCCACCACCTCCCTGCAGAGGCCCAGCGCCAGCCGTACTGGGCCAGTTACTCACGCCCGCGCCTGCTCATCCACAAGATGTGCACCGCCCACTACCTGGACCTCTTCATCTCCATCATCATCGGCCTCAACGTCGTCACCATGTCCATCGAGCACTACGCACAGCCCAAGGTGCGGGGCGGTGGGGTTAAGCGGGGGGTTGGGACTGTTCCCTTTTCGTGATCTTGTGGCGGAGATGTTAACGACCTCACCTCGTATGCAGGAGGTCGTGGCTTCGTTCCCCACCCTGACGCCTGTTTTATATTTGGAGTTTGCGTGTCTCTCTCCCCTTGGCCGCGTGGGTTTTTCTCCAGGTCCTCTGCTTTCTCCCTCCGCATTTAAAATCACTGCGATAAGCCACTTTGTTGAGCTATCATTTGTGGCCAGGTTGCTTCTGATAAAGAACTACATAGCTCGGTGGGGCCTGACCTGGTAAAAAATAAAAAAATGGTTTTCATTTCATTGTGGCTGCCTGCGACGCAGCGCTACTGTGGAGGCAATGGCGAGGGTTGGTGTAATCATCGCCATGCCCGTGTCCTTTCACACGTGTGTGTGGTTGTGTCGACTCAGCCTCAAATGAGTACCTGGCGCGGTGTGTAAACATCGCCACTAGGGAGACAAAGGCGGCCGGCCTTCTTAGGTGCGACGACTCGCCGGCAGCGCCTGGCCCCAACAGACTCTTACAGGCTGCACGGCGGGTGGGTGGCCGGGGTCTCTTTGTCTTCGTCCCCTTGTGGGGTCCCCGCAGGCTCTGGACCGGGCCCTCAAGTACTGCAACTACGTCTTCACCGTTGTCTTCGTGCTCGAGGCCGTGCTCAAGCTCATCGCCCTCGGCTTTCGGCGGTTTTTCAAGGAGAGGTACGGAGTGTCCGCCGACGTGACCAGTTGCGCGTCTGCATGTTGCTGCGCGTGTGAGTGCGTGTGTTGGTACGTGTGTGTGTGAGAGTGTGCGTGCGTGTGCGTGCGTGTGCGTGCGTGTGTGGGTGTGTGAGAGTGTGCATGCGTGCGTGCGTGTGCGTGCGTGTGCGTTCCACAGTCGGTTATAATCGTTGCACTCGCACTGCCCGAGCGTTTGTGCGGCACTAACGGCCAGGGTGTAGGATCAGTTGGCGGGAGTGGCGACGCACGACCCGGGCTAGACGATGCGGGTGATGTGTCTTGCGCGGATGTGCGGCGAGGTGACGCGCCAGCCAGCCAGCCAGCAAACCTCTTATCACATTTATATATATATATCAACTGTGATGAAATCTAAGAACATGTTTTACCCTTTCTGGCAATAAAACGGGACTTGTGTTAAGATGTTCAAGCGCCAACTAGATGATGAAACCTTTTGCATCAAGTTACTGCATTAACCGCACACACTACTTGTGGACAAACACGCAAACAACACGTGGCTCTGGTAATTCACTATGTAACACGATTTTTGTTCCTGGGTAGTGTTATTTTCTAAATGCGTATGCCTCAAAAGTATATAAAATGGCTATCATTCCCCACAAACTTTGCTCTTGTGACTAGGAATTTGTGTGAAGGAATGACACAAATGCACACCACGTTTTCTCATTGAGAATAGGTAAATTTCTAAATATCAATGTCCTGGTCAGAAAAGCAAAGTTTGTGGGGAATAGCCATTTGCTGTACTTTTGAGGCATAAGCAATTAGGAAATAATACTTACTACCCAGGAACAAAAAATAAATACGTTTCTTACACAGTCATAATCTATGATGCATTGTCTTTGAAACTGATTGGCCAACACCAGAGACAGTGGCCTTCTTTACGGCCTCGTCTCACCACCAGACCAGCGAAAAACGCAAAAATGCGAACAGTACAGATACAATGCAAGTATCAGAATACTTTTAACCCGGGTCGAGCAGCTATATCTATGGGATACATTTTTGCCAGTATCGAAAATGACTTGATGCCATGCAAAATGTATCATCTTTTTGGTGTTTGAACATCTTAACACAGCTTCCGTTTCATTGCCAGAAAGGGGTAAAACCCATCCTTAGTTTTCATCATTTTGGATACTGCCAAAAAGGTCCCCCATAGACCGATAGGGTAGGATAATTTGTGACAAACACGGTCTATCCCTGCTCCCACCCCCTCTACCCTCCCACTCCCCATCTCCTGCCCCCCACCCCTCTCGCCCCCCCCCCCACTCCCCTGACGCGCCCTGCGGTGCCTGCCAGGTGGAACCAGCTGGACGTGGCCATCGTCCTTCTGTCCATCATGGGCATCACGCTGGAGGAGATTGAGATCAACGCCTCGCTGCCCATCAACCCGACCATCATCCGCATCATGAGGGTGCTGCGCATCGCCCGGGGTACTCACGCCCGCCCGGCCTCCCGCCCCTCCGGCCCCTCCGGCCCCCCGGCCCCCCGGCCCGATCCCCGTTGTGCCCGATCCCGTGGAGGACGCAAGCCGAGCGACGTGGTGGCGTTGGGACTCGCCGCCCCCCGGGCGTTCATCCGGTCACCGCGCGTAGATTGCGCTCCGCGCCTTCGCCGGTGCTGTTTGTTTGCTGCCTGCTTGTTGTTGTTGTTGTTGTTTGAGTCCCCCCCTTCCTTCTCCGTCTCCCCCTCTCTGCTGGGCCAGTGCTCAAGCTGCTGAAGATGGCGACGGGGATGCGAGCGCTACTCGACACCGTCATGCAAGCCCTGCCGCAGGTGGGGTGCCACGTCCCCCCCGTCCGACTCATCTTCTTGTCCAACCCAGACCAGTGAAGCTTCCCCGCCTAGGTGCAAGTAACGGGCGCAATCGTCACTTTTCCATGATGTAAACTATAAACTGTATTACATGGTTATTTTGGTAGGCACGTAGATAGAAAAATAATAACAATAATAAAATAATAAAAATAAAAATAAAACGAATAAAGAATAATAAATTGTCACGACGTTTTGATCGCAACACAAGCGGTCGTCATCAGGAACAGGGAGGTTAGCCTCTGAGGGCAAGCTGTTTATAAAGGTTTAGAGATGGGCGGGGCAGCTCATGTTAATGTAGGAGTGGTCTCTGACACCGGCAGTAGGTTTACACCAATCAAAGTGCTGTTTATAAAGGTTTAGAGATGGGCGGGGCAGCTAATGTTAATGTAGGAGAGGGTTCCGACACCGGCAGTAGGTCTACACCAATCAGAGAGCTGTTTATAAAGGTTTAGAGATGCGCGGGGCAGCTAATGTTAATGTAGGAGAGGTCTCTGACACGGGCAGTAGGTCTACACCACTCCCTTTTAGAGAGTGCTCCTAATCTCAGCGTGTTACCTGTAATAAAGACACCTGCCCCCAGAAGCAATCAATCAATCAGATTCCAAACTCTCCACCATGGCCAAGACCAAAGAGCTCTCCAAGGATGTCAGGGGCAAGATTGTAGACCTACACAAGGCTGGAATGGGCTACAAGACCATTGCCAAGCAGCTTGGTGAGAAGGTGACAACAGTTGGTGCAATTATTCGCAAATGGAAGAAACACAAAAGAACTGTCAATCTCCCTCGGCCTGGGGCTCCATGCAAGATCTCACCTCGTGGAGTTGCAATGATCATGAGAACGGTGAGGAATCAGCCCAGAACTACATGGGAAGATCTTGTCAATGATCTCAAGGCAGCTGGGAACATAGTCACCAAGAAAACAATTGGTAACACACTACGCCGTGAAGGACTGAAATCCTGCAGTGCCCGAAAGGTCCCCCTGCTCAAGAAAGCACATATACATGCCCGTCTGAAGTTTGCTAATGAGCATCTGAATGATTCAGAGGACAACTGGGTGAAAGCGTTGTGGTAAGATGAGATCAAAATGGAGCTCTTTGGCATCAACTCAACTCGCCGTGTTTGTAGGAGGGGGAATGCTGCCTATGACCCCAAGAACACCATCCCCACCGTCAAACATGGAGGTGGAAACATTATGCTTTGGGGGTGTTTTTCTGCTAAGGGGACAGACAACTTCACCGCATCAAAGGGACGATGGACGGGGCCATGTACCATCAAATCTTGGGTGAGAACCTCCTTCCCTCAGCCAGGGCATTGAAAATGGGTCGTGAATGGGCATTCCAGCATGACAATGACCCAAAACACATGGCCAAGGCAACAAAGGAGTGGCTCAAGAAGAAGCACATTAAGGTCCTGGAGTGGCCTAGCCAGTCTCCAGACCTTAATCCCATAGAAAATCTGTGGAGGGAGCTGAAGGTTCGAGTTGCCAAACGTCAGCCTCGAAACCTTAATGACTTGGAGAAGATCTGCAAAGAGGAGTGGGACAAAATCCCTCCTGAGATGTGTGCAAACCTGGTGGCCGACTACAAGAAACGTCTGACCTCTGTGATTGCCAACAAGGGTTTTGCCACCAAGTACTAAGTCATGTTTTGCAGAGCGGTCAAATACTTATTTCCCTCATTAAAATGCAAATCAACTTATAACATTTTTGACATGCGTTTTTCTGGATTTTGTTGTTGTTATTCTCTCTCAACGTTCATATAAATCTACCATTAAAATTATAGACTGATCATTTCTTTGTCAGTGAGCAAACGTACAAAATCAGCAGGGGATCAAATACTTTTTCCCTCACTGTACCATCAGCCCCACCAAAACTAAGCAACCCAACCACACAACTCCCAATCCGTGATGGGGCAGTTGTGGAGAGAGTGGAGAGTTTCCCATACCTGGGCAGTGTGCTCATGACCGGCTCCGGTTTAACAGCAGAGGTCTCACTCCGAATCAGTCGAGCGGCATTATCTTTTCATTGGTTGCATAACGCTGTGTGGAAGCTACCTGGTCTGTCGCTCCGCACGAAGCTTCAAGTCTTCTCTGCCACGGTCATTCCCTCCCTTCTCTACGCTTGCGAAAACGTGAACCCTCCTAATTGAGCATCTTTGCAGATTGCAAACATTTAGGCTGGCCTGCCTACAATCCATCCTGGGTTTAACCAGGCTGGAATGTGTGAGGAGCTCACAAATCCTAGAAAGATCTGGGCAAGGTCCCATCGGTGAGCTCCTCCGGCGGGGAAGGCTGCGTTGGCTGGGTCATGTAGCCCGCATGCCCAGCCACCGCATGCCGAAACAGCTTTTGTTCGGCCGGATCGAGGGGTTAGGCGGGCGTGGCACGGGCTAGAGAAGAGATGGAGTGACGTGGTACAGGAGGACGTGGAGCTGAGTGGACTTGCCGATGACTGGTACCAGCGGTGTCAAGATCGGCCTCTGTGGAGGAGGCTCGTGAAGGGTGCTACTGGGCAGGTACAGGCAGTCGCCCTCCAACAACAACGGAGGGCGGTGGAGCGATGCTCACAACAACGAGCGGAGTGCCGGGTGGCTAAAGCACTGCAAGCTGGCACAGTCATCTCAGTCAGTCGACCCGTGGCACCTGGGTCTGCCCCGTGACCTCCTGCCAGCGGGCGTTCGACACTTCACGTGGCCTCAAGGTGCACATGGCCTGCCACAAGCGTCGTGGTGACGTCACCACCACTTAGTGGCGAATGGCGGTTGTTGTTGTAGGGGGCGGTAGAGTAGCAGTTAGTGCGCTGCGCTACGAACCTGGCGACCCGGGTTCGATTCCTACTCCCGGCCAACACCAGTGACGATTATCTGAACCGGTCCTAGGCCTCCCCTAGGTCGACTCATTTGAGGCTGAGTACCTGGTGCGGTGTGTGAGCATCGCCACTCGGGGAGACAAAAGAGATACACAGAGAGATACACACAGAGATACACGTGCAGAAACGCACATACGTTCACATATATACACACAGAGATACACACGGAGATACTTACACAGAGATACACACAGAGATACAGCAGCAGCTGCCATTCGCCACAAAGTGTTTTAACTGTTTTAAGGTCTTGATTTAAAGCTTTCGTGACTGCAGGGATTCATATTCTTGGTTTCCCCCTTCTACGTGACTTTACCGAAAGAACCAAGAATATGTTTTAAGGTCGTTAGTTGTTCATGTGTGTGAACATCTCAGATGCCCGGGTCATCCACAAATCGGATGAACCGCACGCGGATAGTCGTGAGTCTCCGCCGTAGTCTAGCCGTGGGGGTGTGGAGGACTTCATCCAGCAGTGGAGTGACCATGGCTGACGACGAAGATGATGATGAGCTGTATTCCCGCAGGTGGGGAACCTGGGCCTGCTCTTCATGCTGCTCTTCTTCATCTACGCGGCGCTGGGAGTGGAACTCTTCGGGAACCTGGGTGAGTGGTGGAGCCAGGGTGAGTGGTGGAGCCTGGGTGAGTGGTGGGGCCTGGGTGAGTGACAGAGCCGGGGCGAGTGGTGGAGCCTGGGTGAGTGGTGGAGCCGGGGTGAGTGGTGGAGCCTGGGTGAGTGGTGGAGCCTGGGTGAGTGACGGAGCCTGGGAGAGTGGTGGAGCCTGGGTGAGTGGTGGAGCTTGTGGACAGGGGGGAGGAGGAGGAGGACGATGTGCTCTGTAACATCCGAGAACATTCGCCGTCTTGACAACGGCGACAGTCGTCGTCGTGGTGGTTGTTGTTGTTGTGCGTGCGTGCGTGTCGTTATTTCTGTAACAACAACAAAAATAAAGTGATGATGTGATGATGATGATGATACTGCTGCTGCTGCATTGGCACAATGGTGCACAGAGCGGAGTTAGTGGAGAGAAGAAAACTCCCCCCCTCTCCCCCGTCCCCCCTCCCCTTTCTCCCCCCTCCCCTCCCTCCCCCCCTCCCCTCTCCCCCCTCCCCTCTCTCCCCCCTCCCCTCTCTCCCCTCCCCTCTCCCCCCTCCCCTCTCTCCCCCTACCCCCTCCCCTCTCTCCCCTCCCCTTTCCCCTCTCCACCCTCCCCCCTCCCTCCCTCTCCCCCCTCCCCTCCCCTTTCCCCTCTCCCCCCTCCCTCCCTCTCCCCCCTCCCCTTCCTCCCCTTCCCCCCCTCCCTCCTCCCCTCTCCCCCCCTCTCCCCCTCCCCTCCTTCCCTCCCCTCTCCCCCCTCCCCTCTCCCCCCTCCCCTCTCCCCCCTCTCCCCCCCGTGGGACAGAGTGCATCAAGCAGGCATGCGAGGGCCTAGGGAGACACGCGACCTTCAAGAACTTCGGCATGGCCTTCCTGACGCTCTTCCGCGTCTCCACGGGCGACAACTGGAACGGGATCATGAAGGTGTCGCCGCGGGGTTTTCCTCGCCCCTCGCGACACGCCGCCGCTCATTGCAACAAAATGAAAACAATTGGCCATTAAAAAAACCGTTACGAATGATTACGATTCAATCTTCGCATGTTAGGCCCCGCCGAGCTGTGTTTGTCTCTCATTTTAAGCAGTGACCCCTGCCGCCGCTCACCCGAAGGCGGCTGATCGCGTCGATTCGACAAAACGCGGAGGGTTAAAACTAGAGAGGACCCCGTGGGAAGAGAGACACCACAAACTCCAAATATACAGCAGCAGGTGTCAGGGTCGGGATCGAATCCACGGCCTCCTGTATACCCGGTGAGGTAGTTAACCTCCCAGCGAGCTTTCGACACTTCACGTGGCCTCGGAGTGCACCGAGCCTGGCACAAACGCCGTGCTGACGTCGCCGCCACTTAGTTTCGAGTCACGTGGCTGCTATAAATGTTCACGTGACTCGCCCGCCCCCCTTACGTTGAGCCATCGTTTGTGATAGCCAGAGCGGATACATAGGCCCAGTGTGTCTCGCCTGGTGAAACGAAAGAGCGAGTTGTACTAGTTTTAGTTTGGTCTGGTCGACGATGGCATGTGCAGTTGTAATGGAGACTCATCCTGGTGATCTCACTCAGCCACTCCGTCCAGCCGACTGAAGCAGCGAGCTTGCCCTGCTGCCGTGCTGCTGCGCCCACCCACCATCACTACCACTACCCCTGTCACTACCCCTGTCACTACCCCTATCACTATCACTACCCCTATCACTACCCCTATCACTATCACTCCCCCTATCACTGTCACTATCACTACCCCTGTCACTTCCCCTATCACTATCACTACCCCTACCACTACCCCTATCACTATCACTACCCCTATCACTACCCCTATCACTATCACTACCCCTATCACTACCCCTATCACTATCACTACCCCTATCACTACCCCTATCACTATCACTACCCCTATCACTCCCCCTATCACTATCACTACCCCTATCACTACCCCTATCACTATCCCTATCACCATCACTATCACCACCCCTATCACTACCCCTATCACTATCACCATCACTACCCCTATCACTACCCCTATCACTATCACTACCCCTATCACTATCACTACCCCTATCACTATCACAACCCCTATCACTACCCCTATCACTATCACTACCCCTATCACTATCACTACCCCTATCACTATCACTACCCCTATCACTATCACTACCCCTATCACTATCACTACCCCTATCACTATCACTACCCCTATCACTATCAGTAGCCGTATCACTACCCCTATCACTATCACTACCCGTATCACTCCCCCTATCACTATCACTACCCGTATCACTACCCCTATCACTACCCCTATCACTCCCCCTATCACTATCACTACCCCAACCCCTACCAATACCCCTACCACTACCCCAACCCTGATTACCACCCCCATCACTCCCCCTATCACTATCACTACCCCAACCACTACCCCAACCCCTATCACTACCCCTATCACTCCCCCTATCACTATCACTACCCCAACCCATAACAATACTCCAACCCCGATCACTACCCCAACCATGATTACCACCCCCATCACTCCCCCTATCACTATCACTACCCCAACCACTACCCCAACCCCTATCACTACCCCTATCACTCCCCCTATCACTATCACTACCCCAACCCCTACCAATACTCAAACCCCAATCACTACCCCAACCCTGATTACCACCCATATTACCACCCCAACCCCGATCACTACCCCAACCCTTATCACTACCCCAACCCCTTTCACAAATCTTCCCCTAATCACTACCCCATCCCCTATCACCACCCCTATCTCTACTCCAACCCCTCCCTAACAACTTCCCACCTGTCTCCGTATCTCGACCGGCGTGTACGGTCGTACGCGCCGATCGTATGATTGGACGATTGCCACGAAAAGCGCCGAGGCAGTTGGGGACGTCGGCGAGGATCCACAGAGAATCTCCCAACTCCCCACCGCAGGACACGCTGCGCGAGTGCGCGCCGGAGGAGGAGGGCGGCGGTGGTCAGGAGGGCGGCGGCGGCGGCGAGAGCTGCTGCTGCCACAACACGCTCGTGTCGCCGCTCTACTTCGTCACGTTCGTGCTCGCCGCCCAGTTCGTGCTCGTCAATGTCGTCGTGGCCGTCCTCATGAAGCACCTGGAGGAGAGCAACAAGGAGGCACGCGAGGACGCGGAGCTCGACGCGCAGGTGCGGGCGCCGTGGCGACGACGACGACGACGACGATGATGATGATGATGACGACGATGATGATGATGACGACGATGATGATGATGGGTCGACGGTGGTGGTGGATTGACGGTGGTGGGTCGATGGCGGGTCCATGGTGGTAATGTTTCTAGGCGGGAGTTGCCACCCCAATGCGCCCAGCACAGACCCACGTCCACCACCAATGGGTTGACGGGCGCCACATTGGCTATGAGATGTTAACTCCCTCGCCTGGTACACAGGAGGTCGTGGGTTTCCATCCAGACCCTGACGCCTGCTGCTGCTGCTGTATATTTTGAGTTTGCGTCTCTCTCTGTAATCATCATCACGGTGGCTATGAGATGTTAACTACCTCGCCTGGTCTACAGGAGGTCGTGGGTTCCATCCAGACCCTGACGCCTGCTGCTGCTGTATATTTTGAGTTTGCGGTGTTTCTCTCTCTCCCCGTGGTGGTCGCGTGGATTTTTCTCCGAGGTCCTCCGGTTTATCCCCCCCAAATTTAGAATCTACGTAGATTCTAGAGTTATTTGGCTGCTACAAATGTCCACACGACGACGACAACAAGCCCCACTCCGCTTACCTTCGCTCCCTCCACAGGTGGAGATGGAGATGGAATGGGCACGCTACGGCGGAGACGGAGCCGAGTCGGGCGGCATCGGTCGCGATTCCGAGAGCGGGCGCTCGTTCGAGAGGTGCAGCCTGCGGCAGGACTCCCCGCTGCAGCGCCATCACACGCTGGTATGACGCCGGCACCGGCGGTACTGCCATCACGTCTGGGCTTCCGCATCGAAGAGCTTCTTGGCTCGTCGGATTTTTTCGGGGGGGGGGGGGGTGGGGTGGTACAGATTCTGGCAGAGATTCCGGACACCGCCACTACTCTCTCCAGACTGCAAAGAGAAAGATGCTCCCCCCCACCCGCCCCAGTATAGCCTTAACAGACTGTTGGGGCAAGTGCTGTTAACGAGTAGCACCGGCGAAGGCCGGGACGTCACACGAGGGGGTGGGTGGGTGGCCAGCGCCACGCCCGGCCGCCCTCATCTCCCCCCCACAGTAGCATTGTTTAGACACCGCAGCAGGTGCTCATTTGAGGCCGAGTCAACCTAGGGGAGGCCTAAGACAAGTTCAAATATACGAAAGTGAGAATGGTCACGAGCAAGAATCAAACTCGGGTGGCCAGATTTGTCGCGCTGTGCACTAATTACTGGGCCACCGCTCCCCACACACACTCAGGGTCTTGAGACTCTGCTCCAGGAGACCGGGTCTCAGGGTCTTGAGACTCGGCTCCAGGAGACCGGGTCTCAGGGTCTTGAGACTCGGCTCCAGGAGACCGGGTCTCAGGGTCTTGAGACTCGGCTCCAGGAGACCGGGTCTCAGGGTCTTGAGACTCGGCTCCAGGAGACCGGGTCTCAGAGTCTTGAGACTCTGTTCAAGGAGACCGGGTCTCAGGGTCTTGAGACTCGGCTCCAGGAGACCGGGTCTCAGGGTCTTGAGACTCTGCTCCAGGAGACCGGGTCTCAGAGTCTTGAGACTCTGTTCAAGGAGACCGGGTCTCAGGGTCTTGAGACTCGGCTCCAGGAGACCGGGTCTCAGGGTCTTGAGACTCTGCTCCAGGAGACCGGGTCTCAGAGTCTTGAGACTCTGCTCCAAGAGACCGGGTCTCAGGGTCTTGAGACTCGGCTCCAGGAGACCGGGTCTCCCCCGACACCAACGCTCGCCTGGCAAGAGGCCGGGTCAGCCAAGCAGTGGCCAGCCTCCTTCTCCGGCATCACCAATGCCCGTGACCTGAGCTCACCTTTGTGTCTCCCCTTCTCTCTCTTTCCGCGTGTCTGTCTCTCTCCAACTCTGTGTGTCTGTGTTCATCCCTGTCTGTGTCTCGTCTCTCCACCTCATTCTCTCCAAGCGTGCATCTGTCTGTCTCTCTGTGTCCCTCTCTCCCCTTGCGTCTCTCTCTCTCTTTCTCTCCTTCCCCGTGCTTCTCTCTTCCCCGTGAGTCTCTCTCTCTCTACGTGTCTCTTCCCACGTGTCTCTCTCCCCCCCCCCCCCCCCCATCTTCCCCTCTCGCTCGCTTTGTGTAAGGAGAAAATGGGCTTCGACAATGTCTCGCTCATCGTCCAGGACTCGATGGAGGCGGAGCTGCTGATGATGGACAACATCTCGGGCTCCGTGTTCCACCACTACGCGACTCCGGTGCCCGAGAAGCGCGCCAACCACAAGCACGAGGTGACGCGTTGCCACCGCCGCCGTCGCCGGCGTGGCCATCACATCAGCATCCGCATCGTCATTGGTTGTCACCAGCATCATCGTCGCGGTGACCACCGTCGCGGTGGTCATTGCCATCGTCACGGTTGTTGGTACCAGTGGCGTCAGCGTCGTCATCTTCAGCAACATCGCCATTACCGTCATTACGAGCATTGCCCTCACCGCCACCGTCATCACCATGGTCACCACCATCACCACCACCATCACCGTCACCACCACAATCATCACCATGGTCACCACCATCACCGTCACCGCCACCATCATCACCATGGTCACCACCATCACCGTCACCGTCACCATCACCATGGTCACCACCACCACTTTCACCATCACCACCGTCACCACCCCCAAGTGTGACCGAGCGTGGCGCCATCTGCGTGAATCAGATCCCCTTTGCGGAGATGGAGGCCATGTCTGTGACGTCGGACAAACTCTCCGAGAAGTCCTGGTCGCTGCCGCTCACTGACGACTCCTACCCAGACGTGGGGGGCACACGCACACCCCAGCCAGAGGTGCTCGCCGCTCACTCGCTCGCTCACAAATCACTCACCAATCACTCACCAATCACTCACCAATCACTGTCACCCACCACTCACTCACCAATCACTCACCAATCACTGTCACCCACCACTCACTCACCAATCACTCACCCACTCACTCTCACCCACCACTCACTCACCAATCACTCACCAATCACTGTCACCCACCACTCACTCACCAATCACTCACCCACTCACTCTCACCCACCACTCACTCACCAATCACTCACCCACCAATCATTCACCTACTCACTCTCACCCACCACTCACTCACCAATCACTCACCCACTCACTCTCACCCACCACTCACTCACCAATCACTCTTACCCACCACTTACTCACCAATCACTCACCCATTACTCACCCACTCACTCTCACACACCAATCACTCTTACCCACCACTCACTCACCAATCACTCACCAATCACTCTCATCCACCACTCACTCACCAATCACTCACCAATCACTGTCACCCACCACTCACTCACCAATCACCCACTCACTCTCACCCACCACTCACTCACCAATCACTCACCCACTCACTCTCACCCACCACTCACTCACCAATCACTCACCCACCAATCATTCACCCACTCACTCTCACCCACCACTCACTCACCAATCACTCACCCACTCACTCTCACCCACCACTCACTCACCAATCACTCACCCACCACTCACTCACCAATCACTCACCAATCACTGTCACCCACCACTCACTCACCAATCACTCACCCACTCTCACTCACCAATCACTCACCCATTACTCACCCACTCACTCTCACCCACCAATCACTCACCCACCACTCACTCACCAATCACTCACCCATTACTCACCCACCAATCTCTCTCACCCACGACTCACTCACCAATCACTCACCCACTCACTCTCACCCACCACTCACTCACCAATCACTGTCACCCACTACTCACTCACCATTCACTCTCACCCACCACTCACTCACCAATCACTCACCAATCACTGTCACCCACCACTCACTCACCATTCACTCTCACCCACCACTCACTCACCAATCACTGTCACCCACCACTCACTCACCATTCACTCTCATCCACCACCCACCCATCCACTCACTCACACCACCCACACTCACCTACAATTCACTCACCAATCACTCTCACCCACCACCCACTCATCCACCCACCCCTCACCCACCCACTCACTCACCGACTCACCCATCCACCCACTCACTCACCCATTCACACACTCATCGTTCACTCGCACACTTACCACGCATTCGCCAACACATCGCACACTCAACCTGTGCGCGTGTGTGTGTGTGTGTGAGCGGGTCAGTGTGTGGGCGAGTGATTGGGTGGTTAAGGGAGCAGGTGATAAGTTTCACAGATGAGTTGGTCGGTGATTTTGCGAGCGAGCAAATTCATCGAGGACTCGGCGAGCTGGTGCACGACTTCATGGATGAGCCACTGCACGCTCGATCCAATGACCACACGAGTGACCCCGGCAACCCCAGTGCGGTTCCCGCTCAAGGGCCTCCCCTAGATCGACTCGGCCTCAGTTGCGGTGTTTAAACACCGCCAACGGGGGGGGGGGGGGGGGGGGGGAGAGACAAACGCGGCCGAGCGTGGTGCCGGCCTTCACGGGTTGCAACCCGCCGTGACGGCGCTTGATCCCAACATGTCCGCTAAGAAGCCCACACGGGGCGGGGGGGGTGATCTTCGCCTTTTGCAGGGCCGCTGCACGGAGGACGCCTCCTCCCCCTGCCCGGAAGCGGGCGACGCCGACAGCGGCGGCCACCTGCTCTCTGTGCGGAAAGTGAGCATCGGGCGTACCCACTCGCTCCCCAACGACAGCTACATGTTCAGACCCGTCGACTCCGTCGCCGGCCCGCCACTGCCGCCCGACGCGGGGGGCGCGGCGGTCTTTGAGCCGACGACGCCAGCAGCATCAGCGGGTAACAAATACCGGCCCCCCCCCTCCCGCTCCCACCATTCCTTATTCCGTTGGCAGGTAGCGAGGATGTCCGTGAGAGGTTAACTTATCGTTTTGACCAGTTTTCTCCTAATTTCAATCAGTTTGTACTAGTTTGTACCAGTTTGTACCAGTTTCAACCAGTTTCAACCAGTTTCAACCAGTTTCTACCAGTTTCAACCAGTTTCAACCAGTTTCTGTCCATGTCTCACGAGAGGTTACGTTCCGCAGAGATGCTCGTGAATAGGACATTTAGCGGGTCGTGACATTGGCCGATGAATGTCGCATAGCGCAACATCTGCAGACGCTTCTAAAGCTTCGATACTTTCTCTATCATATCACTTTATTTCTAATCACTTTATCTCTCATCACTTTATCGCTCTCATCACTTTATCTCTCATCACTTTATCTCTATTACTTTATCTCTCATCACTTTATCTCTCATCACTTTATCTCTCGTCACTTTATCTCTCATCACTTTATCTCTCATCACTTTATCTCTCATCACTTTATCTCTATTACTTTATCTCTCATCACTTTATCTCTCATCGCTTTCTCGCTCTCATCGCTTTATCTCTCACCACCGTATCTCTCTCATCACTTTTTCTCTCATCACTTTATCTCTCGTCACTTTATCTCTCATCGCTTTAGCTGTCATTACTTTATCTCTCATCACTTTATCTCTCATCACTTTATCTCTCATCACTTTATCTCTCGTCACTTTATCTCTCATCGCTTTATCTCTCATCGCTTTATCTCTCATCACTTTATCCCTCATCACTTTATCTCTCATCACTTTATCTCTCATCACTTTATCTCTCATCACTTTATATCTCGTCACTTTATCTCTCTCATCACTTTATCTCTCATCACTTAATCTCTCATCACTTTATCTCTCATCACTTTATCTCTCATCGCTTTATCTCTCGTCACTTTATCTCTCATCACTTAATCTCTCATCACTTTATCTCTCGTCACTTTATCTCTCATCTCTTTATCTCTCATCACTGTATCTCTCATCACTTTATCTCTCATCACTTTATATCTCATCACTGTATCTCTCATCACTTTATCTGTCATCGCTTTATCTCTCGTCAGTTTATCTGTCATCACTTTCTCTCTCATCACTTTATCTCTCGTCACTTTATCTGTCGTCACTTTATCTCTCATCACTTTATCTCTCATCACTTTATCTCTCGTCACTTTATCTCTCGTCACTTTATCTGTCATCACTTTCTCTATCTCATCACTTTATCTCTCATCACTTTATCTGTCATCGCTTTATCTCTCGTCACTTTATCTGTCATCACTTTCTCTCTCATCACTTTATCTCTCGTCACTTTATCTCTCGTCACTTTATCTCTCATCACTTTATCTCTCTCATCGCTTTAGCTGTCATCACTTTATCTCTCATCTCTTTATCTCTCATCACTGTATCTCTCATCACTTTATCTCTCATCACTTTATATCTCATCACTGTATCTCTCATCACTTTATCTCTCATCGCTTTATCTCTCGTCACTTTATCTGTCATCACTTTATCTCTCATCACTTTATCTCTCACCACTTTATCTCTCATCACTTTATCTCTCGTCACTTTATCTGTCATCACTTTCTCTATCTCATCACTTTATCTCTCATCACGTTATCTCTCATCACTTTATCTCTCATCACTTTATCTCTCATCACTTTATATCTCGTCACTTTATCTCTCTCATCACTTTATCTCTCATCACTTTATCCCTCATCACTTTATCTCTCATCACTTTAAGTCTCTCATCACTTTATCTCTCATCACTTTATCTCTCATCACTTTAACTCTCTCATCACTTTATCTCTCATCGCTTTATCCCTCATCGCTTTATCCCTCATCCCTTTCTCTCTCGATTCAGCAGTCGCGTAGAGTTCCAAATGTGATTCGCGGGTAGCCAAAAATCGCAGACAGCACGCTCGTGAACGACGAGGGAACACCATAGGAGTAGTAGTCTTCATAATAATCACGTGACGCACATCACGTGCACTTGTGAAGCACATCCACCACCACCACTGCCGCACGGCGTTCACTCGTTTTTGTCGAGGCCCGATGAACCACAGGCGAGCGGTGAGCTCCCGCAAAATCCCTCCTCGTCCGAGTTCTGCAGTCCCCTCTCGATACGAAAGTGTTATAAACCAATTAATGAGGGATTATACCGTTCTGTCGCTACTACCGTTCCCAGTGAACTCCAGTCAGCAATTCGCTCACGGGCGGGGCAGTAGTCGTCCCCTTGTCACCCTTGTATGGCGCCACGGTGGCTAGGAGATGTTAACTCCCTCGCCTGGTACACAAGACGTCGTGGGTTCGATCCCCACCCTGATGCCTGCTGCTGCTGTATATTTGGAGTTTGTGTGTCTCTCTAATCATCATCATCATCACGGTGGCTATGAGATGTTAACTACCTCGCCTGGTGTACAGGAGGTCGTGGGTTCGATCCCCACCCTGATGCCTGCTGCTGTATGTTTGGAGTTTGTGTGTCTCTCTCATCGTCATTATCATCATCACGGTGGCTATGAGATGTTAACTCCCTCGCCTGGTACACAGGTCGTCGTGGGTACGATCCCCACCCTGATGCCTGCTGCTGCTGTATATTTGGAGTTTGTGTGTCTCTCTAATCATCATCATCATCATTATCATCACGGTGGCTATGAGATGTTTACTACCTCGCCTGGTGTACAGGAGGTCGTGGGTTCGATCCCCACGCTGATGCCTGCTGCTGCTGTATATTTGGAGTTTGCGTATCTCTCTAATCATCATCATCATCATCACAGTGGCGAGGAGATGTTAACTACCTCGCCTGCTATACAGGACGTCGTGGGTTCGATCCCCACGCTGACGCCTGCTGCTGCTGCTGCTGTATATTTGGATTTTGTGTCTCTCTCTCTCTCCCAGTGGTTGCGTGGATTTCTGTCCGGGTCTTCCGGGTTTTCCTCCACATTTAGAGTCGACGTCGCCGCCTGTTTCGAGTTATTTGTCTGCGACAAATTTACACGTGGCGGCGACGGTCGGCCCACTTCGTTGGGCTACCATTTGCGATGGCCAAGAGCCACTACATAAGCTCAGCGTGTGGGGGCTTACATCTGGTGACGATGAAAACAAAAATAGCGTTGAGTTTTGAAACGGTTCGGTCTCGTTGCGGCAACGCTTCCCACGAACCTCGCCGCCCCCCCCCCCCACCCTCCTCTCCCCACCGCCTCCGTGCCCCCGCCCGCGTGTCGAGGATCCCGCCGCACGCTGACCGAGCTCGTCCCTCGCCCGCGCCACTGCGTTTAGGCCCGAGGCTGCCGACCCAGCGGTCGCAGGCGGAGGCGGCCTGCGCCTTCCTGCAGCTGCCCCCTCCTCCGCCCTTCGCCGCCTTTCCCGTGCCGGCTCACGCGCAGGCGACGGCGGGCGTGCCCCGGCTGCCCCCGCCGGCGCCCCCTCGCTCCCCCGGCTCCCAGAGGCTCCTGCGAAGACAGGTGAGGACCCCCCCCCCCCCCCCCCGCCCCCCCCATCGTCGCGGGCTCGCCCGACGCGGATTCTGGGATCCATCCGCGCGGAGCTTCTTGCGGGGAGGAGGGACGGACAAAAAAAAAACTCCGCTCTTGAGATGGAGGGAGATCTCGCTTTACGAGGGTTGTCACTGTACACGATACACGCACACGCACAAAGGCAAAGACCCCCCGAATAGCCATAACTGACTCCTGGGCAAGTGCTGTGAGCGAGCAGCAGCAGCAATGGAGACTGGCACAGTACACGAGGTGGTGGGTGGCCAGCACCATGCCCGGCCGTCTTTGTCTCCCAAGTGGCGATGTTTAGACACTGCACCAGGTACTCATTTGAGGCTGAGTAAGCCTGGGGGAGGCCTAGGACTAGTTAAAATATTCGCCAGTGTGAATGGTCATGAGGTGGAATCGAACTCGGGCGGGCAGATTTGTAGCGTAGTGCACTAACCACTGTGCCACCGCTCCACACACACACTCAGAGTCTTGAGACTTGGCTCCAGGAGACTGGGTCTCAGGATCAGTGACTCCTTTGTTGCTTTATCCACGGCAGTGAAGTGACGGTCTGCCGTTACTTCGGATTCCCCGAATCGGATCTCCCCGCAGGCCGCAGTCCGAATGGACTCCATAGACGCCCCGACCCTGGGCTCCAAAGACAGCCTCCTCTCCGCCACTCAAGACAGCCCCGTACACCACATCCCTCATCATCACCATCAGCAGCCGCCTCAACTGCCGCTAGCGCCGCCGCCGCCGCCGCTCCCATCTCTGCGGCCGCCCCCCACCGTGCCGAGGCCTCTCCCCCGACGGGTAGGGAGCGGCGTCGGCGGCGGCGGCGGCGGCGGCGGCGCTGCGGCGAACGGGGCGGGGGGGCGGCTGAGCCGGGAGGGCTCGGACCCCAACGACGAGGAGGTGAGGAGGATCACGAGGGGCTCGGCGGTGGCGGCGGCGTCGGGCCGCGAGGTGAAGAAGTGCCACAGCGTGGACGACCGAGGGCTGCTCTCCGTGGCCGCGGCGGCCGCGGCGGCCGCGGCCGCCGGGTCGAGTGCCGGGGCGGCGGGCTGCTGGTGGACGGACGACGCCAGGAGACACTCCATCGAGATCTGCCCCGAGGTTTGTGAAGGGGGAGGACGCAGCAGCAGTCTGGCTCCGCGGTCCGGTGTGGTGTAGCGTGGTGTGGTGTGGCTTGGCTTGGTGTAGAGTGGCGTGGTGTAACGTAGCGTGGTGTGGCTTGGCGTGTTTAAAGTGGCGTGGCGTGGTGTGGTGTGGTGTGGCGTGGTGTGGCGTGGAGCGGTGTGGTGTTGCGTGGTGTGGTGTGGCTTGGCTTGGTGTAGAGTGGTGTGGTGTAGCTTGGCTTGGTGTAGAGTGGCGTGGCGTGGAGGGGTGTGGTGTGGCATGAGTTGAGCGTTGCTTGATTTTGTTGAACCAGGGTGAGAACTCGAGCGACCGGGATGTATCTACTGTATCTTGAACTTCTTTCGCACCATACGTAGCCAACCGCGCTAATCGGCGGTCTGGGTGGGGGGGGGGGTGTTAGGACAACAAGCTAAACACAAAAAGCAGTTCTAAAGAAATTAGTTTGTTAATCTAGATGATGATAATTTAAACGTGCATCATAGCTCCCACTGGCTTCCTAATATTGAAAGAAAGAAGCGTTCCAGACGGCCACAGACAGCGCCGCGCGATGGGGCGAACCGTCAGTTTAACACGCAGCAGTAGGAGGAGGCTTTTGCAACCGATATCATCCACAATATCGATCGCCGACATTTCCGCGACCTAACCCAAAGAAAACCTACATCATGGCCTCTTCGTTCGATTGGTCGGCCAATAAGCTGCCGCTGCGAGGATGGAACGGAGTCATCCTCGCAGCCTGCTCCGGCCCAGTTTGACGGGGCACGGGTGGTGTGTGTTGGCATAGCTAGGGGGCACAGGTGGTGCTTTAGAGGGCACAGCTGCCGGTGCATCGGCCGGTCATCTCAGTCAGTTGACCCACGGCACGGCACCTGCGTGGTCCGCCCGTGACCTCCTGCCAGTGGGGTGACGTCACCGCCGCTTAGTGTTGTTGCTGTTGGTAGTGGTGGTGTCTGTGTGTGTGTGTTAGACGAGATTTTGTTGAACCGGGGTGAGAAGTCGTGGAGGCAGGAGAGAGGAGTCTCGTTGGCCCGGCATCCGCCGCGGCAACCAGAAACTTCGGTCCGAACGTTGTCGCGTTACAGCCGATTCCTCAGGGTCCATCGATTAATTTCGTTGCTGCTGCTGATGATTATTATAATGATAACGATGACGAAGATTATTTTATCATCGTAATCATTATCGTCATCATCATCATGCTCTTGCTGCATTGAACGGGTCGCATGGCTTATGTGGAGTGCTCTTGCAAATATAAAAAAAATCTGGCAAACCAGCGGCACATTCTTATTAATCTGCTGACAACATTCCCAGAGAGTCAACGCCAGTCCCGAGGTGTGAACAAATGATGATGCTGCTGCTGCTGGATCAAGAATAATAATAAGAAGAGGCTTAACCCTCGCTGGCAATCATGCGGGAGGCGTGAAGATCATAGCTGACAACATTTCATCAGTGCCCTACATTATTACAAACCAATTCAGATCTTATTGATCACCGCGTGCCCTTATAAATCTCAACGTTCATCCTACAAAGTCCCACCACAAGGAAGAAACACAAACAAATAGACAAACATTATTAATCTCTTGCCCATATTGAAACGGCATATGGGTTTGAAAGCTCCATTTCCCTGTACAAGAGTGCAGGGTAAACCGTGTGGGTTGACACGGTATGGAAGATGTTCAAACGGCAAATCGACACCGACCGGCAAGGCATCGGAAGTCTGCGTTAACCGCACGTGCGCATACTCGTGGTGAAATGTGCAAACAAAGATGCGTCCTTTGTTTGCTTTATATATAATGATTTATATTTAATAATTTATATTTAATAATTTATATATAATCATTTTTATATGATGATTTATATATAATAATTTATATATGATGATTTATATATAATAATTTATATGTGATAATTTATATGTAATAATTTATATATAATAATTTGTATATGATAATTTATTTATGCTAATTTATATATGATAATTTATATATGATAATTTATATATAATAATTTATGTATAATCATTTATATTTGATCATTTACATAGAATAATGTATATATAACATATAATATATATGAATTTATATATGATCATTTATAAATATTATTTTACATATGATAATTAATATATAATGATTGATATATAACAAATTATATATGGTAATTGATATATAAAAATTTATATGCGGCCATTAATATATAATAATTTATATATGATCATTTATATATAACAATTTACATATGATAATTAATATATAATAATTTATATATGATTTATATATAATGATTTATATATATAATAATTTATATATAGTAACTTATATATGGTAATTTGTATATAATAATTTATATACGGCCACTAATATATAATAATTTATATATGATAATGTATATTTAATAATTTGCATATGATAATTAATATATAATAATTTATATGTGGTTATTTATACATAATAATTTACATATGGTAATTTATATATAATAATTTACACACGGCCGTTTAATATATAATAATTTACATATGGTGATTTATATTTAATAATTTACATACGATGATTAATTTATAATAATTTATATATGATAATTTATACATAATAATTTACATATGGTAATTTATATATGATAATTTATATACGGCCATTAATATATAATAATTTATATATGATAATTTATATTTAATAATTTACATACGATAATTGATATATAATGATTTATATATTGTAATTTATACATAATAATTTACATATGGTAATTTATATATAATAATTTATATACGGCCATTGATATATAATAATTTATATATGATCATTTATATTTAATAATTTCTATGCAATCGTTGCATCGCCGTGTTGTCTCTTGCCCTGGCTGCCTCCAACCGCCCCCACCCCTGCCCCCCTTCACCCCTGTCCCCCCATTCTACCCCCCCCAATACCACCCCCGCCCTCCCTACTCTACCCCCCCACCACACCCCCGCCCCCCCCCACTCTACCCCCCCCAATCCCACCCCCGCCCCCCCACTCTACCCCCCCCCACCACACCCCCGCCCCCCCCCCCCACGGCCCCATAGATGCAAACGCGAGCCGACCGTCGGGGTTCCCTGGCCCCCCTTGAGGGCAGACGCTCCCCGCGCCCCCCCCCACGCAAAGAAAAGCTCAGCCCCCCCTGCATCTCCGTCGAGCCTCCGCCGTCGGAAACCTGCGGCGGCGGTACCAGCCAGGGCGGCGGCGGCGGCGGCGGCGGCCCTCCGGCCACCGTCCCCGGCTGCGCCACCACCCCTCGCCTCCGCCGACGCACCCCGTGCAGCGCCGAGTCGTCGCAAGACGGCGGTGGAGCCTCCGAGGAGTCCTGTAGGCCGCCGCTGCCCTCCTGCGCGCTGCTCCTGCCGCCGGTGACGCCGCCACCGCCGCCGTCGTCATCGTCGTCGTTCGGTTCCAATTCTTCGCCGTCGTCGTCGTCTTCGTCATCGCCGTCGCCGTTTTTCTTGGCCGTGCCGTGGTCCGAGAGTTCCCCGCGGCCTCCGGTACAGGCTCTGGCCCAGGCCACGCCGAGGCCGCCCTTGCCTCCTCTCCCGGCGCCGCCGCTACTGCCGCCGCCCCACAAGAGGCAGAAGCAGGGCGGGGCGGAGCGGCGGCCCGACGGCGCGTCTCACGACGACGCGGCACCGAAGGACGCGCCGCCCGCCGCCGCCGCCGTCGCCAAGCACGGCAACGTCGCGCAGCAGCGGCCGCCGCCGCCGCTGTCTCCGGCGGCGGCGGCGGCTTGCCCGCACGGGCGAATGCGGTCGCCGTTGATGAAGCAGAGGACGTTGGGGAAACAGGACGAGGAGTAGGGACAAGAGGCCTCGGATCTCGGTGGCGGTAGTACCGCGGGTCGGCGTCGACTTGGCCGGAGACGTGCGAGCGCGTGCGAGCGAGTGCGAGCGAGTGTGAGCGACTGTGAGCGCGTGTGAGCGAGTGCGAGCGAGTGTGAGCGAGTGTGAGCGAGCGCGAGCGAGTGCGTGCTGGTGCCATCGAGGTTCTGTGTTGGGGGATCCTGGCCGGTTGGTGAGTGGATTGCCGCGCCTCTGTGAGCGAGCTAACGCCGGCCGCGCCGTAGACACCGTGCCGGCACAAGTTCCTAACCAGATTTCGGGCTGCCCTCTGATAATCCACCCAGGGATGTCCCCCGCGGAGCGAAGTTGAACTTTGTTGTTGTTTTTTTTCTTTCAGCCCAATCGCCAATTCGATTCGAAAGTCTGCGACATTTGTTCTTTTGGTTTTAATCCGCTCGAGCCCACTCTCGTTTATCGATTAAATTGGGATGAGCCGCCCTCCACTTCGCCGTGACGACGGAGCGCTCCGTGGAGGGAGGGAGGAGAGGGAGGGAGGGAGGAGAGGGAGGGGAGGGAGCTGGGAGGAGAGGGAGGCAGAGAGGGAGGCAGGGAGGGAGGGAAGAGAAGGAGGGAGGCCTTATTGTCGAAAGTAAGACCTCCCATGTGAGGTGGGCCTCTGCGCCGTTACCATCCAGGGCAGTTTTCCCCCCATTTCAGGATGGCGCGAGGCTCTGCCACAAGTCGGAGATCCCGAAGGGGGTTGCTTCCCCCCCCCCCCCCCCCCCCCCGAGCCGTCATCCTCCTCCCGCTGCCTGCAACAACACGACGGCCGCGATCCTCATTTAGCGTCTGCTGCAAACGACCGGCGTGTCCTCGACATTTACCCGCCTCATTTAGGGGCGGGATTCCCGGTAAGCGTGCCGATGTTGGCACCTAGTTGGGACCGTTGGACCAATGCCCCGTGTTTACTGGGGTACCCAAGTACATTAAATCCATGGGACCACGGTGAGAGGGAGACACGCAAACTGCAAATATACAGCAGCAGGCGTCGTCAGGGTCGGGATGGAACCAACAACCTCCTGTATACCAGGCGAGGTAGTTAACATCTCATAGCCACCGTGGCGCCTGTCCACTCCGCGTTGTCCGTTTGGAGCCGCCTTGGCTTGCGCGACAGCCGTGGCAGCGGCGGCCTTTTGCACCCCATCCCGTGAGCTGCTCGAGACCAAATCGGCCTTGTGGGAGAAGAATACTAAAACATTGCCTCCGGGCGTTCTTAGCGCAGATGAGAGACGTACACACACATTTATATTTACAAATGTATATTTGAGAAAGGAGAACGCGTTTCCAATCGACGTCGAACTAATTTTCAACGTATTTTACCGCAGATATCACGACACTAATAATGATTATTCGCAAAGACGACGTTTTTTTGACTTGAGGCAGTCCCCCCACGGTAAGCGTGCACAGCCGGGGCCCACGGTTGGCACAACATTGGGGAACGTTGGTTGGGCGACGGGCGAGCATTGCTACGTTGGCACGCCGTGGGGGCTGGTTGGGGGTGGTGGTCAACAATTGCCGCGTCTTAGACACTGACGAGGCACCGCTGAGATTCCGGGTTCAACGTGCGAGACCTGGGGGGTGTGGGAGTGGGAGTGTGGGGGTGGGTGGGTTCACAATGACCTGGGTCATACACACTGAGCTGCCTCCGCTGAGATCCAGGGTCCGTGGCCCCTTCGGTCCAGGGATGTTTCTTTTGGTCGTCTCTCTCGCGAGGGGCCCGTCGGCTCATCGTGGCCGCATCCGAGATGCCCCCCACCCCCCGGGGTGTCTCGGTTTGGGCTCGTAATGTGGCTTCTTGTGCGGTGTTAGCGAGAGGCGGTGTGGGAGCAGATCCTTAAATCACATATCAGATATATTTATCGCATATTCGTGCGTTGAAGCCGTGTGTGTGTGCGCGCGTGTCGTGGTTATTACGTGTGCGTGCTATACAATTATGCAGGTACTTTCTGGAGTCACAAGTATACGGTTTTTAAATTGCGTGCACCTATATATATTTGTGAGTACACGAGACTAAACACACTGCACGGTGCAGTATATGAGTTTGTGTGTGTGTGTATATACGTGCAACAGAAAATATGAAGTGCGTGACACAGTGGCCTACGAGCAGAGTTGCTTCACTGATTACCACCGGTCAATTTCTGCATCCAACCCCTGCCCCCGTCCCCCTTTTGTTTTATTTTAGGCTGAGTCGACCTAGGGGAGGTACAGGCGGGGCCACTCATTCTAAAGGGTGGTAGTGGGGGCGTGGGCAGGCCAAACGTTGCCAGTTGCAGTTGATATATTTGAAGGACCTTGCGAGCTCAGAAGCTCTCAAGTCGGATTTCACCGATTTACAAATGAAACACCGTTTACCGCCGCGCTCCGGGTAGCGTGCCCATCGGTTATTTATTTTTTTGGGCTGCCCGCAGTCACTACGATGCGCGGTCGCTGGCTCCCATTGGCTGCGCGGGAGGGGGGGCGGGGGGGAACGGTAAGAACTGATCGACAGGGACCCAGCGTGGGGCGACACCGTGAACCGGTTGCCCCCACGTACCGAGACGAACTCGGTACGTGGGGCCACCCCGAATGCGCGCGAGCGCGCCCGGCTGCGTTACATTTTATTTCGAGAAAGCCGTAGTCGGAGGGAGAAGGGAGGAGTGGCGCCGGTGTGGTTGTTTTTTTTTAAGGGGCGTCGTCGACACTCGGCGCAGAGAACCGCAGCGACCGCCGCCACTCACCGCTGGCCGGCGCCACAACCGGTGCCACGGCCGCCCCTCCGGCGACGTCTTCTGACCCGAAGAGGTGCGGGCAAAAGTTGCTCCGCGTCGCTTTTTGTTCCGGTTCCGATTGCGGTGACGCGCAAGCGTGCGTTTGACACAGCTCGTTGGAAACGGAACCCGAAGTTAAAACCGACGACGTGCATGCATGCACGTGCGGGTACATGTCTGTACGCATGTACACGCACGTGCACGTACAGATACATGTGCGCGCGTGTACGTGCGTCGGCGGAACGGTAATGGGTTTACGTGTCCGAGGCTGACGTCTGCTCCTGTGAGCGCTCGCCGGCAGTTTTTTAACATACCAGCAGCCCCGTTTTGTCAATCCACTGCTGGACGAGTGGTCGGGCATTGCAGGACGGGAACGTATTTTAAATAACAAAAGAAATCGCCACGTATTGCGGGCGCTTGATTATCGGCGCAAGAGGTGCGGGCCGGTGGCTAAAGCAGACGGAGTTACAAGCAAATTGCACTGCGGGAGGGAGAGAGTCTTATTTATCTTGTCGAGATAAAACGAACAAAGTTTGTTTCTTGTGAGCGTGCGTGCAACTGACGAAGGGTTTCCACAGGTATTCTCTTACTTCCCAACTGATGCAGGTCGCAGTGGTTGGCTGCCGGTCACTTAACCACCCCCCTTTCACTGCGCACCGGTTTGTGAAGCTCTTGAGAGCAGGGGGGAAGTGTCAAATATCGGCGGTGTGTCGCTTAAAGCGGTGGTGTTGGCAGGTACAGACAGATTCTCGACTATCCGCGTGCGGTTTATCCAATTTGCGGATTGAACGCGGCACCTGAGATTTAGACACGAATTACCAACTGGTGGATTTTCCCAAATTGATCATCTAAAAAGCAGTCATACAACGTTGTTATTCTCGGGAACGTTTATTGCAAGTCGCGTCCTTTAACCGAACAAATATGTTGCTCCGGTTAATCCGAAATCCACGTGAGATCGCCCCTACAGTACAGTAGTTGCCATATCTTTACAACAGTGGGCGGAGTTTGATGTTGATTGGCGTGGCTCTACTGCTGTCATCCATTTAGTGGGCCGAGTCTCCTGCTGGGTGGGAGCAGGAACGTGTTATTATCACTGATCACGTGCATCGATCAGTCAGTCGGTCGTTCGTTTTTGGCATAGAGATCCGTGGAAAAATGGACATTATTTGAATTCTCTGCAATTTTGACTGATCCATGGGCCGTCATTTGCGCGGATAATCGATAGTCTACTGGGGTAGCGTTTGCAGGGCTCACACCATGGTCCTCCCTATAGGCTGGGGCCTGGTTTGCAAAGTAACGGCTGGCGGCGGGTTAACTCCTCCTGATGTCGACGCCCCTCGCCGGTTCATGCAGAGGAAAATTTTATTGACACAAGCCTGAGTGCAAACCCCGAGGATGATTTCTAGCAGCCCCGAGGCCTTGTGCCGAAAATGTAATCCATTCCTAATCACAGCACTCGTCTTCGTTGTCAGACGGAGGCGTCAGGCCTACGCCGAAACACTGTCCCTAACTCGAGGTGCTAACTTCGAAGACAAGTATAGCCCTGGCTCTAAATCAAAACACCAACACTTGAACCTTATGGCGGGACCCTGGGGTCCCGAATAAACCGAAGTCAAAATCGTAATTCATTAATTACTATTTGGCAACTCCGTCCCACCTCGCACATAAATGCCGCGATCCACCAGAAATAAATCCTCTCCTCGTTCTACACCAAGCGCCCGTCGTTGCCAAAATTGCCGTAGTCATAAACAAAACTTTGAAACCTTGAAGCTTTCGTGACTGTGGGAATTCATATTCTGGGGTCTTTCAGTAAAGTCACGTAGATAGGTTCAAAGAAAATAAACAAAAATAACAAACAAAAAACTACGACGTTTCGATCGCAACACAAGCGGTCTTCCTGAAGACGACCGCTTGTGTTGCGATATAAACGTCGTTGTTTTTTTGTTCTTTTCATTGAACCTATCTACGTGACTTTACCGAAAGGCCCAAGAATATAAAACTTTGATTAGTGCATCGTGTAGAGCTCGTCGAGAAGAATCGTTCGCCTTCAACAGACATAAACTGACGTCGCAACGCAGTTTATGCGAGAGCCGGGGGCTTATGGGACCCGGGGGTCCTGACATAAGGTTCAGATGTCCTTGCGTAAGCCCTGAACCACAGCTTACAAATGGAGAACAGCAATCCAGGAGGTCGGAATTTCCGGGCAGCGAACACGGCGGTGTTAAGTTAATGAGCCATAACTCCTAACCCCACCGCTGACTCACGAGTCCTCAAGCTAACCCCTAACGCTCACGGACGCAAGCCGCTGCCGCTAATCTCGAACGAGGATCCTCACTCCTGCACCAACCCTGCAGGCTCTCACCCGATTTCCCCGAGCACTAAAATCCCAGGCCTATACGATTGGCTTGCCCACACACTGAAGCTCATGTGGTGCCATTCCCAAACACTGAAAACAACAACAAGAACTCACACTCGTCAAGAACACTGCCTTAAAGAGGAAAATGGTGCAGGTGACGTTTCAGGCAACGGTCCTTCGTGATGGCAGAGCGCAGAACCGCCCCGCGCGAGGGATTACGCCAAGGAGCAGTGCACGCACAATGCAATGTCATCGCCATCGGGCATGATCTGTCCACTGCTGGACAAAGATTTATCCGATTCATAACCTACCCCATACGTTTGATAAGCGGAAATTCTCCCCCCCCCCCCCCCCCCAATCGTGGACGGGGAGAGCTGAGCCGTCGAGTTTTCATCTTTGGGAATCAAACACGGGTGGGGTGGGTGTGGAGGGTGGGATAGGGGGGGGGTTACTTGTACGAGTACTTCAGATAGTAATTGACGATAACTTGAGCTACCACTCGGCATTCACGCAAAGACTTTTACAGCGCAGAGGCTATCATCGCCCAAGGATGCTGCTGCCATTCACGGGACCAGCCTGAAGCCTGCAGAAGTTCCGCGGTAGTGGGCGACGTGGCTGCCGTGCGTGGGGTGATCCCGATCGAGTCATTCTGCGGTGTCATTTTTCTCGTTTGGAACCCGTGACCCGCCAACGGGGACCCGCCAACGGGGACCCGCTCACGGGGACCCACTGACAGGGACCGGCTCACTGCACGCCATAGGGGGGGCGGGGGGGGGGCATCCGAACTGCCGAAACGTCTGCGAAAAAGCGGCGAGCGAACGCAACCCCAGTGGGCCGTGTCTCCTCTTTCTACTCCCCCTTCTCTTCCTCCTCGTTTCGCCTCCTCCTTCCTACTTCTCCTCCTCATCCTCCCTCCAATGAGACCTCTGTTCCACGCAGCACTTTCCCACTCACGGCAGAGAGAGTCAAAGTGTTACAATCTCAGGAGCTGAGTACAGACGGAACCCTCACTGGGCTGAGACCACTCCACTCTACACTACACTATACACTACTCTACACTACAAACTACACTACTAAACCATACACTACTATACACAACACTACTCTACACTACATTACTATACCCTACACTATACACTACTCTACACTACACTATACACTACTACACCATACACTACTATACACTACTATACACTACACTACTATCCACTACTATACACTACACTACTATACACTACACTACTATACACTACTATACACTACACTACTACACCATACACTACTATACACTACACTACTCCACTACTATCCACTACACTATACACTATTCTACACTACTATCCACTACACTACTATACACCACTACTATACACTACTATACACTACACTACTACACCATACACTACTATACTCTACACTACTATACACTACACTACTATACACTACACTACTATACACTACACTACTATACAGTACACTACTATACACTATACTACTATATACTACACTATACACTACTATACACTACTATTCACTACACTACTACACCATACACTACAATACTCTACACTACTATACACTACACTATACACTATTGACTACACTATACTACTATATACTACACTATACACTGCACTGCTATTCACTACACTATACACTACACTACTATTCACTACACTATACACTACACTATTGACTACACTACACTATACACTACTATTCACTACACTGCTACAGCCTCACGTCGGTTCTCTGCCGTCGTCCCCTCTGTGTGGAACTCTCTCTCTCTATCCCTTCGCACATCCGCAACATCGTCAAATGCACCTCCGACCACTCTCAAGCGACGTCTCAAGGCCTCTCTCGATCTGCGTTCGGGGCCAGGGCTTTCGAGTAGCCCTGCGCCTCTTGACTTGTTGACTTGTCTGCAACACCTGGCGCGTTATAAATGATCATCGTCACCACCACCACCACCATCATCGTCGTCGTCAACTCGCCACGCTTCAGAGGATGGTTTAGTCACGGCCAGTAGCCGGAACACCCGGATTCGAACCCAGGCTTGTCAGCGGCAAAAGGAGTGCCGCAAATGTGGATGATACATCACTAATACTACTACGCGTGTCCCAACTTCGCACGTGCATCTGTACACACTCGCGCACAGTGGGAAGTCTTTTTTAACGCGACCAGCAGCCACGCGCACACCTCCAGGGAGTGCACCACAACGCTCGGGGGAGGGGGGCAGTTCCGATTGAAGGGGCAAGCGAACACCGTCAAGGCTTCGGACACGCGGTGTCTCATGAGCAGCCCTGGGGGAGGGGGCTCACTTGAATCATTGCTGGCCAACTGCCGATGTTTCGGGCAAGGTGCCCTGTTGCTCTCTCTAAGCTATGGGGCGGCGGGGGGGGGGGGAGGGGGGACACATCCATTATGACGTAAATGTAATCGGGCAACACACACCCACACACGATTCGACTTAACCGCGCCGCCGCAGCCGCCAGGGCACGCGGAAGATGACGCGCTGGGCGCAATGTGACATGGGGCGCTGGAGAGAGAGAGAGGCGCTCCTGAACAGTTCACTTTTGAGGTCCTCGTCGGGAAGCCCACGAAGCTTGAGACACACAGACACTGATGGGGCAGCCCTGGGCAGTGGCAGCCCTGGGTAGACGCAGCCCTCGGTAGTGGCAGCCCTGGGTAGTGGCAGCCCTCGGTAGAGGCAGCCCTGGGCAGTGGCAGCCCTCGGTAGAGGCAGCCCTGGGTAGAGGCAGCCCTGGGTAGTGGCAGCCCTGGGTAGTGGCAGCCCTGGGTAGAGGCAGCCCTGGGTAGTGGCAGCCCAGGCCAGTGGCAGCCCTGGGCAGTGGCAGCCCTGGGTAGAGGCAGCCCTGGGTAGTGGCAGCCCTGGGCAGTGGCAGCCCTCGGTAGTGGCAGCCCTGGGTAGTGGCAGCCCTGGGCAGTGGCAGCCCTGGGCAGTGGCAGCCCTGGGTAGAGGCAGCCCTGGGCAGTGGCAGCCCTGGGCAGTGGCAGCCCTGGGTAGAGGCAGCCCTGGGTAGTGGCAGCCCTGGGTAGTGGCAGCCCTGGGTAGAGGCAGCCCTGGGTAGTGGCAGCCCTGGGTAGTGGCAGCCCTGGGCAGTGGCAGCCCTGGGCAGAGGCAGCCCTGGGCAGAGGCAGCCCTGGGTAGTGGCAGCCCTGGGCAGTGGCAGCCCTGGGCAGTGGCAGCCCTCGGTAGAGGCCGCCCTGGGTAGTGGCAGCCTCGCCCCTGGGGCCTCGTGGCTACGAGGCGATGGAGCCGTGCACGTTGCGACGGGGTTTGCGTATCTTAATTTAAAAGTATTTGTAACGCTGTCGGCAAAGATGTTTGTACATAAATGATTTATATTTTTTTGAAGAGACACAACTGGGCGTTTTTTGTGATTTAGCAACATTCGTGTGGCAATCTTAATACTACTGGTGAAGAATAATGAATTCATGTTCAGTCTGTAAAGGATAACGAAATCTTAAACATTTAACCTGCACGCACGGCCTCGTTTCAAGTGACGACGTATTTAATTTTCCCGGCGTTGCGTATTCGAAACTAACCCGATGTATATATTGTGTGAAGTATGTCAGGTCGAATAATAATAATTAATAATAATTCAAGGGTACGAGGCGCTGATGGGAACGTCTGTGGGATGGTGGTGGTGGGGGGGTGAGGTTATAGGAGGTGCGAGGCGCTACACACAACACGGCAGAATGCCGATTTAAAGAAATAAAGTCGCGCGTGGATCGTTCGGAGCAAGGTTTTATCAGACGTTTAACGTGGCGGAGTGAGTGGTGCGGGTCGGTGCGGCTGCTACGTTTGGACATCGTGGGGAGCAGGGAGCTCTGTCGGGGGGGTCCGTGCGCGTTGACTGCGAGGGAGAGAGGGAAAACCGTGGGGAGAACGGGGGGGGGGGGGTTACAGAGATAAAGATTGGGAGGGATGGCAGCTAAAGCGCCTTGGAAACAATGAGAGAGACATCTTTAGGTTCTGAGAACATTCTGGGGAACCCGGGCAGGTCCCCGAGGTGTCAGGAGAGGCTCCAACTCACCGCTGAGCGAGTCAGCGACTCGCTCGCTCGCCCGCCTGATGATGACGACGACGACGATGATGATGAAGACGACGATGATGATGAAGATGACGACGACGATGATATTGGTGATGATGACGATGGCGGTGTTGACCGACGACGATGATCATGACGATGATGATGATGATGGTGAAGATGACGATGGTTGGTGAATATTATAATGATGACGTGGATATTGGTGATGGTGATGATGACGATGATCATGACGACGATGATGATAACGGTGAAGATGACGATGGTTGGTGAATATTATAATGACGACGTGGATATTGGTGATGATGACGATGATCATGACGATGATGATGATAACGGTGAAGATGACGATGGTTGGTGAATATTATAATGACGACGTGGATATTGGTGATGGTGATGATGACGATGATCATGACGATGATGATGATGATGATGGTGAAGATGACGATGGTTGGTGAATATTATAATGACGACGTGGATATTGGTGATGGTGATGATGACGATGATCATGACGATGATGATAACGGTGAAGATGACGATGATGAATATGCTGACGACGACGAACGAACGGCGGACTCTGACGGATGGACCATCTTCAGTGCGCCCCAGAGAGTCCTGCAGAGGACCTCACCCACCGCTACCATCACGACTCTGGGGAAACACAAATCCCCTCCCCCCACCCGTGTCACCCCCCCCCCCTCCTACACACCCTCGGTCATCGACGTGCTGTCTTTAAATCTACAACTCACGACCCCCCGAGTTCACTCTGGAGAGAGGAGGGAGGAGGAGGGAGCAGGGAGGAGGAGGGAGGAGGAGGGAGGAGGGAGGAGGAGGAGGAGGGAGGAGGAAGAGGGGGAAGAAGGGGGGGGAGGAGGAGGGAGGAGGAGGAGGAGGGGAGTCTCCGGGCTTAATCCGCTGGCGTACCGCGAAATCTGCACGACGATTCCGTCCTTTTTCTGTGCCCCCTAAGGGACCGTCCATAAATGACGTCACGCACCTGGGGGGGGGGATGAGAAATGTGACGTCACGTAAAAATGCGCAACTTTAAGTAAATATAGACAACACGTTCTACTTAATTAAATTTACTTTTTAATAAATGTTTTATCCTAGAACATCAGAGTGCAGCGCCACATTAAATACGCACTACAGTGACTTATAGTTTAAAGCGATTTGAAGCATGTTTTACATATTTTGGGGGGGGGGGGGGCAGAGCTTTGTGACGTCATATTTGAGGGGGAGGGGTCTGACTTTTTGTGACGCCGTGTGACTGGGAGGGGGGGTCAAAAATCGTCCCAAATCGCGTGACGTCATTTATGGCCCCTAAGTCAAGCAGCAGCGCGTCACTTAGACATCAGGCGTGTGTGGTTTACGGTACACGTTGCGCTATAATGGACGTTGCTCAGTGTTGATCGGTCGGTCACTATTGCATTAACCTACGTACGTATTTACATATTTATATCAAAGTATATAATTTAAACTCGTGCGTTCACATATATTACACCCGGTACCATGGTTGAATTAAATTGTTCTTTGAAGGCAGATGGAACCCAACCGACGAGACAGCTGCCCACGTTTGCAGAGAGCCACCTTAGCCTGGCAGCTTGAGATGCACTCCTACAACTAAATTGTCCATCCCTCCCCCCACAACCGCAATCTTATCCCGGACTGTGCTCTCGGCGTCCAAAGTCGTGGGGTGGTGTAAAGTGTGGGTTTACTGACACCCCTTCTTCCGACACGTGCCGGCACGCAACGGAAGAGTAGGCCAAGTACCACGCGCGGCGGCGGTGGTGGTGGTAGTGGTGGTGCTGGTAGTGGTGGTGCTGGCGGTGGTGGTGGTGCTAGCGGTGATGGTGGTGGTAGTGGTGGTGCTGGCGGTGGTGGTGCTGGCGGTGGTGCTAGCAGTGGTGGTGGTGCTAGCGGTGGTGGTGGTGCTAGCGGTGGTGCTGGTAGTGGTGGTGCTGGCGGTGGTGGTGGTGCTAGCGGTGGTGGTGCTGGCGGTGGTGGTAGTGGTGCTAGCGGTGATGGTGGCGGTGGTAGTGGTGGTGCTGGCGGTGATGGTGGTGGTGCTGGCGGTGATGGTGGTGCTAGCGGTGGTGCTGGTGGTGGTGGTAGCGGTGGTGCTGGCGGTGGTGGTGGTACTAGCGGTGATGGTGGTGGCGGTGGTAGTGGTGGTGCTGGCGGTGATGGTGGTGGTGCTGGCGGTGATGGTGGTGCTAGCGGTGATGCTGGTGGTGGTGGTAGTGGTGGTGCTGGCGGTGATGGTGGTGGTAGCGGTGGTGCTGGCGGTGGTGGTGGTAGTGTTGGTGCTGGCGGTGGTGGTGGTGCTGGCGGTGGTGCTAGCGGTGATGGTGGTGGTAGTGGTGGTGATGGTGGTGGTAGTGGTGGTGCTAGCGGTGATGGTGGTGGTAGTGGTGGTGCTATCGGTGGTGGTGGCGGGTGGGCATGGGGGCGTGATGAGCTCCTGCCAGTGCTCGCCTTGAGCACCGTGCTGCCGAAGGCGCTGTGCGGGATGCACCGGGGGGTGGGGACCTACTGGAACATCTGTTTAAACAAAAAAAAACTAACAAAGAGCTTTATAGCTCATCGGATTCTTCCAGCGTATAAGTTCGTGTTCGGAATTTCGATTCCGCCTGACGGCGCGGCCCGACGCTCGCCTCCGCCCCGGGCTCCCTCTGCCTTCAAGGGTTTTACATTAATCGTTATCCGTTAGCGGGATTACTTTGTTTAGTTTGTTTACAAAGATCGTTACCTTTTTTGTGAAAGGTATTTAATCACTAACTCAAAGGTGGTGTTTTTTTTTTGTTCTCGCCCCCCCCTCCACCACCACCACCACCACCTAAGGTCTTCTTAATTTGAACTAATAAAGACAATCACGTAATAAAGACAAAATGTCGAACCCCGCTCATCGCGCCAAACGTCTTCACGGTGATTTTATTTCTTTTCGCGCCGCCTTGGAGTTCAAACGCGCCCGGTCCCTGCGGGGGCAGCTTCGTGCGCAGACGGTGGCTGTGTCGGAGGGGGGAAACAACAACACCACCACTAACAACAGCAAAAACAACAACACCACCACTAACAACAAAACCAACACCAACAACAAAAAACAACACCAACAACAACACCACCAACAAAATCATCAACAAAAGCAAAACGACAACAAAATCATCAACCAAACCAAACACAACACCAACAAATTAATCAACAACAATAACAACAGCCACACCAGAAACAACACGCACAAAGAGCCAGTTGTCACCGACAATCCTGAGTTCAACGCCTGGGTCTGATTGTGTTTGTAAGGGGGATCATCGTGGCCATGTTGGAGACACTGACCCAGCGATTCTGAGGCCCTGGGTTCCAGCCCAGGTGTGTGAGTGTCTCTCTGACGGTTCATAATGTCCATGTTGGAGACACTGACCCAGCGATTCTGAGACCCTGGGTTCCAGCCCCAGGTGTGTGAGTCTCTCTGACGGTTCATATTGGCCATGTTGGAGACTCTGACCCAGCGATTGTGAGACCCTGGGTTCCAGCCCTGGTGTGTGAGTGTCTCTGGCGGTTCATAATGGCCATGTTGGAGACACTGACCCAGCGATTCTGAGACCCTGGGTTCCAGTCCCGGTGTGTGAGTGTGTCTCTCTGACGGTTCATCATGGCCATGTTGGAGACACTGACCCAGCGATTCTGAGACCCTGGGTTCCAGCCCAGGTGTGAGAGTGTCTCTCTGATGGTTCATCATGGCCATGTTGGAGACACTGACCCAGCGATTCTGACACCCTGGGTTGAATCCCCGGTGTGTGAGTCTCTCTGACGGTTTATAATGGCCATGTTGGAGACACTGACCCAGCTCTGTTTAGGATCCCGGTTCAAACCCCGGGGTCTGGGTGTCTCTTTTTGTTTTTCCCGAGGTGCGAGACCAAGTCACCCCAAATTCTTCAGTCCCTTCACTTCACCAGGTCTCCAACACCAATCCTCGGTCAACTTCAACATCACACTCGCGAGCTCCCAAGATCCTCCGTTTCCACTCGAGCTCTGGAAGACGTCAGGTCACCTCTGGGTCAACTTGAGTTGGCCCACAGTTGACCGTTCCGTGGAACCATGGTAGACATGTTACGCTCTACCTCCAGAAACTCTACTCACAATGCGATTAAAGGAGCTGCACTCCCCACTAAAACCCTTCCTGTGCTCTACACCTCTGCTGAATGAATGCGCAAGTGAGCGATCTACTTGGCGGTTGGAGATGGAGCGTCGGTGAGGGTGTTTGAGAGGGTGGTTGAGTGGGTGGTTGAGTGGGTGGTTGAGAGGGTGGTTGAGTGAGTGGTTGACGGTGGTTGAGAGGGTGGTTGAGAGGGTGGTTGAGTGAGTGGTTGAGAGGGTGGTTGAAAAGGTGATTGAGTGAGTGGTTGAGGGTGGTTGAGAGGGTGGTTGAGTGAGTGGTTGAGAGGGTGGTTGAGAGGGTGATTGAGAGGGTGGTTGAGTGAGTGGTAGAGAGGATGGTTGAGAGGGTGATTGAGAGGGTGGTTGAGTGGGTGGTTGAGAGGGTGGTTGCGAGGGTGGTTGAGTGAGTGGTTGACGGTGGTTGAGAGGGTGGTTGAGAGGGTGGTTGAGTGAGTGGTTGAGAGGGTGGTTGAAAAGGTGATTGAGTGAGTGGTTGAGGGTGGTTGAGAGGGTGGTTGAGTGAGTGGTTGAGTGAGTGGTTGAGAGGGTGGTTGAGTGAGTGGTTGAGAGGGTGGTTGAGTGGGTGGTTGAGTGAGTGGTTGAGGGTGGTTGAGTGGGTGGTTGAGTGAGTGGTTGAGGGTGGTTGAGAGGGTGGTTGAGCGGGTGGTTGAGTGGGTGGTTGAGAGGGTGGTTGAGTGAGTGGTTGAGTGAGTGGTTGAGAGGGTGGTTGAGTGGGTGGTTGAGAGGGTGGTTGCGAGGGTGGTTGAGTGAGTGGTTGACGGTGGTTGAGAGGGTGGTTGAGAGGGTGGTTGAGTGAGTGGTTGAGAGGGTGGTTGAGAGGGTGGTTGAGAGGGTGGTTGAGTGAGTGGTTGAGAGGGTGGTTGAAAAGGTGATTGAGTGAGTGGTTGAGGGTGGTTGAGAGGGTGGTTGAGTGAGTGGTTGAATGAGTGGTTGAGAGGGTGGTTGAGAGGGTGGTTGAGAGGGTGGTTGAGTGAGTGGTTGAGAGGGTGGTTGAGACGGTGGTTGAGAGGGTGGTTGAGTGGGTGGTTGAGAGGGTGGTTGCGAGGGTGGTTGAGTGAGTGGTTGAGAGGATGGTTGAAAAGGTGATTGAGTGGTTGAGGGTGGTTGAGAGGGTGGTTGAGTGAGTGGTTGAGTGAGTGGTTGAGAGGGTGGTTGAGAGGGTGGTTGAGTGAGTGGTTGAGATGGTGGTTGAGAGGGTGGTTGAGTGGGTGGTTGAGAGGGTGGTTGAGTGAGTGGTTGAGTGAGTGGTTGAGAGGGTGGTTGAGTTAGTGGTTGAGTTAGTGGTTGAGTGAGTGGTTGAGAGGGTGGTTGAGTGAGTGGTTGAGGGTGGTTGAGTGGGTGGTTGAGTGAGTGGTTGAGAGGGTGGTTGAGTGAGTGGTTGAGTGAGTGGTTAAGTGGGTGGTTGAGAGGGTGGTTGAGTAAGTGGTTGAGTGAGTGGTTGAGAGGGTGGTTGAGTGAATGGTTGAGTGGGTGGCTGAGTGAGTGATTGAGGGTGGTTGAGAGGGTGGTTGAGAGGGTGGTTGAGTGAGTGGTTGAGAGGGTGGTTGAGAGGGTGGTTGAGGGTGGTTGAGAGGGTGGTTGAGTGAGAGGTTAAGTGGGTGGTTGAGAGGGTGGTTGAGTAAGTGGTTGAGTGAGTGGTTGAGAGGGTGGTTGAGTGAGTGGTTGAAGGTGGTTGAGTGGGTGGTTGAGTGAGTGGTTGAGAGGGTGGTTGAGTGAGTGGTTGAGTGAGTGGTTAAGTGGGTGGTTGAGAGGGTGGTTGAGTAAGTGGTTGAGTGAGTGGTTGAGAGGGTGGTTGAGTGAATGGTTGAGTGGGTGGCTGAGTGAGTGGTTGAGGGTGGTTGAGAGGGTGGTTGAGTGAGAGGTTGAGAGGGTGGTTTAGAGGGTGGTTGAGTGAGTGAGTGGTTGAGTGAGTGGTTGAGTGGGTGGTTGAGAGGGTGGTTGGGAGGGTGGTTGAGAGGGTGGTTGAGTGAGTGATTGAGAGGGTGGTTGAGTGAGTGGTTGAGGGTGGTTGAGAGGGTGGTTGAGTGAGTGGTTGAGGGTGGTTGAGAGGGTGGTTGAGTGAGTGGTTGAGAGGGTGGTTGAGTGGGTGGTTAAGTGAGTGGTTGAGGGTGGTTGAAAGGGTGGATGAGTGAGTGGTTGACTGAGTGGTTGAGTGGTTGAGTGAGGTGGGTGAGAGGGTGGTTGAGTGAGTGGTTGAGTGAGTGGTTGAGTGAGTGGTTGAGGGTGGTTGAGTGAGTGGTTGAGAAGGTGGTTGAGTGAGTGGTTGAGTGGGTGGTTGAGAGGGTGGTTGAGTGGGTGGTTGAGTGAGTGGTTGAGGGTGGTTGAGTGGGTGGTTGAGTGAGTGGTTGAGTGAGTGGTTGAGTGAGTGGTTGAGGGCGGTTGAGTGAGTGGTTGAGTGAGTGGTTGAGAGGGTGGTTGAGTGAGTGGTTGAGTGAGTGGTTGAGAGGGTGGTTGAGTGAGTGGTTGGGGGTGGTTGAGAGTGTGGTTGAGTGAGTGGTTGAGGGGTGGTGAGCGAGTTCGTCATTTAATTTTTGAGTGAGGGTGGGAGATGGAACGCCTGAGCCTAGGGTCCCCCAACCACTGATGAGACTCGGGGCTCCAGGAGACCGGGTCTCAGGGTCTTGAGACTCGGCTCCAGGAGACCGGGTCTCAGGGTCTTGAGACTCGGCTCCAGGAGACTGGGTCTCGGGGTCGTGAGACTCTGCTCCAGGAGACCGGGTCTCAGGATCTTGAGACTCTGCTCCAGGAGACCGGGTCTCAGGGTCCTGAGACTCTGCTCCAGGAGACCGGGTCTCAGGGTCCTGAGACTCTGCTCCAACAAGGATCTCAAACCCACAAGAGGCACCACAGTCTCTGGGAAACACGACGAACAAACGTGACATTGGAACCTACCCTAACGCCAGCTTCCCGCGATTTTGGTCATCAGTTAGGTCATGTTGTTTCAAAACCCGGCCACGATGCGTTTTGACGTTGTGGAAACGCGGGTTTAAGTTCGCGGGAGGCAATTGTCTATTTTTGTTTCTTCCCCACGACACAGCTTCCGAAGCTGCCTCGTCTCATCGCGAGCAGGCCGGCCTCGCTGTTCCAAGCCAGCAACAGGATTCTCCCCCCCCCCTCCGTGAGAGTCGCCACGTTGTCGGAAGGACGGCAGAACGAGGGGAGAGAGAGGACCGCGGCCGAGAGGACCCGGTGTCGCCAGGGAAGATTTCCGCACGGCGCTCTTCCGTTGTGCCGCTCCGACCGATTCGGAGCGAGGGACCTCGCGGCGCACGAACCCCGAGCGCACTCCGCGTGCCCCAGCAGCAGCTTACGCTGATGCCCCACAGTGGAGGGCGAAGTGGTCGGCACCAGGGGGAGGTGGGGCTGATGCGGTCGGGGAGGATGCGGGGACCGAGTGAGTGGAAGACAAAAGCTCCCCCCCCCCACCCCCACCGTATGTAGCCTGAAACAGACTGTTGGGGCAAGTGTTGTTCGTGAGCATCTATGAAGGCCGGCACGGCACACGACGGGGTGGGTGACTAGCAACCACGCTCGGCCACCTTTGTCTCCCCACTGGTGATGTTTACGCACCGCACCGGCTACTCATTTGAGGCCGAGTCGACCTAGGGGAGGTCCAGAACCGGTTCAGACAATCGTTACCGGTGTTGGCCAATGAGCGGGAGTCGTAGGGCGGCGCGCTAACCGCTGCGCCACCGCTCCCCACGGAAGACGACACACGCACATACACACGCGCGCACCCACACTGACCCACAACACAACTCGCCCTGCGAATAGCCCGGCAGTGACAGATTCCCAGGAAACACGTGCTGCTGCTGCTGTTGTTGCTGATTCACTCCGTGAGAGCCACTCTCTGAATTGCGTCCAGTCTGTTTACAGCTGAGAACTCGGAGCACGGGTCCCAGGGGGGGTGGGGCACGAACCCCCCCCCCCACTCCCACCGCCACCTGGCTTCTCACGACTTTCGCCTTTGCCACGTCACGCACTCATTTCAAATGTTACTATTTATACACGGACGCAATAAGTGACGCGCTTTCATGTCATAGGGCCCATACGTGGTGTCATCGGGCTTGGCTTTGCCCGTACAAGGAATAGTGGAACGGGAATGGACGTATTTTGTAACGATCCCAATGCTCGATTAAACGGGAATCGACCGATTTTTCAGGATACAAAGCTTGATCCATGCTTGATCCATGCTCGAACACATAGACACATGTATTTAAATCATCACAGCTTGATCCATGCTTGATCCATGCTCACATAGACACATGTATTTAAATCATCACAGCTTGATCCATGATTGATCCATGCTCGAACACATAGACACATGTATTTAAATCATCACAGCTTGATCCATGCTTGATCCATGTTCGAACACATAGACATGTATTTAAATCATCACAGCTTGATCCATGATTGATCCATGCTCGAACACAGACACACGTATTTAAATCATCACAGCTTGATCCATGATTGATCCATGCTCGAACACATAGACACACGTATTTAAATCATCACAGCTTGATCCATGATTGATCCATGCTCGAACACATAGACACATGTATTTAAATCATCACAGCTTGATCCATGATTGATCCATGCTCGAACACATAGACACATGTATTTAAAACATCACAGCTTGATCTGTGCTTGATCCATGCTCGAACACATAGACACATGTATTTAAAACATCACAGCTTGATCTGTGCTTGATCCTTGCTCGAACACATAGACACATGTATTTAAATCATCACAGCTTGATCTGTGCTTGATCCATGCTCGAACACATAGACACATGTATTTAAATAATCACAGCTTGATCCATGATTGATCCATGCTCGAACACATAGACACATGTATTTAAATCATCACAGCTTGATCCATGATTGATCCATGCTCGAACACATAGACACATGTATTTAAAACATCACAGCTTGATCCATGCTTGATCCATGCTCGAACACATAGGCACATGTATTTAAATCATCACAGCTTGATCTGTGCTTGATCCATGCTCGAACACATAGACACATGTATTTAAATCATCACAGCTTGATCCATGCTTGATCCATGTTCGAACACGTAGACACATGTATTTAAATCATCACAGCTTGATCCATGATTGATCCATGCTCGAAGACAAGTTGAACTTCTTGGGCACCGTACGTAGACAACCGTGGCTAATCGGAGGTGCCGGGGGGAAGGACAACAAACTACACACAACAAGCAGTTCTAAGAAATGAGTTCTCAATGTTGTATGGTAGTGTATAGTAGTTTAGTATATAGTAGTGTAGTGTGTAGTATATAGTAGTGTAGTTTATAGCAGTGTAGTATATAGTAGTGTAGTGTGTAGTATATCGTACGGTAGTGTATAGTGTAGTATAGCAATGTAGTATATAGTAATGTAGTGTATAGCAGTGTAGTATATAAGTGTCGCGTATCGTCGTTTGTATGTGTGTTGAACTTCTTTCGCACCGTACATAGCCAACCGTGCTCTGGATAGTGGCGGACGGGCAGCCAGGGGATAGGTCGGACACCGAGGAGATGGATCGTGTGTCGAGGAGGCGCTGGGCGGTGATGGCAAGGGGAGAGGCCTTCATCTCGCAGTGGAAGGACAACAAACTGAACACGAACGAGCAGTTCTAAAATGCAGTGAGGCTGTGTTGCCCTCTAGTGGTGAACTGTTAAAATACCACGCGGAGTCTCGAGGCTCATCGCGCAGCGCTGTAAAAACTAAATAAAATCCACAACATTTACTCAGATTGTAAATGTTTTGTATTTGCTCTGCAACACACCGGTGTGCTGTACTAGTAACCAATTGGCATGTTCTATTTACTTGACACACCTTACTAATTGGCTGTGTCGGGTAGTGGCGGGTTTAATGACACATTTATATTTACGCGATCTCATCCCCCCCAAAAAACCTATATCATGGTTTACATTGGTCGCGAAAGCCTACGTTTTAAATTAACTAATTTTACAAGCGTTAAGGCCCCACTGAGCTATTTAGCTTATTTTTCAGAAACCACCTGGCCAAAGGTGGCTTATCATGTGGACATTATAGCAGCCAAATGCTCTAAAACGCATGTGATTCTAAATGAGGAGGGGAAAGCCCGGAGGACTCTAATCAGAATGATGAGTCTCCAATAAAATTGCACGGGCAATCCATCGACTGGACCAAAATGTAAACTATTTGTTTTATTTTACCATGTAAGGCCAACTGAGTTATGTAGTAGCCCTTTTTTAGAAGCGACCTGGCCATCCCAAATGATAACTCGACGGAAGTGCCTTATCACGTGCAACTTGACAGCAGCCAAATAATAATCTAAACCAAGTGGCGGCTATGGGTTGACTGCTGTGCCAGGCTAGGTGCCATGGGTTGACTGCTGTGCCAGGCTAGGTGCAGGATGTCACGGAAACGACCCAGGTGCCATGGGTTGTCCTGCTTTGCCAGGCAGGGTGCAGGTCACGGGACAAACCCAGGTGCCATGGGTTGACTGCTGTGCCAGGCTAGGTGCAGGATGTCACGGAAACGACCCAGGTGCCATGAGTTGACTGCTGTGCCAGGCAGGGTGCAGGAGGTCACGGGACAGACCCAGGTGCCATGGGTTGACTGCTGTGCTAGGCTAATTCACCGCCTGTGCCACCTACTCTGCCAAAGATCTCCCTTATCGCCTTAACATTATTCGGGCAAGTGTTGTTAGGGAGCAGCACCTATAAAGGCCGGTACAACACACACAGGTGGCCCAACACAGACAGGTGGCCCTACCACCCACACACAGGTGGCCCTACACACACACAGGTGGCCCTACACACACACAGATGGCCCTACACACACACAGATGGCTCTACACACACAGGTGGCCTTACACACAGGTGGCCCTACACACACACAGGTGGCCCTGCACACACAGGTGGCCCTACACACAGGTGGCCCTACACACACACAGGTGGCCCTACACACAGGTGGCCCTAGACACACAGGTGGCCTTACACACACACACAGGTGGCCTTACACACACACAGGTAGCCCTACACACAGGTGGCCCTACACACACAGGTGGCCTTACACACACACAGGTGGCCCTACACACACACAGGTGGCCCTACACACACACAGGTGGCCCTACACACACACAGGTGGCCCTATACACACACAGATGGCTCTACACACAGAGGTGGCCTTACACACACACAGGTGGCCCTACACACACAGGTGGCCCTACACACAGGTGGCCCTACACACACACAGGTGGCCCTACACACAGGTGGCCCTAGACACAGGTGGCCTTACACACACACAGGTGGCCTTACACACACACAGGTGGCCCTACACACACAGGTGGCCTTACACACACACAGGTGGCCCTATACACACACAGGTGGCCTTAGACACAGGTGGCCCTACACACACACAGGTGGCCCTACACACACACAGATGGCTGTACACACACACAGGTGGCCCTACACACACACAGATGGCTCTACACACAGGTGGCCCTACACACACACAGGTGGCCCTACACACACAGGTGGCCTTACACACACACAGGTGGCCTTACACACACACAGGTAGCCCTACACACAGGTGGCCCTACACACACAGGTGGCCTTACACACACACAGGTGGCCCTACACACACACAGGTGGCCTTACACACACACACAGGTGGCCCTACACACACACAGGTGGCCCTACACACACACAGGTGGCCTTAGACACAGTTGGCCCTACACACACAGGTGGCCCTACACACACACAGGTGGCCCTACACACACACAGATGGCTCTACACACAGAGGTGGCCCTACACACACACAGGTGGCCCTACACACACACAGATGGCTCTACACACAGAGGTGGCCTTACACACACACAGGTAGCCCTACACACAGGTGGCCCTACACACACAGGTGGCCTTACACACACACAGGTGGCCCTACACACACACAGGTGGCCTTAGACACAGTTGGCCCTACACACACAGGTGGCCTTACACACACACAAGTGGCCCTACACACACACAGATGGCCCTAGACACACAGGTGGCCCTAAACACACACAGGTGGCCCTACACACACACAGGTGGCCCTACACACACACAGGTGGCCCTGGACACACACACAGATGGCCTTACACACACACAGGTGGCCTTACACACACACAGGTGGCCCTACACACACACACAGGTGGCCCTAGACACACACACAGATGGCCTTACACACACACAGGTGGCCCTACACACACACAGGTGGCCCTACACACACACAGGTGGACCTACACACACACAGATGGCCCTACACACACACAGGTGGCCCTAGACACACACACAGATGGCCCTACACACACACAGGTGGCCCTACACACACACAGGTGGCCCAACACACACAGGTGGCCCTACACACACACAGGTGGCCCTACACACACACAGGTGGCCTTACACACACACAGATGGCCCTACACACACAGGTGGCCTTACACACACACAGGTGGCCCTACACACACAGGTGGCCCTACACACACACAGGTGGCCCTAGACACACACACAGATGGTGCTACACACACACAGGTGGCCCTACACACACACAGGTGGACCGGCCAAAAGTATCCATTGCCATCCCTCTGGCCAATTTTGAATCCGGGCCCTGGCCACGTGACGGGAGGCGTGGGCGGAGCTGCCCGACGTGGGGCGGAGCCTCCTTGGCGTGGCCCCACCCACCGCCGACCCCTACGGAAGCTCCAGTGGCCTTCAAATGGTATAAACGCGATTAGTTTTTTGTCAACACGGTAGTTTGTCCACGATTGTACGATATACACACCGTATTCAACAACTATGTACAGTATATTGTGTAGTGTATAGTGTAGTGTATAGTGTAGTGTATAGTGTAGTGTACTTGTTCAGCATACACCGGTTGTGTTGGAGAGTAAACTCACTACAACATTTACAATTATAGTGTAGTAGTGTATTGTATAGTAGTGTATAGTGTAAACCCACAACAACGTTTACAATAGACATATACAACATCCACACAGTAGCATTCCCTTATCAAGTGCCCTACCTTACTACAGACCAATCCGGACCTTATTGGCCACCCCGTGCCCCTTATAAATCTCAACGTTCATCCTATAAAGTCCCATCACAAATATACATTATTGTATTCATAATAAAGGTTTTTGGGTTAGATCGCGTTATTTTTTTTATGTGTCGTAACCCTCCACCACCCGACACGGCCAAACAGTAAAATAAAAAAGTGTCACGTTGACAAAAGACAAAATAGTTCACTACTTTATCCCACAGGGGTGTTGTTGAATGGTGAATCCACAACATTTACAACTTTTTTGTTTTATTATTGAAACGGCTGCACGCCACATGGACCTAAAAACTCAATCCCCCCCCTGTACAATAACACGGGATAATAAACCGTGTGGGTTGTCAGCTATGGTGATATAGCCGTGCAATCACGAGGAAATGGACCACTTGTGAGTGTATCACAATATAAGAAGAGGTTTTACCCTTTCTGACAATAAAACAGCTCTGTTAATGTGTTAAAACGCCAAACTGAAACCTTTCGCAAGAAATCCGCGTCTGCATTGACCACACACAATGCTTGTGGTGAACATGAAAACTAACAAATGCGATAAAACCAATCGGTTTGAAAGACAATTCATCATCATCATCTACTAACTGTTTATTGTTTGAATGTTCATCACAGGTGCTGTGTGGTTAACGCAGACGTGAGTTTGGTGTATTAACATCTTAACCACCGCCTGTTCTATTTGCCAGAAAGGTTAAAACGCCTATTCTTATGCGAAGGGGGGCCTTGCCCGAAACGTCGCCACCCACAGAACGTTCCGTGGCGTCTAGCCCCACCTCGTGGTCAGCCTCCTCCACCACCACCACGTGCTGCGGCGGGCAAGCGGCTCGGCGCGACTTTTATTAACTAAGAAGCAACAGCACGCGACTTTACCACGGGATTACTCGGTTTAAAACAACAACAACAACAGTTTGTTTGTCCTCCTTCAAGTTGCTCGTCTGAGCCATGTCGGACAACGAAGACAAGTGAGTGTGTAGCTCAGACGCGGGGTGCCTGTGTGGCGTGGGGCGACTGCGGCCGAGAGACGCATCCTGCGTGTAGGCCACGGGGCTTGGGAATTGATGGAAAACAACAGTCGGTCAGTCAGTCAACCAGAGTAAAACAACAGTCGGTCAGTCAGTCAACCAGAGTAAAACAACAGTAGGTCAGTCAGTCAACCAGAGTAAAACAACAGTCAGTCAGCCAATCAGGAAACCACTAGAATAAACCAACAGTCAGTCAATCAGTCAACCACTAGAGTTAACAGTCAGTCAACCCCTAGAGTAAAACAACAGTCAGTCAACCCCTAGAGTAAAACAACAGTCAGTCAACCCCTAGAGTAAAACAACAGTCAGCTAGTCAGTCAACCCCTAGAGTAAAACAACAGTCAGTCAACCACCAGAGTAAAACAACAGTCGGTCAGTCAGGCTTCACGGTGGCTATGAGATGTTAACTACCTCGCCTGCTATACAGGAGGTCTGTCTCTCATCATCATCATCATGGTGGCTATGAGATGTTAACTACCTCGCCAGGTATACAGGAGGTCTGTGTCTCTCTCTCATCATCATCACGGTGGCTATGAGATGTTAATTCCCTCGCCTGGTGTACAGGAGGTCTGTGTCTCTCTCATCATCACCACGGTGGCTATGAGATGTTAACTACCTCGCCAGGTCTACAGGAGGTCTGTGTCTCTCATCATCATCACGGTGGCTATGAGATGTTAACTACCTCGCCCGCTATACAGGAGGTCTGTGTCTCTCTCATCATCACCATCATCACGGTGACTATGAGATGTTAACTACCTCGCCTGGTATACAGGAGGTCTGTGTCTCATCATCATCACGGTGGCTATGAGATGTTAACTACCTCGCCAGGTCTACAGGAGGTCTGTGTCTCTCATCATCATCACGGTGGCTATGAGATGTTAACTACTTCACCTGGTGTACAGGAGGTATGTGTCTATCATCATCATCACGGTGGCTATGAGATGTTAACTACCTCGCCTGGTATACAGGAGGTCTGTGTCTCATCATCATCACGGTGGCTATGAGATGTTAACTACCTCGCCTGGTATACAGGAGGTCTGTGTCTCTCTCATCATCATCATCACGGTGGCTATGAGATGTTAACTCCCTCGCCTGGTGTACAGGAGGTCTGTGTCTCTCTCACCATCATCACGGTGGCTATGAGATGTTAACTACCTCGCCAGGTGTACAGGAGGTCGTGGGTTCGAGCCCGACCCTGCTGCTGCTGCTGTATATTTTTAGTTTTGCGTCTCTCTCTCCCCGTGGTGGTCGCGTGGATTTGTCTCCGGGTCGTCCCGTTTTTTCCCCTCCACGTTTAGAATCAACATCACGCTTGTGACAGTGTTTAGCAGCTTCACATTTCCACGTGATGAGCCACTAAGTCGGGCTATCATTTGTGGGACAGCCCAGTGCTGCCTTAACCTGGTAAAATAAATAAACACAAATTTCGATTTAAAGCTTTCGTGACTGCAAGGATTCATCTTCTTTGGTTCTTTCGGTAAAGTCACGTAGAATGAGAATAAAATAATAAATTGATAAAATAAAATAACACAATATTATTCTCACGACGTTTCGGCCACAACACAAGCGGCCTTCATCAGGTGAAGGGGACGAGACTGTCTGGAGGACAGCGCTGATGAAGGCCGCTTGTGTTGTGGCCGAAACGTCGTGAGAATTTTTATTGTGTTATTTTATTTTATCAATTTATTATTTTATTCTCATTCTACGTGGTGACTTTACCGAAAGAACCAAAGAAGATGAATCCTTGCAGTCACGAAAGCTTTAAATCGAAATTTAGTTTTCTAGTTTCTAGGTGCTGGGTGGTGATGGCTCCAAGATGTCTTCATCTAGCAGTGGTTGATGATAGAACGTGTGTGTGCTGACTCCCCTCTCCGCCCCGGGTTTACATCTCCAGTTTCGATGGAGATGATTTTGCTGAAGATGAGGAGGCGATGGACGACCTCGACAATGCCGAGGAGGTGATGGCATCGCCATTAGCGTCACCGTCATGTCCGTCACCTTCCCGTGTCTCCCTTCACCTCGTCTTCACCCCGTCTTCACCCCGTCTTCACCCCGTCTTCACCCCGTCTTCACCTCGTCTTCACCTCATCTTGACCTCATCTTCACCCCGTCTTCACCTCGTCTTCACCTCGTCTTCACCTTGTCTTCACCTCGTCTTCACCTCGTCTTCACCCCGTCTTCACCTCGTCTTCACCCCGTCTTCACCTCGTCTTCACCCCGTCTTCACCTCGTCTTCACCCTGTCTTCACCTCGTCTTCACCCCGTCTTCACCGCGTCTTCACCCCGTCTTCACCTCGTCTTCACCCAGTCTTCACCCCGTCTTCACCTCGTCTTCACCCCGTCTTCACCTCGTCTTCACCTCGTCTTCACCCCGTCTTCACCTCGTCTTCACCTCGTCTTCACCTCGTCTTCACCCCGTCTTCACCCCGTCTTCACCCCGTCTTCACCTCGTCTTCACCTCGTCTTGACCCCGTCTTCACCTCGTCTTCACCCAGTCTTCACCTCGTCTTCACCTCGTCTTCACCCCGTCTTCACCCCGTCTACCCCGTCTTGACCCCGTCTTCACCTCGTCTTCACCCCGTCTTCACCTCGTCTTCACCTCGTCTTCACCTCGTCTTCACCCCGTCTTCACCCCGTCTTCACCTCGTCTTCACCTCGTCTTCACCCCGTCTTCACCTCGTCTTCACCTCGTCTTCACCGCGTCTTCACCCCGTCTTCACCTCGTCTTCACCTCGTCTTCACCCCGTCTTCACCTCGTCTTCACCTCGTCTTCACCCCGTCTTCACCTCGTCTTCACCTCGTCTTGACCCCCTCTTCACCCCGTCTTCACCTCGTCTTCACCTCGTCTTCACCCTGTCTTTACCTCGTCTTCACCCCGTCTTCACCCCGTCTTCACCTCGTCTTCACCCCGTCTTCACCTCGTCTTCACCCCGTCTTCACCCCGTCTTCACCTCGTCTTCACCCCGTCTTCACCCCGTCTTCACCTCGTCTTCACCCCGTCTTCACCTCGTCTTCACCCCGTCTTGACCCCGTCTTCACCTCGTCTTCACCTCGTCTTCACCCCATCTTCACCCCGTCTTCACCTCGTCTTCACCTCGTCTTCACCCCGTCTTCACTTCGTCTTCACCTCGTCTTCCCTCTCCATGCGCGTCCCAATGTCGTGTATCCCTGTGTCTCACTGTGTCTCCCTGTGTCTCCCTGTCTCACTGTGTCTCCCTGTGTCTCCCTCCACATCACTGTGTCTCCCTGTGTCTCCCTGTGTCTCACTGTCTCACTGTGTCTCACTGTGTCTCCCTGTGTCTCACTGTGTCTCACTGTCTCCCTGTGTTTCCCTGTGTCTCCCTTTGTCTCACTGTCTCACTGTGTCTCACTTTGTCTCACTTTGTCTCCCTGTGTCTCTCTGTGTCTCCCTGTGTCTCCCTCCACATCACTTTGTCTCACTGTGTCTCACTTTGTCTCACTGTGTCTCCCTGTGTCTCACTTTGTCTCACTGTGTCTCACTGTGTCTCCCTGTGTCTCCCTGTGTCTCACTTTGTCTCACTGTGTCGCACTGTCTCACTGTGTGTCACTTTGTCTCACTGTGTCTCCCTGTGTCTCACTGTGTCTCCCTGTGTCTCCCTGTGTCTCCCTGTCTCCCTGTGTCTCCCTGTGTCTCCCTGTGTCTCCCTCATCACTGTGTCTCCCTGTGTCTCCCTGTGTCTCACTTTGTCTCACTTTGTCTCCCTGTCTCCCTGTGTCTCACTGTGTCTCACTTTGTCTCCCTCTGTCTCACTGTGTCTCAATGTGTCTCACTGTCTCCCTGTGTCTCACTGTGTCTCACTGTCTCCCTGTGTCTCCCTGTGTCTCCCTGTGTCTCACTGTCTCCCTGTGTCTCACTGTGTCTCACTTTGTCTCCCTGTGTCTCCCTGTGTCTCACTGTGTCTCACTGTGTCTCCCTGTGTCTCACTGTCTCCCTGTGTCTCACTGTCTCCCTGTGTCTCCCTGTGTCTTCCTGTGTCTCACTTTGTCTCACTTTGTCTCCCTGTGTCTCACTTTGTTTCCCTGTGTCTCCCTGTGTCTCCCTGTGTCTCACTTTGTCTCCCTGTCTCACTGTCTCCCTGTGTCTCCCTTTGTCTCACTGTGTCTCACTGTGTCTGCCTGTGTCTCACTTTGTCTCCCTGTGTCTCCCTGTGTCTCACTTTGTCTCCCTGTGTCTCCCTGTGTCTCCCTGTGTCTCCCTCCACATCACTGTCTCCCTGTGTCTCCCTGTGTCTCACTGTGTCTCCCTGTGTCTCCCTTTGTCTCCCTGTGTCTCCCTGTGTCTCACTTTGTCTCACTTTGTCTCCCTGTCTCACTGTCTCCCTGTGTCTCCCTTTGTCTCACTGTGTCTCACTGTGTCTGCCTGTGTCTCACTTTGTCTCCCTGTGTCTCCCTGTGTCTCACTTTGTCTCCCTGTGTCTCCCTGTGTCTCCCTCCACATCACTGTCTCCCTGTGTCTCACTGTGTCTCACTGTGTCTCACTTTGTCTCCCTGTGTCTCACTTTGTCTCCCTGTGTCTCCCTGTGTCTCCCTGTGTCTCACTTTGTCTCACTGTGTCTTCCTGTGTCTCACTGTGTCTCCCTCCACATCACTTTGTCTCACTGTGTCTCCGTGTCTCACTGTGTCTCCCTCCACATCACTGTGTCTCCCTGTGTCTCACTTTGTCTCACTTTGTCTCCCTGTGTCTCACTGTGTCTCCCTGTGTCTCACTTTGTCTCACTTTGTCTCCCTGTGTCTCCCTGTGTCTCACTGTCTTACTGTGTCTCACTGTGTCTCCCTGTGTCTCACTGTGTCTCCCTCCACATCACTTTGTCTCACTTTGTCTCACTGTGTCTCACTTCGTCTCACTTTGTCTCACTGTGTCTCCCTCCACATCACTATCTCCCTTTTCATGTCCCTGTGTCTCCCTTCACCTCCCTGTGTCTCCCTCCACATCACATGTGCCTCCCTTCATCTCCCTGTGTCTCCCTTCACCTCCTTGTGTCTCCCTCCACATCACATGTGTCTCCCTTCATCTCCCTGTGTCTCCCTTCACCTCCTTGTGTCTCCCTCCACATCACATGTGTCTCCCTTCATCTCCCTGTGTCTCCCTTCATCTCCCTGTGTCTCCCTTCACCTCCCTGTGTCTCCCTCCATGTTACATGTGTCTCCCTTCATCTCCATGTGTCTCCCATCAGGTCCCTGTCTCCCTCTTCACATCCCTGTGCCTCCCTCTGCCCCACCGTCTCCCCTCATCTCACTCTCTCTTATCTCCCTGTGTTACCCTTCTATCTCCCTGTGTCTCCCTTAATCTCCCTGTGTCTCCCTTCACCTCCCTGTGTCTCCCTCCACATCACATGTGTCTCCCTTCATCTCCCTGTGTCTCCCTTCACCTCCTTGTGTCTCCCTCCACATCACATGTGTCTCCCTTCATCTCCCTGTGTCTCCCTTCACCTCCTTGTGTCTCCCTCCACATCACATGTGTCTCCCTTCATCTCCCTGTGTCTCCCTTCATCTCCCTGTGTCTCCCTTCACCTCCCTGTGTCTCCCTCCATGTTACATGTGTCTCCCTTCATCTCCATGTGTCTCCCATCAGGTCCCTGTCTCCCTCTTCACATCCCTGTGCCTCCCTCTGCCCCACCGTCTCCCCTCATCTCACTCTCTCTTATCTCCCTGTGTTACCCTTCTATCTCCCTGTGTCTCCCTTAATCTCCCTGTGTCTCCCTTCTATCTCCCTGTGTCTCCCTTAATCTCCCTGTGTCTCCCTTCTATATCCCTGTGTCTCCCTTCTATCTCCCTGTGTCTCCCTTAATCTCCCTGTTTCTCCCTTCTATATCCCTGTGTCTCCCTTCAAGTCCCTGTCTCCCGCATCACGTCCCCGTCCTTCCCCTGCCTCGTTGTGTCTCCTTCCATCTCCCTGTCTCCCTTCCGTCTCCCTGTGTCTCCCTCCACCTCGCGATGTCTCCCGTGACCTCGCCGTGACTACTCTCCCCCCGTGTCTTTCCACGTGCCACCAAGTCTCCACGAGTCTCCCCCAGCGTCTCCCCACGTGTCCGTCTCTCCCCCGTGTGCGCGCACGCGTCCCAGTGTGACCCTGTCTACATGGCGCGTTACCCTTGTGTGTGTCTCTCTGTCTCTGCTGCCCGTGTGTGAGCAGGAGGGCGAGGAGAGAGTGGAGGTGCTCGCTGCGGGAGATGGGACCCCCGGTGCGGCGAAGAGAATCACCACTCCGTACATGACAAAGTACGAGAGGGCGAGAGTCCTGGGCACTCGCGCCCTGCAGATCGCGTGAGTCTCGCACAGCAAAGACTGCTATGTGAACTGGTCCCGGGGCTCTCCTAGGTCGACTCGGCCTCAAATGAGTACCTGGTTGCGGTGTGTAAACGTCGCCACCGGGCAGACGAAGGCGGCCGGCCGTGGTGCTGGCAACCCGCCACCTCGTGTGTCGCCCCGGCCTCTGTAAATCTACTCGCCAACAGCACTTGCCCCAACGGTCTGTTAACGCTATCCGGGGGATCTTTGTCTTCGTGGTGTGTGTGTGTGTGAGCAGCATGTGTGCCCCAGTCATGGTGGAGTTGGAAGGAGAAACCGATCCACTGCAGATCGCTATCAAGGAACTCAAGTGAGTCGAACCAGGGGTCCATAATGCACACCGTGTCAACCCACAACGGTTTAGCCCGTATTCTTGTACAGGCAAAATTGAGTTTTCAGGTCAATACGGCGTACAGCCGTTTGGATACGGGCAAAAAAAGAACGTATCTATTTGCTTGCGATGGGACTTTGTAAGATGAACGTTGAGATTGATAAGGGCACGGGGTGACCAACAAGGTATGAATTTGTCTGTAATAAGTTAGGGCACTGATAAGGGGTTGACTGGCCGTGTCGGAGATGATGCTCAGCTGGCACTGCTGAGATTCTCTGCTCAATCTCCGAGTCCAATAAAAGGAACAACTGCCACTGGGAGTCCCCTAGGGCTATAATGCAGCAGGGCATTGGGGTGGTTGACATGAGAGGTGATGTAAGGCGCGTTGAGCAGCTGTGAGCATTGATGTGCGCACCATTCCACAGGCAAATCCCTAAATCCTCGTGTGCATTTGCAGGGCTCGGAAAATACCCATCATCATCAGGAGGTATCTGCCAGACGGGAGCTACGAAGACTGGGGAGTGGATGAACTCATAGTCACGGACTGAACACACACATGGTTATTAAGATTCGTGGGGATGGAGGGTCAGGACTCGGTTCCAGGAGACCGGGTCTCAGGGTCTTGAGACTCTGCTCCAGGAGACCGGGTCTCAGGGTCTTGAGACTCTGCTCCAGGAGACCTGAATCTCAGAATGTGGCAAATTTTAGTGTTGTGTAGACTTTTACGTGTCATTAAATGAAACAAAAACGCATCAAGAATTGTACATTTCCGAATTTGACAAGTTGTATCGTTGTAATTTTTTTGCAAATAAACATTTGAAAAAATCAGCCTAGCGTACCACGTTCTCTCAGCTGTGCAAATGACATTGACCATCTGCTGCCCTATTGAACAACTATTGAAGGTGTCAGACAATAGTGAACACGTCCCTTGAACTGAGGAACCTCGTTAAGAGCCTTGGGCAAAAGGATTGGGAAGAAATTACAAAGTGGTTCATTGCAAGGGAAGCAGAAAGAGAGGTTTTGTGTTCTGGAGCATTCTGGTGATGAGATGTTAACTAGCTTGCCTGGTATACAGGAGGTTGTAGGTTCTATACCGACCCTGATGCCTGCTGTATGCCTGGAGTTTGCGTGTTTCTCTCCCCGTGGCCGTGTGGATTTTTCTCCGGGTCCTCCGGGTTTTCCCTCATTCAGAATCAACATCACGCGTTTTTTTTTAGTATTTGGGCTGCGATAGATTTCCACACGCCAAGCCACTTGAGCTATCGTTCGTGATAGCCAGGTTCTATTCTGAAAAAAGAGCTACATAGCTCAGTAGGCCTTGCCTGGTAAAATACATTTTATTTGAAAAAACTTTTTTAAAAACACGCTTTAATGAAAAGTACCCTACGAGTAAAGTCAGAACTCCACGACTCCAGGAAGTGGCCCTGAAGCTTGCCACAACGTAAGGGGCCCGTGGTGATTTACAGCCAACGTCAGTTGAGCGTGGAAAAATAGACCCAAGCCGAAACATAACGTAAAAAAATATTGTTTGAAAAAACATTTTTATGATAGAATACAGTATGACATCAGTATACCAAGTTTGCAGTCGATACCACATTGGGAAGTGGGTTAAAATTGCGTTATAAGATTTGAGGATACAACAACAACAGTGAGTTAATAGAAAGCGTGTAATACCAATGTGTTTAGCAGTGTGGCGAGTGAGTAAATGGGTAAGTGGATGAGAAATTGATGGCCATGCAGTGTTCAGTGAGTGGCGAGCGGTCCTGCCGCCCTACGAACCCAGCGAGCCGAGTTCCATTCCAGCTCATGGCAACCAACACCGGTGACGATTATCTGAGCCGGTTCTGGGCCTCCCCTAGGTTCACCCAGCCTCAAATGAGTACCTGGTGCTGTGTGTACACGTCGCCACTAGGGGAGACAAAGGCGGTCGGGCGTGGTCCCTGGCCACCCACCGCGTTTTGTGTTCGTGCCGGCATTCATAGGTGCTACTCGCCAACAGCATTTGACCATACTTCACCGATCCGGGTCATTGCAGGTTCGGTTGAAGGACGGAAAAAACCCTAGGATGCCCCAGCCACTGATGTTCGCCTGCTGTAATTAAACACCGCGAGGCGAGAGAGAGGGATGCGTGGATTAGACATTCCGGGGGGGTGGGTGGGCGGGCGTAGTGACCTCGTGTCAGCGGGCAATTGCAGGGGCTGCGCCTTTACCAACAATTTTTTTTTTTTAATCGTGAAACGGAGAATTGACATCGGAAGAGCCGGAACTTTTTTTTTCATACCGGCCCCTCAATTGGCTACAGCCGCGTTTCCGACGGAACCGTGGCGGGTGGGACTGGGACCACCCCCCCCCCCGCCGCCTGGCCCTCCTTAAACACCGGAGACTCGGAACGCCCCGATTATTAATTTGTGTTTTTTAGTGCAGCCGCTATATTGTTGTTGTTTATTGTAGATTAGCCATGGAACTCTCCGACATATTCTACGTCAAGGCCGAGTACATCGAGACAGTTGAGTCGATGAACGCGCCGCTCCCTCCCCCCCGTTGTCGTTTACGGCTTTAGATTATTTTCATTTGCGTCCAAGTCAACGGGGGCCTAGGGCGAGCTAGTCCCAGGGCCCCCCCCCCCCGCCCACACTAAACTCTTTAAATCGTAAAAATAAAAGAGAATCTTTAACGATGCAACGTTTCGCCATCAACACGTTAACTGATGCGCCGTTAATATACGAGCGACGTTAGTCCATGCGTATCTGTTTTGGAAGGATATTTGTGGTGGTTTTATTTCGATGGGCTTGTGCCGGTGAACACCGTGGGGAGCGGTGGTGCAGCGGTTAGCGCTGCGCTGCGCTACGAACCCGGCGAGCCGAGTTCGATTCCCACTTGTGGTCAACACCAGTGATGAATACGTATCTTAATCGGTCCTGGGCCTCCCCTAGGTCGACTCCGCCTCAAATGAGTACCTGGTGCAGGTGTGGAAACATCGCTACTGGGGAGACAAAGGCGGCCGGGCGTGGTGCTGGCCACCCGGTCTAAGGCTATACGCGGGATCTTTGTGTGGGGAGCGGTGGTGCAGCGGTTAGCTGCTACGCTGCGCTACGAACCCGGCCACCCGAGTTCGATTCCCACTCGTGGTCAACACCAGTGATGAATACGTATCTTAATCGGTCCTGGGCCTCCCCTAGGTCGACTCCGCCTCAAATGGGTACCTGGCGCAGTGTGTTAACATTGCCACTGGGGAGGCAAAGGCGGCCGGGCGTGGTGCTGGCCATTCACACAGCTGTACACCCACACAGTTTACGCCCTATTCTTGTACAGGGAACATTGTTTTCACTTCCATACGTTTATAAAGTGTCTTGTATATTTTAGTATTAGCGTCGATATTTAGAAGCGGCATGGTGTGACCAATAAGGTCTGAATTTGTCTTAATAAGTTAGGGCACTGATAAGGGGTTGACAGATGTGTGGGAGCCTCCCCACGCCGTGTCAGTCGCGACGGAGTGTTTGGCCATACTTCACCACGCTGGTCAGTGCTGGTTGACGGGACGCTGGAGCCAGGGCTCGTCCAGATGTCGCTCGCCTCTGCAATGTGATCGCGAATCGAACTTAGGTGGCCGGGTTCGTAGCGCAGCAGGATTCGCGTCCTTCGTTTAACCAGATGAGATGATCTTCTTTGGGTGTTTCGGTAAAGTCACGTAGAATGAGAATAAAATAATAAAATAAGACAATAAAATTCTCACGACGTTTCGGCCACAACACAAGTAGCCTTCTTCAGGTGAAAGAACTTAACTGTCGGGATGACAGAGCTTCAATTGAAGAGCTTCAATTGAAGCTCTGTCGTCCCGACAATTGAAGCTCTGTCGTCCCGACAGTTCTGTTCTTTCACCTGAAGAAGGCTACTTGTGTTGTGGCCGAAACGTCGTGAGAATTGTATTATTTCATTTTATTATTTTATTCTCATTCTACGTGACTTTACCAAAAGAACCAAAGAAGATGAATCCTTGCAGTCACGAAAGCTTTAAACCAGATGAGATGACATTGAGATTCATTGCATCAGGTGAGAACCATTGAGATGAATTATTCACATCAAGTACGCCGGTCAGTCTCTTCAAAATATTTCTGCTCAAGCAAGTGCGAGGTACCATTCATCTTCGTCGATTGCCCGTCGCCAGCGGGGTAAATTCCACATTGCCATGGCGGGGCCCAGTCCATTTCTCCTCGCGCTAACCCCCTTTCCCCGTTCTCTCTCGCCAGGCCTCGGGAAACAAAGTGAGTCGACAGTCCGTGCTGTGTGGGAGCCAGAATATAGTCCTGAATGGCAAGGTGAGTCTGTGGAGACTTCATCCAGCAGTGGATTGAGCTTGGCTGATTGTGGTGAATTCCACATCGGTCACACGCATAGCCCTGAAGCTAACGCTAATGGTACAACAGAAGAACTCGCACCAAGACGCACACTCATACCAGCACACGGCTTAGTCGCCTGTTGCCGAGGTTCAGGGTTCATATCCAGCAGCCGCCCTAGTTATTACCGCCGTAATACACCACGTGCCTTCTGTTCACAAGTGGACGTTAAAGAGTAGGCCGTTGTGCGCCGGTGTCAGGCTCCAGATTTGCCAAAGTACAAAATTACACCGCAGTGTATTCAGTGAATATTGTACACAGAAACCATCGTCCCCCCCCCCCAATGGTGGACTAATGCCCCAGGTCCCTCCTGCAAATGAGACTCAACCTCGTCTCTTGAAACAAAATAAACTTGAACGCTATTACAACAACACCCGCCATTCACCAATAATCGACGGGGACGCCACCACGGCGTCGAAGACTCACTGACAGGAGGTCATGGGAAAGACCCAGCAGGTGCCATGGGTTGACCGACTGAGATGACTGGCCCGATGCACCACCTGTGCCCTCTACTGTGCCAGCTTGCTGTGTATTAGCCACCTGGTGCTCCGCTCGTTGTGAGCGTCGCTCCTCCGCCCTCCGTTGTTGTTGGAGGGCGACTGCCTCAAACTGCCCAGTAGCAGCATGCTTCACGAGCCTCCTCCACAGAGGCCAATATTGACACCGCTGGTACCAGTCTTCGGCAAGTCCACTCAGCTCCACATCCTCCTGTACCACATCAGTCCAACTCTTCTCCAACCCATGTCGTGCCCATTTAGCCCCCTCTATCCGGCCGAACAAAAGCTGCTTGGGCATGCGGTGGCTGGGCATGCGGGCTACATAACCCAGTGTATTCCACTGTAGTGTTATTGTGGAATACACTCTTAACACTTAAACGTTAGCAGTAACACTGCCACTCGTACTAACACTAGTACTGTTAGTAGCATGAGTATTAACACTCGCACTATCACCCAATAGCATCATAATGAGAAGATTATATTTGCCACCGATTAAAGCCCGTAAAGCTAAACAGTTTTTCTTCTCTTTCAAGGGGCGACTTGGCCCACAGACGACATTGAAGCGTTCCACAATTACAGATTTTAAAAAAAGCACGCAATAAGGATAGCAATTACGTCGTAAAATTACTTTCACACTAAAAATGTAGTGATTTGCAGAATGCAGATGGCTGAGAGACGAAACCGAGGCGGTTCCAAATTGTCTTCGAAATCTGGAAGCTATGAACAGCAGCGTTCACTGATTCTCAGAGAGGGTAGGGGGGCACTTTCGCCGATAAGACATCGTCAGTGTGAGGAGGGCTGCCACACATTTGAAACCATTGGGGCGTTTGTGACAGCAGCACGATGATGATGATGACGGTGGTGGGGTGTTTTCACTCTCTGTGTATTGTCGGTGACCGCCCATCAGGAGCCGCCAGTGGCCTCCGGGCCTTGCAAATGAGCAACATCGGATTAATAGATGTGAGCACTATGAGTCTACAACACTAGTACTATGCCCCTGACCGTGCATTGGTCTCCGCTGTCTCAGACGATCGTGATGAACGACTGCATCATCCGCGGCGACCTGGCGAACGTGCGCGTCGGGCGACATTGCGTCATCAAGAGCCGCAGCGTCATCCGCCCGCCGTTCAAGAAGTTCAGCAAGGGGTGACTCGCTCACTTCTCACGCCATCGCCACCGTCGTTGTCGTCGTCATTGTCATTACCATCGTGGTTACCGTCATCATCACCGCCGTCATCGTCATTACCAGCGTGATCACCGTCACCCCCACCGTCGTCATCACCCCCGCCATTGTCATTACCATTGTGGTTAGCATCACCCCCACCATCGTCACCATCGTCACCACCATCACCACCGTCATCGTGATTACCGTCGCCACCATTATCATCACCACCATCACCACCGTCATCGTCATTACCATAATGGTTACCGTCACCACCATCACCGCCATCATGATTGCCATCGTCACCATCGTCACCACCGTCATCGTGATTACCATCGCCACCGTTATCATCACCACCATCACCACCGTCATTGTCATTACTATAATGGTTACCGTCGCCACCATCACCGCCGTCATGATTACCATCACCACCACCATCGTCACCACCGTCACCACCGTCATCGTGATTACCGTCACCACCATTATCATCGCCACCATCACCACCGTCATTACAATCATGATTACCATCATCGCCACCATCACCACCGTCATTACAATCATGATTACCATCATCACAATCACCAACGTCATTGGAATCATGATTACTATCACCACCACGATCATCATAGTTACCATCAATAGTATTGCCACCATCACCACCGTCATCATTACCATCATGGTTACCGTCAACACTACCATCACCACCATCATCATGATTACCATCACCACCATTATCGCCACCATCACCAGCGTCATTGTCATTACCATCATGGTTACCATCACCACCACTGTCATCATCACCGCCACCTTCATCATCATCACCACCATCATCACCATCATCATTAGCATCATAATTACCACCACCATCACCACCGTCATTATGATTACATTCACCACCATTATCGCCACCATCACCAGCGTCATTGTCATTACCATCTCGGTTACCATCACCACCACCATCATCATCACCACCGTCATCATTAGCATCATGATTACCGTCATGACCATCATCACCATAATCAACGGGTGAGACCTGCACGCTACACACATCGTCGTCGTCATTATCACCACCAACACCATCAAGGAGTGAGATTCACACATACTAAACACATCAACACCACGATCATCATTGTCGTAATTACCATAATCATTACCATCACCATCATCCAGGGGTGAGACACATTACACATCATTACTACCACCATCATCACCACCACCATCATCATCATCGCATCACAGGGAGATCGTTGTCTGTAAGTGTAGAGCGTATACATGTACATCTAGCGTCTGTGTGTGCGAGCGCTGCGCTACGAACCCGGCGACCCGAGTTTGATTCCCGCTCACGGTCAACACCAGCGACAATTATCTGAATCGGCCCTGGGCCTCCCCGCATGCCGTGCCGGCCTTCACGGGTGCTACTTGCTCGCAGAACTTGCCCCAACAGTCTGTCAAGGCTACACAGGAGGGGGGGGGGGGGGGGGCGGGTGGTACCATTGCCTTTGTGCGCTCCTCAGGGTCGCGTTCTTCCCTCTGCACATCGGGGACCACGTGTTCATAGAGGAGGACTGTGTCGTCAGCGCCGCTCAGATCGGATCGTACGTCCACATCGGCAAGAACTGCGTCATCGTGAGTGCTCGCACCCTCCACACGGCGACGACGACGCGGGACCGGTCCGCGGGTTAAACCCGAGGGATGGATGATCGGCGGCGGGCCAGCCCCGAAGCGGTTTTGAGCCTTTTGGAGGGCTCCACGTCTCGCAGGCGTAGAGGGAAGGGAGGGGCAGGCACGACTGTGGCCGAGGAAAAGATTCCGGTTGCTTTGCATTGGAGCGACCGGCCCAGGTAGCTTCCGCACATCAGCGTTACGCGTCTGATGAAAAGATAATGCCGCTGCGACTGATTCGAAGCAAAACCTCGGCTGCTGAACCGGGTCCGGCCGTAAAAACACACTGCCCAAGTGCGGAAAACTCCTCCACTCACCGGACAACTGCCCTACTAACTCCGAAGAGAAAGATCCCCTGTGTAAGTAACCTTTAACAGACCGTAGAGGCGAGTGCCGTTTGCGGGTAGCAGCACCTGTGAAGGCCGGTACTGTGGCACATGAGGGGGGGGGGGGGGGGGGCCAGCACCACACCCGGATGCCTTCATCACCCAAGTGGCGATGTTTACTACACACCGCACCGGGTACACTCACTCGCACACACGCACACACACACACACACACGTACCTCACACACACACACGTACTCACACACACGTACTCTCACACACACACACGTACTCTCACACACACACGTACTCACACACACACAACAACAACATCCGCCATTCGCCACTAAGTGGCGGTGACGTCACCACGACGCTTGTGCCAGGCCATGTGCACCTTGAGGCCACGTGAAGTGTCGAACGCCCGCTGGCAGGTCACGGGGCAGACCCAGGTGCCACGGGTCGACTGACTGAGATGACTGGCTGATGCACCACCTGTGCCCCCTACTGTGACAACCTGCTGTGCTTCAGCCACCCGGCGCTCCGCTCGTTGTTGTGAGCGTCGCTCTTCCGCCCTCCGTTGTTGTTGGAGGGCGACTGCCTCCAACTGTCCAGTAGCGTCTTTCACGAGCCTCCTCCACAGAGGCCGATCTTGACACCGCTGGTACCAGTCATTGGCAAGTCCACTCAGCTCCACGTCCTCCTGTACCACGTCACTCCATCTCTTCTTTGGCCGTGCCGCGCCCGTTTAGCCCCCTCGATCTGGCCGAACAAAAGCTGTTTCGGCATGCGGTGGCTGGGCATGTGGGCTACATGACCCAGCCAACGCAGCCTTGCCTGCCGGGGGAGCTCACCTGCCGGAGGAGCTCACCGATGGGACCATGCCCAGATCTTTAAAGGATTTGTGAGCTCCTCACACAATCCAGCCTGGTTAAACCCAGGATGGATCGTAGGCAGGCCAGCCTAAATGCTTCTAACCGGTGAAGATGTTCCATTAGGGGGGTCCACGTTTCGCAAGCGTAGAGAAGGGAGGGAATGACTGTGGCAGAGAAGACCTGAAGCTTAGTGCGGAGCGACAGACCAGGTAGCTTCCACACAGCGTTACGCAACCGATGAAAAGATATTGGCGCTCGACTGATTCTGAGTGAGACCTCTGCTGTTAAACTGGAGCCGGTTATAAGCACACACACACACGTACTTTCACACACACACGTACTCTCACACACACACACATGTACTCTTACACACACACGTACTCTCATACACACACACACGTACTCACACACACAAACACACGTACTCTCACACACACGTACTCTCACACACACACACGTACTCTCTCACACACACACGTACTCTCACACACGTACTCTCACACACACACGTACTCTCACACACACACGTACTCTCACACACACACACGTACTCTCATACACGTACTCTCACACACGTACTCTCACACACACACACGTACTCTCACACACACACGCACATGTACTCTCACACACACACACATGTACTCTCACACACACACACACACGTACTCTCACACACACACACGTACTCTCACACACACACACACGTACTCTCACACACACACACGTACTCTCACACACACACACACACGTACTCTCACACACACGTACTCTCTCACACACACACGTACTCTCACACACACACACGTACTCTCACACACACACGTACTCTCACACACGTACTCTCACACACACACGTACTCTCACACACACACACACGTACTCTCACACACACACGTACTCTCACACACACACACACGTACTCTCACACACACACACACACGTACTCTCACACACACACACACACGCGTACCCTCACACACACGTACTCTCTCACACACACACGTACTCTCACACATGTACTCTCACACACACACACACGTACTCTCACACACACACGTACTCTCACACACACACACGTACTCTCACACTGCAGACCAGGGAGCGAAAGGCACACCCGAGCCTGGAACCGAACCCGGGCGCCGCTCGCTGTGAGGCACGCTGTGAGGCACGCTGTGGGCTCACTGTGAGCTTGCTGTGAGCTCGCTGTAAGCTCGCTGTGGGCTCGCTGTGAGGCTCGCTGCGAGCTCGCTGTGAGCTCACTGTGGGCTCGCTGTGAGCTTGCTGTGGGCTCGCTGTGGGCTCGCTTTGAGGCTCGCTGTGAGCTCGCTGTGAGCTCGCTGTGGGCTCGCTGTGAGCTCGCTGTGGGCTCGCTGTGAGGCTCGCTGTGGGCTCGCTGTGAGCTTGCTGTGAGGCTCGCTGTGAGGCACGCTGTGAGCTCGCTGTGAGCTCGCCGTGGGCTCGCTGTGAGGCACGCTGTGAGCTCGCTGTGGGCTCGCTGTGGGCTCGCTGTGAGGCACGCTGTGGGCTCGCTGTGGGCTCGCTGTGAGGCACGCTGTGAGCTCGCTGTGAGCTCGCTGTGAGCTCGCTGTGGGCTCGCTGTGGGCTCGCTGTGGGCTCGCTGTGAGGCACGCTGTGAGCTCGCTGTGAGCTCGCTGTGGGCTCGCTGTGAGCTCGCTGTGGGGCACGCTGTGGGGCACGCTGTGAGCTCGCTGTGAGCTTGCTGTGAGCTTGCTGTGAGGCACGCTGTGGGCTCGCTGTGAGGCACGCTGTGAGCTCGCTGTGGGGCACGCTGTGAGCTCGCTGTGAGCTCGCTGTGGGCTCGCTGTGAGCTCGCTGTGGGGCACGCTGTGAGCTCGCTGTGAGCTCGCTGTGGGCTCGCTGTGAGCTCGCTGTGGGGCACGCTGTGAGCTCGCTGTGAGCTCGCTGTGAGCTCGCTGTGAGCTCGCTGTGGGGCACGCTGTGAGCTCGCTATGAGCTCGCTGTGGGCTCGCTGTGAGCTCGCTGTGGGGCACGCTGTGAGCTCGCTGTGGGCTCGCTGTGAGGCTCGCTGTGAGGCACGCTGTGGGCTCGCTGTGAGGCATGCTATGAGCTCGCTGTGGGCTCGCTGTGAGGCTCGCTGTGGGCTCGCTGTGAGGCTCGCTGTGAGGCACGCTGTGAGCTCGCTGTGGGCTCGCTGTGAGGCACGCTGTGAGCTCGCTGTGGGCTCGCTGTGAGGCTCGCTGTGAGGCACGCTGTGGGCTCGCTGTGGGCTCGCTGTGGGGCACGCTGTGGGCTCGCTGTGAGCTCGCTGTGGGCTCGCTGTGAGGCACGCTGTAAGCTCGCTGTGGGCTCGCTGTGAGCTCGCTGTGGGCTCGCTGTGAGGCACGCTGTGAGCTCACTGTGGGCTCGCTGTGGGGCACGCTGTGGGCTCGCTGTGAGGCTCGCTGTGAGGCACGGCTGTTGCCGGTGTGTGACGCCACCGCGCGCGACCGTGTGCGGTGCAGGGCAGGCGCTGCGTGCTCAAGGACTGCTGCCGCATCGAGGATGGGACGGTGCTGCCTCCGGAAACGGTGGTGCCTCCCTTCACCAGTTTCTCCGGCTCCCCCGGTGAGTGCGGGCACGCGTCTTGGCCTTCTTTCGCGCAGCCGATGCAATCTCTTAAGCTGTAAAAATAAAACGACCCGAAACTATCTTTTTTATTTTACCGGTGTAAAGAGCCGAAAACAACAGACCACACTCGCCTGACGCGGTGCGCGCGCAAACGGACGGTCGGCAATTGCGTCAGGGCCTCTGATCGTTGCAGAGAGGCCTTAAACGAGGATTGGGCTAGGGCCGGAGAGTTGAACCGATTGGACGAGAAATCCGAGCGTAAAAGGCGGGGAAGCGAGGGTTGATTCAGCTATCAAATGAGTACCTGGTGCGACGTGTAAACATCGCCACTCGGGAGACGAAGGCAGCCAGGCGTGGTGCTGGCCACCCACCCACCCCCTCGTGTGTTTCAGTGCCGGCCTTCATCGGTGCTGCTCGCTAACAGCACTTGCCCCAAAGAAATGTGAAGTCTATACGGGGGATCTTTGTCTTTGAATCAGGACTGTGCACCGGGGAGCTACCTGAATGCACACAAGACCTGATGATGGACGTGACCAAGAGCTACTACCAGAGGTTTCTGCCCATCTCACAGGTCAACTGAGAAAAGGTGAATGTCACCCTCGTCGTCGTCATTGTCGTCATTGTCGTCATCGTTTGCTCATCATCACCGTCGTTGTTGTCTTCATCGTCGTCATTGTCGGCTCATCATCACCGTCATCATCACCGTCATCATCGTCATCATCATTGTCGTCATCGTCATCATCATCATCGTCATCATCATGGTCATTGTCGGCTCATCATCGTCGTCGTCATTGTCATCATCATCGTCCTTGTCGGCTCGTCATCGTCATCGTCATCATTGTCGGCTCATCATCACTGCCGGCTCATCATCACCGCCGTCATCGTCATCATTACCGTCAGCTTTAGCATCGGTTTCAACAGCAACTGCAGCAGTAACTGCAACGTTGTCAACATCATCTCCATCTCATCGTGGCTAACATCATCATCACCACATAAGCGGTGGCATCAACAGCGGTCATCGCACAAGCAGCAGAGTCATCATTCGCAGCAGTGATAGTAGCAACAGTGACAACATCATCAGCAGCATTTCCATAATCGGCAGCAGCAGCAGCCACATAATTCACCTTCAGTGGCATTACCATCATAATCACCAACATCATCGGCAGTAGCAACAACATCTTCACCATCAGTTAATGCAACATCATCACTGGCATCATCATCATCACACTTTTGTTGATGTTGTTAGTTGTAGTTTACATAGTGATATCTTTGAGAGGACCCCTTTTGCCAGCATCAAAAATGATGAAAAATAAGAATACGTGTTTACCCTTTCTGCCAATAAAACAGCAGATGTGTTAAGATATTCAAACACCAAATCAATACAAACAATGTTTGCATGTTCCCCACAAGTACAGTCCTTGCAAAACATTTCTATTTGGTGTTTGAACATTTTAACACAATCGTGTTTTAGTGCCAGAAAGGGTCAACACGTATTCTTATTTTTCAAACGTGCTCTGATAATATATGGTGCATTGTCTTTGAAACTGATGGGCCTACACCAGAGACGGCAACCTTCCTCATGGCTCAGTCTCACCAGTGTTAGACCAGAGAACAACTCCAAAAGGGGAACAGCAACAAAGACAAATACCAAAGCATCAATAGCTCGGGTTGAGCAACTTTATCTATGGCGGGGGGGGGGAGGGGGGACCCTTTTTGCGAGCATCAAAAATGATGACGTAAGAACAGCGGCTTCCTATTTCTCCCAGTCGGCGTCTGTTTGGCGTTAGAACATGTTAACACTCGTGTTGCTTTTGCCAGGAAGGATAAAAGCCTGTTCCTTATTTACATACAGTGATGTTGGTAAGAATGATCTCGATGCAGCCGCTGCATGAGCTTCTGATGCAGCTGATGATGATGATGATGTCAACTTTTAGCAAATTTTAATATTTTGTCCGTTTTTGTTTTGCAGGAACTTGGACTGTTGTTAGCCTTTTTGTTACGTTCAACTCGAAGAGAATATCCCCGCGTGAAATGGTCGCAAGAGTCAACTCTCGATTATCATTTGGCGCGTTGGTGGGGGGGGGGCGTTGGCGGGGGGGGGGGTAATAGTGGCACGGCTCAAACATAAGCCACAGATAATGCAAAATGCATGTAAATGACGATATGAAGCATATTCATATTGATTAGCTATGGTGGAGCTGTGGGGGGGGGGGGCAGACTGTGACCACGTCTGTTTGTATTGCTTCTATAAAGTAGCTGTTGGATTACTTTGCCAGCATGACCCCCCCCCCCCCGACGAGCAAGGAGTGGCGAGCAATCGGTTCAATTGCCGTCGAGTTAGCGGTCACGTGGCCCCACCGCCTGTCGTTGACCGTCTACGAGTGAGGAGCGGAGCTACTGAAACTGGTTTCCTTAACCGACGTGGTCGTGATCACATGTCCACCGACTGCCTCTGACCATCCACCGGTGAGGAGCGGAGCTACTGAAACTGGTTTCCTTTACCGACGTGGTCGTGATCACATGTCCACCGACTGCCTATGACCATCCACCGGGGAGGAGCGGAGCTACTGAAACTGGTTTCCTTTACCGACGTGGTCGTGATCACATGTCCACCGACTGCCTCTGACCATCCACCGGGGAGGAGCCGAGCTACTGAAACTGGTTTCCTTGCGGTTGCGTGACAACTCGAGTTGTCGAGGAACCCCCGACGAGTGAGGAGCGGCGAATGATTAAACCGGCTCGCGCTTAAAGGCGTTTTTATTTATTTTTGTTCGCAACATTTCACCCACAACCCGGACAACGACGAGAACAACAACAACAACAAAAATTCGCCCAGTCGAGAGTTCCCTTGCGGAGAGACGCACTGCTCCTGCCAGCGGGAATGTGGAATTTCCAAAGTTCTTTAACGATTCACCGTTGACTCGTTCAACGAATTGTCACGGTTCGCGGTTCCCGATTGGCAACCTCATCGGCAACGCCATCGTCGCCATCGCTGGCAGCATCATCATCATCATCGTACGCTTAGTGACGTCGACGGTTGTAGATTATGTTGATTGATGGTAATTATGCATGTTTGTTGAACTTCTTTCGCACCTTACGTAGCCAAGCGTGCTAATCGGAGGTGCGGGGGTAGGACAACAAACTACGGGTCTCCGTGTGAGTCTATGGGTCTTTGTGCGAGTCTGTGGGTCTCTGTGTGAATCTATGGGTCTTTGTGTGAGTCTGTGGGTCTCTGTGCGAGTCTGTGGGTCTCCGTGTGAGTCTGTGGTTCTCTGTGCGAGTCTGTGGGTCTCCGTGTGAGTCTATGGGTCTTTGTGCGAGTCTGTGGGTCTCTGTGTGAGTCCTATGGGTCTCTGTGTGAGTAGTCTATGGGTCTCTGTGTGAGTAGTCTATGGGTCTCTGTGTGAGTAGTCTATGGGTCTCTGTGTGAGTAGTCTATGGGTCTCTGTGTGAATAGTCTATGGGTCTCTGTGTGAGTCCTATGGGTCTCTGTGTGAGTAGTCTATGGGTCTCTGTGTGAGTAGTCTATGGGTCTCTGTGTGAGTAGTCTATGGGTCTCTGTGTGAGTAGTCTATGGGTCTCTGTGTGAGTAGTCTATGGGTCTCTGTGTGAGTAGTCTATGGGTCTCTGTGTGAGTAGTCTATGGGTCTCTGTGTGAGTAGTCTGTGGGTCTCTGTGTGAGTAGTCTATGGGTCTCTGTGTGAGTAGTCTATGGGTCTCTGTGTGAGTAGTCTATGGGTCTCTGTGTGAGTAGTCTATGGGTCTCTGTGTGTAGTCTATGGGTCTCTGTGTGTAGTCTATGGGTCTCTGTGTGAGCCCTATGGGTCTCTGTGTGAGTAGTCTATGGGTCTCTGTGTGAGTAGTCTATGGATCTCTGTGTGAGTAGTCTATGGGTCTCTGTGTGAGTAGTCTATGGGTCTCTGTGTGAGTAGTCTATGGGTCTCTGTGTGAGTAGTCTATGGGTCTCTGTGTGTAGTCTATGGGTCTCTGTGTGAGCCCTATGGGTCTCTGTGTGAGTAGTCTATGGATCTGTGTGTGAGTAGTCTATGGGTCTCTGTGTGAGTAGTCTATGGGTCTCTGTGTGAGTAGTCTATGGGTCTCTGTGTGAGTAGTCTATGGGTCTCTGTGTGAGTAGTCTATGGGTATCTGTGTGAGTAGTCTATGGGTCTCTGTGTGAGTAGTCTATGGGTCTCTGTGTGAGTAGTCTATGGGTCTCTGTGTGAGTAGTCTATGGGTCTCTGTGTGAGTAGTCTATGGGTCTCTGTGTGAGTAGTCTATGGGTCTCTGTGTGAGTAGTCTATGGGTCTCTGTGTGAGTAGTCTGTGGGTCTCTGTGTGAGTAGTCTGTGGGTCTCTGTGTGAGTAGTCTGTGGGTCTCTGTGTGAGTAGTCTGTGGGTCTCTGTGTGAGTAGTCTATGGGTCTCTGTGTGAGTAGTCTATGGGTCTCTGTGTGAGTAGTCTATGGGTCTCTGTGTGAGTAGTCTATGGGTCTCTGTGTGAGTAGTCTATGGGTCTCTGTGTGAGTAGTCTATGGGTCTCTGTGTGAGTAGTCTATGGGTCTCTGTGTGAGTAGTCTATGGGTATCTGTGTGAGTAGTGTATGGGTCTCTGTGTGAGTAGTCTATGGGTCTCTGTGTGAGTAGTCTATGGGTCTCTGTGTGAGTAGTCTATGGGTCTCTGTGTGAGTAGTCTATGGGTCTCTGTGTGAGTAGTCTGTGGGTCTCTGTGTGAGTAGTCTGTGGGTCTCTGTGTGAGTAGTCTGTGGGTCTCTGTGTGAGTAGTCTATGGGTCTCTGTGTGAGTAGTCTATGGGTCTCTGTGTGAGTAGTCTATGGGTCTCTGTGTGAGTAGTCTATGGGTCTCTGTGTGAGTAGTCTATGGGTCTCTGTGTGAGTAGTCTATGGGTCTCTGTGTGAGTAGTCTATGGGTCTCTGTGTGAGTAGTCTATGGGTCTCTGTGTGAGTAGTCTATGGGTCTCTGTGTGAGTAGTCTGGGTCTCTGTGTGAGTAGTCTATGGGTCTCTGTGTGAGTAGTCTATGGGTCTCTGTGTGAGTAGTCTATGGGTCTCTGTGAGTGTATTAGCTTGCTGCAGTTGTCACCCATCTGATCACTCTCCTTGCTTGGCTTCCGATATCCGACGAGATCGGACGAACGGAACGAGCGAGTGCGTGACTGTCCAGCAGCGAGGAGTTATGATGCAGCTACTTATGATGATGATAACGATGATGCTGGTGGTAAAGATGTCGATTCTAACTTTTGACCAATATCGAGGCTTTCTCGTTTTCAGCCCTGTCTTCTGTACCGTTCCCCCTCCGTTTCCCCGTCTCCTTTTGTCCAAGTTGCGGCCGCTCTTCGCGACGTTACGGCAGGGTGCGGCGACCGGCAGCACGGAGATTTTTTTTGCGTCCACCGTAGGCGATCGATTCCGCACACTGTCAGTGGAGCCGTGGGTAGCGTCGACCACGTGCCCCGCGAACACGAAGACGAAGACGACCGCCGCTGCCGATTTGCTGTACAAGCCACAAATCTGGCTGCCGCCTGATGACGCCGGTTGTAATTACTGGCGAAACGTTGTACTCGGATTGTAAATGTTGTGGCTTTGCTCTCCAACACACCGGTGGCGATGTACTCGTAACGGATTGGCATGTTTTGTTTACGTGACAAACCTCACTAAATGGGTGGTGGCGGGTTTAACGACGTGACTTACGCGCTCTAACTAAAAACAACTGTATTATGGGAGAAAGCGTCACGATTAAACGCCAACGGAATCGGATGTTCGGGATCTTGCCTCTCATCTCGCACGGTGCACCACACGAGTCACCTGGGTTTGAGTTTTATCGACGGCGACGTCGTTATCATTTGCGCCAAACCGCGTCTCCCAATCGCTGAGGAACCTCCGGCCGAGCTGGAAGGCAGCAGCAGCAGCAGACAGGCGGTGAAAAAGAGCTTCATAGCTCATCGGACTCCCCCAGTATAAATAAATATTCGTATTCTGAGTCGGCGCTACCAACAGTTGCCCAAGATCTGCAGTCCTCCGTCTTTATTCGGGAGTGTGCGCGTCTTATCTCTCCCCGTGGCCGCGTGCAATGTTTTATCCGGATCCTCCGGTTTCTCCCACCGCATTTAAAAACAACGTCGCCCATGGTCAGCTTATTGAGCTGCCATGAATGTCCACCTGACGACGAGAAGCCGCCACTTCGTAGAGCTGTCGTTTGTGATGGCCAAGTCGCTTTTGAAAAGAAGCGAAACAGCTCCGTGGGCTTTACCTGGTAAAATAAAAAAAACAGTTGCGCCATTTAAACGTATGGCCTTTTTGCCAGGATCAGAGTGGGAACAAGAATAGGTTTGACCCTTTCTGGCAATAAAACAGGAGGATTTGAGATGTTCAAACACCAAATAGGAACCTCGTGGTTAATGCGAACTTGATTCCTTGCAAAAGGTGTCTATTTGTTGTTTAAACATCTTAACGCCTGTTTTTTTGCTAGAAATGGTAAAAGCTACGATTAGTTATTCATATTCTTGGTTCTTTCGGTAAAGTCACGTAGAAGGGAAACAATAAAAATATAAAACAATACAATTATTGTATTGTTTCCCTTCTACGTGACTTTACCGAAAGAACCAAGAATATGAATCCCTGCAGTCACGAAATCTTTAAATCAAAATTTAGTTATTCATAGTTATGCGATTTTTCACCCTTCCGATACTTTGCACGCCTATTGTCTTTTGTTGCTGTAACCTTCTGACCCCGTGCCCCTACTGGAGAGCTTCACAGATCATCGGATTTATCCCGCAGTACAAATAAACATTCTGATTAAGAAGTTTTCGGTCAATTAACGAGGTGTGGTGAAACCAGAGTACCGGGAGAAACCCCACGCCTTGCACGAGAGGGGAGGGGGAAACACTCTATCCCCCTTCAAGGTGGAACAGATGGAGATTAGTCCACTTTTTTTCCGTACCGCGTTCATGCTGGGCCAGGGTACCTACGACTCCTCGACTTCCACGGCGAAGGGAGTTTCGCAACAACATCCCTGCGTGATCCACCAACCCCTCGCTGCTTGCCTCCGCAGTGCTGGGTCACAGGGCAGTCACGCACATAGACACCACTGCCCATGAGGTATTGCGTGATAAATTTCGCTTTAAAGCTTTCGTGACTGCAAGGATTCATCTTCTTTGGTTCTTTCGGTAAAGTCACGTAGAGTGAGAAGAAAATAATAAAATAAAATTAGACAATAACATTCTCACGACGTTTCGGCCACAACACAAGTAGCCTTCAGGTGAAGGAACAAAACTGTCGGGACGACAGTGTTACTTTGATTCTTTCGGTAAAGTCACGTAGAATGAGAATAAAATAATGAAATAAAATAAATAATTTCATTGAAGCTCTGTCGTCCCGACAGTTTTGTTCCTTCACCTGAAGAAGGCTACTTGTGTTGTGGCCGAAACGTCGTGAGAATTTTATTGTCTTATTTTATTATTTTATTCTCATTCTACGTGACTTTACCGAAAGAACCAAAGAAGATGTATTGCGTGATGTTTGTTACGTTACATTTTTTTTGTATACATTCAAATATCGGCAAGTTATTTACTTAATTAATATAAAAAAACGAACTTACTGTCCTTCGTTATCGACAACATTCAATATTTTTCATGAATTAAAACTACTGTATTACATGTGTTGCACATTAGAATGACTACAGGGATTCCTCTACTTATGATCATTCGACTTATAAACTTCCAGAGATACGAACAAACATGTCCGCATGTCCAGTTGCCTGTTCGGACCGAGAGTCGTAAGATTAACCGCCACGGATGTGATGGCATCTACAACATCTGCAGAACGTGAAGAACCAGTGGCATCTACATCTATAGAACATGAAGAACCAGTGGCATCTACATCTGCAGAACGTGAAGAACCAGTGGCATCTACATCTGCAGAACGTGAAGAACCAGTGGCATCTACACCTGCAGAACGTGAAGAACCAGTGGCATCTACACCTGCAGAACGTGAAGAACCAGTGGCATCTACGTCTGCAGAACGTGAAGAACCAGTGGCATCTACACCTGCAGAACGTGAAGAACCAGTGGCATCTACATCTGCAGAACGTGAAGAGCCAGTGGCATCTACACCTGCAGAACGTGAAGAACCAGTGGCATCTACATCTATAGAACATGAAGAACCAGTGGCATCTACATCTGCAGAACGTGAAGAGCCAGTGGCATCTACATTTGCAGAACGTGAAGAACCAGTGGCATCTACACCTGCAGAACGTGAAGAACCAGTGGCATCTACACCTGCAGAACGTGAAGAACCAGTGGCATCTACGTCTGCAGAACGTGAAGAACCAGTGGCATCTACACCTGCAGAACGTGAAGAACCAGTGGCATCTACATCTGCAGAACGTGAAGAGCCAGTGGCATCTACACCTGCAGAACGTGAAGAACCAGTGGCATCTACATCTGCAGAACGTGAAGAGCCAGTGGCATCTACATCTACAGAACGTGAAGAACCAGTGGCATCTACATCTGCAGAACGTGAAGAACCAGTGGCATCTACAGAACGTGAAGAACCAGTGGCATCTACACCTGCAGAACGTGAAGAACCAGTGGCATCTACATCTGCAGAACGTGAAGAGCCAGTGGCATCTACATCTGCAGAACGTGAAGAACTAGTGGCATCTACATCTGTAGAACGTGAAGAACCAGTGGCGTCTACACCTGCAGAACGTTAAGAACCAATGGCATCTACATCTGCAGAACGTGAAGAACCAGTGGCATCTACATCTATAGAACGTGAAGAACCAGTGTCATCTACAGCTTCAGAACGTGAAGAACCAGTGGCATCTACGCCTGCAGAACGTGAAGAACCAGTGGCATCTACATCTGCAGAACGTGAAGAGCCAGTGGTATCTACATCTACAGAACGTGAAGAACCAGTGGCATCTACACCTGCAGAACGTGAAGAACCAGTGGCATCTACATCTGCAGAACGTGAAGAGCCAGTGGCATCTACATTTACAGAACGTGAAGAACCAGTGGCATCTACACCTGCAGAATGTGAAGAACCTGAGGCATCTATATCTACAGAACGTGAAGATTCAGTGGCATCTATATCTACAGAACATGAAGAACCAGTGGCATATACATCTACAGAACGTGAAGAACCAGTGGCATCTACATCTACAGAACGTGAAGAACCAGTGGCATCTACATCTGCAGAACGTGAAGAACCAGTGGCATCTACACCTGCAGAACGTGAAGAACCAGTGGCATCTACAGAACGTGAAGAACCAGTGGCATCTACACCTGCAGAACATGAAGAACCAGTGGCATCTACAGAACGTGAAGAACCAGTGGCATCTACATCTACAGAACGTGAAGAACCAGCGTCATCTACATCTACAGGACATGAAGAACCAGTGGCATCTACATCTGCAGAACGTGAAGAACCAGTGGCATCTACATCTACAGGAGATTATACTTTTAAAGCCACTCCCCATGTTTAGTGTACACCTTTTTGGAATCGACGGGAGCAAAGTTGGACTTACGAACAAATTGACTTACGAACAGACCTCTGGGCAAGCTAATTTGTTCGTAAGTAGAGGCGTCCCTGTATATGATTCATAATCAAGAATATGACATTCACAGGGTCACGCCATGGCATTTGCATCGTCAAATTGTTAGAGTGGTGACGATACACCGGTGTCGCGAGGCAGGAACAAAAACACCCACGGGCATTTGTTTTCCCGGAACCTTCCCCCGCCTACGCGGGGGACCCCCAACTTCCGGTGGGCGGGCCCCCCCCCGCATACCGGAAGTCGACGCCAACATGGCCGCGCCCATTGGAGCGGGGTGGCGACTTTAAACTTCTCCGCTATTTTTTTTGTTATTTTTTTATTTGCCAGGTTAAGCCCATTGAATTAATTACCAGGTATAGCACACTGAGCTGTTGGCTCTTTTCTATGCTTTCAGGGGTGACCTGGCCTCATGCGACAGCCCCTTCAAGTGGCTGACATCGTTATCGTCAGCATCATCGCCACACGCGGGAATTTAAAACAGCAGCAGCAGTAGCAGACGCATAACGTAGCCGCACGCGTGTTGTTACTAAATGCGGAGGTGGGCGAAGCCGGGTGGAGGATCAACGCGACTACCACGGGGAGATTGAGAGAGAGAGATAGGAGACAGGCGTCGCCAGGTTCCGGGATCGAACCCTACCCGCGTAGCAGGCGGGTTAAGACAACAGCGGTGGCAACTGCCTCGAACACACAAGAGGGGTTGGGTGGGCTGAGTGGTACCGTGCTTTAAAAGTAAGCCCTTGAGACTGGGGGTGGAAGGGGTGAGCGTGGAAATGGGGGGTGGTGGAATAGGGGTGTGGAAGGGGGTGGGTTGGTTTGTGATGGGGAGCGGTCGTGTCGCGGTTCGCGCGCTGCGCTGTGAACCTGGCGAACCGGGGTTCGATTCCCGCTCTCGGACGACACCGGTGACGATTATCTGAACCGATCCTGGGGCTCCCCTAGGTCGACTCAGCCTCAAATGAGTACCTGGTGCGATGTGTAAACATCGCCACTGGGGAGACAAAGGCGGCCCGGCGTGGTGCTGGCCTTCATAGGCGCTCGCTAACAGCACTTGCCCCTACAGTCTGTTAAGGCTATACGGGGGGGGGCGGGTATCTTTGTCTTTTTGGTGTGAAGGCGGGAGGGGGAGGCTGGAAGCAAGCGGCGAGCGATGAATTCGCCGCTGGTCGCTTCGACGCAACCCGCGAGAATCATCGCGTGGCGATCGCTCGCCTCGCAGCGCCGCGCGCGGTCTTCGTCGACGGCCGAGAAGTCCGCCGCCTCCTTCTGGGCGCTGTGCCGCGAGCGGCATTTCGTGTACGCGAAGCTCGGCGCCGGCGGGCAGACTCCGGCCCACGCTGCGACGGAGCTGCCCCGGGGTTCGGACGACGATGAGCGGGCGGCGGCGGCGGCTGCTGCTGCTGCTGCTGAGGGGCAGGATGAGGAGGGGTTGAGTTTCGGGCCCATGGGGGTCGAGCTGCGGAGGAACGTGCGCGCCGCGTGGTGGGCCGATATGGTGACCGCGCGGCAGGACGTGGTCGGGGTGGAGACGCCGGCCCTGAGTCCGGCCACTCGCGAGCTGAGACGCTCGCTCGTCGACGGTGAGCGCCGTGCGTTGCGTTTCGTTTTCGCTCATCGGGGGGGGAGATAATTCGCCGCGTGTGCCACACCGATACAAATCCTCGCCGTCGTCCGTCGTGATCATCGGTTGGGTCAGTCAGTTTTAAGCGGAGGCCGCGGTGGCTAGGAGATGTTAACTACCTCGCCTGGTGTGCAGGATGTCGTGGGTTCGATCCCGACCCTGACACCTGCTGTATATTTGAAGTCTGCCATGTCTTTCTCTCTCCGCGTGGTCGCGTGGATTTTTCTCCGAGTCCTCAGGTTTTTTCCCCTTCCACATTTCGCGACATTCGTTGAGAATGTTTGAGCCGCTATCCATTTCCAAATCATTTGCGGCCAGGTCGCTATATAGCTCAGTGGGGCTCACCTGGTTAAAAACAATGTAAATTTATAATGGTAATTTCAGAGACAATGAGCCACCAATGCAGAGAACCTGGGTTCAAGCCCTGGGTCTGGGTGGCGTCGCGAGTCTCGAGGGTTCATGATGGCCATGTCTGAGTCAGCGTGCGTGTCTCTCTGTTCTATCCTCCTCCTCTCCTGTGTGCCTCAAGGCATGCTGAGATGTTACCCACAAGCCCTTGCACTTTTCAACCGCAAACTGCCCTTTGGCCTTGCACAGGTGGGGGTCTGCAGGCCGCGGGGAGAGAGGTGAGTGAGTGGGAGAGGAGACAGGCTAGCAGTGGATTGACCATGGCTGATGATGACTTGGGGCGGTGACATGGCCGAGTGGTAACGCTTCTGCCGCTCGTTGCCATGCTGTGTGTGTGTACGTGCGAGTGTGTATGTATGTTTGTGGGGAGAGGTAGTGCGGAGGTTAGAGCTCGACGCTGCGAACCCGGCCACCCGGGTTCGATTCCCGCTCACGGCCAACACCAGTGACGAATATCTGAACCGGTCCTGGGCCTCCCCTAGGCGTGTAAACATCGCCACTAGGGAAACAAAGGTGGCCGGGCGTGGTGCTGGCCACCCACCCCCTCGTGTGCCGTGGCAGCCTTCAAAGTTGCTACTCGCGAACAGCACTTGCCCCAACAGTCTGTTAAGGCTATACAGGAATCTTTGTCTTTGCATGCGTGTTTGTATACGCTCGCAACCATTAACAGTGGTGAATATTTGAAGCGGTCCTGAGCCTCGCCTAGGTTGACTCAGCCTTAAATGAGTACCTGGTGCGGTGTGTAAACATCATCACTGGGGGGACAAAGGCGGCCGGGCGTGGTGCTGGCCATCCACCCCTTCGTGTGCTTCAGTGCCTGCCTTCTTCATAGCTGCTCGTTTATAGCGCTTGCCCCAAACATTCTGTTCAGGCTATATGGGGGATCTTTGTCTTTGTGTGTGTTGAGACAGGGAGCACACGGAGATGAGCCTGCTGTGGTTCTGCTCTGCTCGCACAGCGTCTCAGTGGAGCGAGTTCTGGCTCCGACAGAGACTCAGCTGGTGGAGATCGGTGGGCCCATAGGGACACAAACACCCGCAAACAAATACAAAGATCCCCCGTGTAGCCTTAACAGACCGTTGGGGCAAGTGCTGTTTGCGAGGAGCACCTATGAAGGCTCGCACGGTACGCGAGGGGGCGTGTGGCCAGCACCACGCCCGACCGCCTTTGTCTCCCTACGTGCGACGTTTATACACCACACCTGGTACTCATTTGAGACTTAGTCGACCTCGGGGATGATCGGGAATCGATCTAGGTTTGCTGGGTTCGTAGCGCAGCGTGCTAACCACTACACGTGCACACAGATACACACCGATATACAGATACACCCTCATAGATACACACACATACGATATACAGATACACCCTCATAGATACACACACATACGATATACAGATACACCCTCATAGATACACACACATACGCTCAGATGCATAGATACAGGATCTCAGCGGGTCTGGGTCAGAGTCTCTGACACCGCCATTGAGGTTCACACAGCACAGCTATCATCATCCCTCGGCTTCACCTGCTAACTCAGTGTCTCCGACACGGCCATTATGAACCCATCATCATCCCACGCAGGGGCGGAGCCAGGGGGGTGACAGGGTAGACAATTGTCACCCCCGAAAAAAAAATCGAAAATCTGAAACATTCTGCGTATAAGTGTACGACACTCGGTCTGGCGGACTCCGTGTAACTGCATCGTCAGAGTGTGTCGCCAACCGATGGCGTCTAGTTCAACAGCCTGACTCTCTAATCATTCTTGAAATTAAAATTTGTTGAATGTCACCCCGGGCTGAAATCCTGGCTTCGCCCCTGATCCCACGGTGGCTAGGGAATGTTAACTACCTCGCCTGGTATACAGGAGGTCATGGGTTCGATCGCGACCCAGACGCCTGCTGCTGTATATTTTGAGTTTGCGTGTCTCTCTCTCTCCCCGCGGTCGCGTGGATTTTTTCCTCCGTGTCCTCCGGTTTTTCCCTCCACGTTCAGAATCGACATCACCGCGCGTTTACGGAGTATTTTGCCGTGATCAATTTCCCGCGTGACAATCATTGGCCGCTTGGTCGAGCTGCCACTTGTGAGGGCCCGGTCGGCTTCTGGGAAGGAGCTACACGGCTCAGTGGGGGCCCCATACCTGGTAAAATAAAAATAACAAAAAAAATAAATTAGTTGTAACGGTCGAGTTTAAAGTTTTATCCCCCCCGCTCCGTGTTTTTTGCGGTTGTCGTCACAGCTGGCCGTGCAGCCGTCTCACTTCACATCGACGGAGGGCGGAGACGGGGAGGGGGGGGCACGGGGGGGCCACGCGGTGCGCTACCGCGTGCCCTGGGAGCAGCGCGCCGTCGAGGGCGTGCGCAGCCTGGGGCCCGTGAGCGGCGCAACGGTAAAGAGACGACGGTCACACGGCGTTGTGTGTGTATGTGTGTGTGTATGCGTGTGTCTGGCAAAACAACCCCCTACCTTCTCGCGGTGCCGGACGGGCAACTCTGTCGTGGACAGTGCTGTGGGGGGAGATCCAATTTTGATTGGCTCCTCCCCTCATGGCATATGTGTCCACCACAGGGGCTAAACGGGGGCTCTGGACGGGTGCGAGGGGCTGGTAACCCCTCCACCTTCAATTAATTACCACGAAACCACGAATTAAACTGAAATATGTAACTAATAAGCTTGTGCCGGAGGCCCCGGGGGGCCAGGCGTCTATGACGTCTCCTGGCCAAACCCCAATTGGCGGAGCCAGGAGATTGAATACCTACCTTCGGGGCTACTCCAGAAACAACGAAAAGCCACTACGGGTGGCCACGTGGAATGTTCGAACGCTCACTGCAGAGGAGAGGCTGCCACTCCTCTGTCGGGAGCTGGACCGGTACCGCCTGGATCTATGCGGCATTCAGGAGGTCCGGTGGACCGGCTCTGGCTCCTGCCACCATGAGGGGTGGACAGTCCTCTACTCGGGGCAGCAGACTGCCAAACAACAGGGTGTGGGTCTTCTTTTGAACAAAAGAATGAAGGGGGCGTGGGAGCGTGGCGGTGAGGTGTGGGAAGCTGTAAGCCCCAGGCTACTTTGGGCTCGCCTTCCCATCAACCGGAGGCGAGGAATGGTGGTCGTGGTTACTTATGCCCCCACCGAAGATGAACATCCGTGGAGGGATGCAGCCAAAGCCGATGAGTCAGATGCCTTCTATGACCTCCTGTCACAGGTGCTGGCTAAAGTGGCCCCTCGGGATAGAGTCATCATGTTGGGTGACTTCAATGCCCGAGTTGGTCATGATACTGGCACCTGGTCTGGAGTGATTGGAGGGCATGGGCCAGATCAGCTCAATAACAACGGTAGGAGGCTGCTAGATTTTTGTGCAGCCCATGGGCTTGTAATTACCAACACGCTGTTCCGGCATCGGCGCATCCACACAACATCATGGATGCATGCCGGGTCCAAGCAAGAACATCTGCTGGACTACATAGTGACGGACCAGCGAATGCGAGCCCATGTCCTTGACACCAGGACCTACCGTGGAGCTGATCTGCCCTCTGACCATCGACTAGTCATCTGTAAGATGCGCCTGCCATTCTTCCACTCCGGTGGTGGGTGTACACCCAGGACCCCATTCCAACATAAAGTGGCCTGGTCTCAGTTATCTGATAAAAGTTGCAAGCGAGAATTTCATCATCGCTTGCGGCTGGGATTGGCATCGTCCCCGACTCCTCCTGATGTCGAGGGTAAATGGGCGAGGTTTAGGACTGTGACTCATGCAGCTGCAATCGCTGCTTTGGGTACGCGGTCCAGACCTCCCCAGAGACCCTGGCTGACAGAGGAGGTGTTCAGGATGGTTGAGAAAAAGCGACAGGCCCACTGTCATCGGCTACAGAATCCCACGTCAGAGAATGAGGAGGCTTACCGCAGCCTTCGCTCGGAGGTTCGGAGAGCCGTGAGGCGCTGCAAGGATGGGTGGTGGTCGCGGGTTGCTGAGGAGATGGAGTCTGCCTCAGTGGCCCGTGATCACAAATCTCTATTTAACTCCATCAAAAAAGTAACCTGCAGCACCACACCTATTACCATCATTAGGGGAAAAAACGGTGATCCAATCTCCGACCCCCAGGAACAGGTTCGCAGATTTGCTGAGCATTTCTGTGAGGTCCTGGGGGAGGGAAAATCCCTCAGCCAGAAAAACATCGTGGCACAAAGTGAGGATGACCCTGCTGAGGCTGCGGTGCCTCAAATATTGGAAGAAGTCACCCCCTGTGAGTGGCTGGCTGAGGTGCCATCTGCTGAGGAAGTATTGAAGGCGATCCGGAGTCTGAGACCAGGAAAGGCAGCGGGCAGAGATGATCTCCCAAGCGAAATGCTGAGGGAGGGTGGCGTTTGTGCACAGACTGCCCTATATGACATCATAACAACAGTCTGGACCACTTGACGGGTTCCGCAGGATTGGAAGGATGCCCTGGTGGTCCCCCTTTTTAAGAAGGGGGACCGCACAGACTGTAACAACTACAGGGGCATCTCACTCCTCAGTGTGCCGGGAAAGGTCCTGGCAAGGATTATTCAGCATCGCCTTGCCAGGCACGCTGAGGAGAGGCTTGCGGAGCCCCAATGCGGTTTCAGGAAAGGGCGGTCCTGCACAGATGCCATATTTTCTGTCCGTCTGCTACAGCAGAGGTGTAGGGAATTCCAACAAGACCTACATCTCTGCTTTATTGACCTGGTCAAGGCCTATGATACCATCAGTAGGCCTGGGCTCTGGGTCGTTCTTCGTGCTTTTGGAGTACCTGACCCTCTGCTCACGATCATTAAGGACCTTCATGATGGAGAGCGGGCCCGGGTAAAACTACGTGGCTGGGAGTCAGAGCCATTCCCTGTACACCTTGGGGTGCGACAGGGATGTCCTCTGGCTCCCACATTATTTAACATCTATTTTGACCACGTAGTTCGTGAAGCCTTCAATAGCTGTACCGGGGGAATCTCCATATGGTACAGATATAATGGGAGGCTAATCGATGCCCGGGTGCGGTCAAGGGATGGCTCCCTATTGCTCAACCACGTTATGTATGCTGATGATTTGGTAATAGCTGCTCAGTCAGAGGAGGAGTTGGAGACGCTGCTGCTGAGACTGGAGCGTGCCACTAAGAGGTGGGGCCTTACCATCAGCCCCACCAAAACTAAGCACCTGCCTGGGTATTTTGTACCATCGGACACTCCACCCCCACAACTCCCAATCGGTGATGGGGCAGTTGTGGAGAGAGTGGAGAGTTTCCCATACCTGGGCAGTGTGCTTATGACTGGCTCCAGTTTAACAGCAGAGGTCTCACTCCGAATCAGTCGAGCGGCAATATCTTTTCATCGGTTGCGTAACGCTGTGTGGAAGCTACCTGGTCTGTCGCTCCGCACAAAGCTTCAGGTCTTCTCGGCCACGGTCATTCCCTCCCTTCTCTACGCTTGCGAAACGTGGACACCCCTAATGGAACATCTTCGCCGGTTAGAAACATTTAGGCTGGCCTGCCTACGATCCATCCTGGGTTTAACCAGACTGGATTGTGTGAGGAGCTCACAAATCCTTGAAAGATCTGGGCAGGGTCCCATCGGTGAGCTCCTCCGGCAGGCAAGGCTGCGATGGCTGGGTCATGTAGCCCGCATGCCCAGCCACCGCATGCCGAAACAGCTTTTGTTTGGCCGGATTGAGGGGGCTAAGCGGGCGCGGCACGGGCTAGAGAAGAGATGGAGTGATGTGGTACAGGAGGACGTGGAGCTGAGTGGACTTGCCGATGACTGGTACCAGCGGTGTCAAGATCGGCCTCTGTGGAGGAGGCTCATGAAGGATGCTACTGGGCAGTTGGAGGCAGTCGCCCTCCAACAACAACGGAGGGCGGAGGAGCGACGCTCAGAACAACGAGCGGAGCGCCGGGTGGCTAAAGCACAGCAGGTTGGCACAGTAGGGGGCACAGGTGGTGCATCAGCCAGTCATCTCAGTGAGTCGACCCGTGGCACCTGGGTCTGCCCAGTGACCTCCTGCCAGCGGGCGTTCGACACTTCACGTGGCCTCACGGTGCACATAGCCTGGCACAAGCGTCGTGGTGACGTCACCGCCACTTAGTGGCGAATGGCGGTTGTTGTTGTTGTATGCGTGCGTGTGTTTGTGTATGAGTGTGTGTATGCGTGCGTGTGCTTGTGTTGTGGGGAGCGATAGAGTAGCGGTTAGCGCGCTGCGCTATGAACCTGACGACCCGGGTTCGATTCCCGCTCACGGCCAACACCAGTGACGATTATCTGAACCGGTCCCGGGCCTCCCATAGGTCGACTCAGCCTCAAATGAGTACCTGGTGCGGTGTGTAAACATTGCCACTAGGGAGACAAAGGCGGTCGGGCGTGGTGCTGGCCACCCACCCCCTCGTGTACCGTTCCGGCCTTCATAGGTGCTCGCTAACAGCACTTGCCCCTACAGTCTGTTAAGGCTACACGGGGGATCTTTGTGTGCTTTTGTGGGGAGCGGTAGTGTGGCAGTTCGCGCGCTGCGCTATGAACCTGTCGACCCGGGTTCGATTCCCGCTCACGGCCATCACTGGTGACGATTATCTAAACCAGTCCTGGGCCTCCCCTAGGTCGACTCCGCCTCAAATGAGTACTTTGTGCGGTGTGTAGTAAATATCGTCACTGGGGAGACAACGGCGGCTGGGCGTGGTGTTGGCCACCCACCCCCTCGTGTGCCGTGCCGGCCTTTATAGGTGCTCGCTAACAGCACTTGCCCCTATAGTCTGTTAAGGCTATACGGGGGATCTTTTTGTCTTTGTTAGTGTCTTAGGCTAGAGAAGACGTGGGCTGATGTGGGAGTGTCTGAGTGAGTGGCCGAGTGTGAGAGCGTGTGAGTGGCTCAGACTAGAGAAGACTTGGGCTGATGTCTGAGTGGCTGGATCAGTGGGTGAATGTGTGAGTGACTGGCTCAGGCTAGAGAAGAGTTGTAGCTGATATGGTAAGGTAAAGATGTGGAGCTGACTGGACCCACTGATGACTGGTACTGGGGCGTGATAAACTTACGGCTGTAAGAATGGCACAAATACCAGACGTACCAAATCATCATAATTATTGTTACGATGAGCCATGATCTCTTCGCTGCGTGACACGCGCATGTGTGTGTGTGTGCGTGTGTGTGCGTGCGTGTTCCAGGCACCGCGGTCGTCGCCTCCGCACGCCGTGCTCGTGTCCAGCAGCCTCGACTCGGCCGCCCTCTCCCTCCTGTGGGATGCCAACTCGCCGGGGGTCAGGGGTCACGCAGGGGGGCGGCAGGTACACCTACCCACAATGCACCCTCTTCTGTAGGTCAAGCGTAGGGGGCAGTACTGGGTTATTCCCAGGATGCACCTCTTGGTCTTCCCTGAAGAGGGGGCGACACTTGGGTTTTACCACAATGCACCTCTCGTTCCAGTCTTCATGTTTGTTTGTTGAACCTCTTTCAGCCAACCTTCAATGGAAAAAGGGGGCAGCACTTGCATTTTGTCCCACAATGCACCAGCTGTATGGATCAAGAGTGAAGGCGAGGCGGGATTAGGTGTTCAGAATCAGAATCTTAATTCATGCTGGAGGAATCCGATGAGCTACACAGCTCTTTTTGACAGATGTCCGGAGATGGTGGTGGTCGGGCGGTCAGCACTTGACATTGTCCCACAATGCACCTGTGTGTGCAGGTGATGAGGCTGCACCCCCGCGTCGCGCCCGTCAAAGTGGCGGTCGACCTGGGACGAGGCCCCACGGCGGAGCTCCGCGAGGTGGAGCCTGCACGCACGAGTGTGTGAACATGTGTGTGTGAACGTGTGTGAGCACGTGTGTGTATAAGAGTGTATGTGTGGACCCCCCTAATGGAACATCTTCACCGGTTAGAAACATTTAGGCTGGCCTGCCTACGATCCATCCTGGGTTTAACCAGACTGGATTGTGTGAGGAGCTCACAAATCCTTGAAAGATCTGGGCTGGGTCCCATCGGTGGGCTCCTCCGGCGGGCAAGGCTGCGATGGCTGGGTCATGTAGCCCGCATGCCCAGTCACCGCATGCCGAAACAGCTTTTGTTCGTCCGGATCGAGGGGGCTAAACGGGCGCGGCACGGGCTAGAGAAGAGATGGAGTGATGTGGTACAGGAGGACTTGGAGCTGAGTGGACTTGCCGATGACTGGTACCAGCGGTGTCAAGATCGGCCTCTGTGGAGGAGGCTCGTGAAGGACGCTACTGGGCAGTTGGAGGTAGTCGCCCTCCAACAACAACGGAGGGCGGAGGAGTGACGCTCACAACAACGAGTGGAGCGCCGGGTGGCTAAAGCACAGCGGGTTGGCACAGGTGGTGCATCAGCCAATCATCTCAGTCAGTCGACCCGTGGCACCTGGGTCTGCCCCGTGACCTCCTGCCAGCGGGCGTTCGACACTTCACGTGGCCTCAAGGTGCACATGTCCTGGCACAAGCGTCGTGGTGACGTCACCGCCACTTAGTGGCGAATGGTGGTTGTTGTGTGCGAGCGTGTGTGTCAGCATGTGTTTGTGAGGAGCTTAGACACATAGCCTGGCACAAGCGCCGTGGTGATGTCACCACCACTTGTTGGTGAATGGTGGTTGTTATTGTTGTGTGGGGAGCGGTGGTGTCGCGCTTAGCGCGCTGCGCTACGATCCCAGCGACCCGAGTTCGATTCCCGCTCACGGCCAACACCAGTAACGATTATTTGAACAGGTCTTGGACCTCCCTTAGGTCGACTCGGCCTCAATTTAGTACCAGGAGCGGTGTGTAAACATCACCACTGAGAAGACAAAAGCGGCCGGGCGTGGTGCTGGCCGCCTTCATAAGTGCTATTATATAGGATTTGTGGGTTGGATCGCGTAAATATAAATATGTCGTTAATCACGCCACCACCCGACACAACCAATTATTAAGGTTTGTCACGTAAACAAAACATGCCAATTCGTTTCGAGTTGGCACACCGGTTGTGCGTTGGTCGCGAAAGCCTACGTGTTCAACTGACTTCTACTCCCACGTAGAGCGAGTGAACCCTGCATTGCTCATGATGTTGCTTTTCCTGCTGCTGCTAATGTTTATGATGATGCTGCGAATGACGATGATGCCACTGCTGATGATGGTGATACTGCTGTTGCTACTACAGCTAACACTTCTCACTGAGGGGGGCGTGTTGATGTGATGATGTTGCTGATGCTGGTGTTCATGATGTTGATGATGCTGGTGTTGATATGTCGATGTTGATGATGACGATGATGCCGGTGTTGATGATGTTGATGTTAATGTTGTTGCTGATGATAATGATGCTGGTGTTGATGTTGATGCTGGTGTTGATGTTGGTGGTGTTGTTGCTGATGATGATAATGATGCTGGTGTTGATGTTGTTGATTTGTAGCTGTGCGAGGGACTGTGTGCTGAGCTGATCGCTGCTGGGGCCGTGGTTTGGCCCGGATACAGAGACACCCAGCAGAACACCCTGGAGCAGCTCTATAGCCGGTGAAGCACTCACACAGTACACATGCACACACGCAGTATACACACACACACACGCAGTATATACACACACACACACAGTATACACACACAGTACACATTCACAGTACACATGCACACAGTAGTTACAGAGACACCCTGCAGAGCAGCCTGGAGCAGCTCTATAGCCGGTGAAGCACTCACACGTACACAGTACCCACAGAGTACACACGCACATGCAGTACATACACGCAGTACACACACACACCGTGCACAGTACACACACACAGTACACACACAATACTGTTACCACTGCACTGCCACCCTGACGCTCGTTGCTGCTGTTGTGGATAATGACGGCAGTCCTCCTCCTCCCTCTGCTGCTACGGCTGCTACTGCTGCTGCTACTGCTGCTGCTACGGCTGCTGCTGCTGCTACTGATGCTGCTATTCCTGCTACTGCTTCGTTTGCTGTTACTGCTGCTGCTCTTCCTGCTACTGCTGCTGCTGTTTCTTCTTCTACTACTGCTGCTGCTACTGCTGCTGCTTCTCCTGCCACTGCTACCGATACTACTGCTGCTCCTTTTTGCTGCTACTGCTCCTTTTTGCTGCTACTGCTTCTGCTGTTGCTACTACTTTGTCTCCTGCTGCTGCAGCTACGACGAGATGGGGGTGCCACTGGTGGTGGTGGTGAGCGAGTCGACGCTGGAGTCGGGATCCATCCAGCTGCGGCACAGAGACACGAGCGTGCGCGAGACGGCGCATGTCAACACCATCACCCAGCTCGTCACCTCCCTCCTGCTGCTCCATCATCCGCATCATCGTCGTCACGGCGGCACGGGCGCCCCCCCTCTCAGCCACGCGGCGAGCACGGAGGGCACACCACTCGCCAAGGTGTGGCGCCACGCAGGGTGGTGGTGGAGGTGGTGGTGGTGGAGGTGGTGGAGTGGGGGAGCGGTAGTGTAGCGGTCAGCGTGCTGCGCTATGAACCCAGCGACCCGAGTTCGATTTCCGCTCTCGGCCAACACCAGTGATGATTATTTGAACCTCCCCTAGGTCGACTCGGCCTCAAATGAGTACCTGGTGCGGTGTGTTGTAAACATCGCCACTGGGGAGACAAAGGCAGCAGTGACCTGCGGTGAGGTCAATGGCTGGGGAGCCAGATTTACACGCACACATATGAACCCGATAGAGGTAGCTTACATTCACCATTCAATTGGCAGGTCGCAAGTCGCTCAACTGTTTTAAGAAACGTTTTACACTCAGGCATACATTTTTCTGAATGCGAGAGAGCACCAGGTTCAATTTGCGTGCATAACAATGGGTAAACGGGGCTTCAGGTACCTCTTGTTTAATCTTGGCCTGCACCCTCTGCCATCACAGAGGCTCCGTTGTAAGTCTGAGCTACCAGCTTTTCAACGCAATTGTATTTCCCCAACACTCCCAAAACATCATCAGCAATAGCCGGTGCTCGTCTGTCATCACTGACATCATCAAATCCCAAGAACGTCTCCCTCACCTCACAAGTCACCTCCCTTCTAGCCACACAACGCAACATTACAGAGACCTGGGCTTTGTTTGTGACATCCGTTGTCTCGTCTACTTCGACTGCAACAAATGAGGCTGCATTAATCTCCTCTTTGATATCATTTCTAATTACATCACCGACTGCTTTGGTTAACCGCTTCGATTAAAATAACTTTAACCGTTCAGATAGCTTACCGCCTTAGTGCTGCATGAAGATGCATGCCTACAAAGGGCAGTGTACTTGAATAGGGATTACCGTCGGTACTGCTATTTTTAATACACAATAGACAGGAAGGACAAGTTCAAAGGGCTCGCGTAATGCCCACTTGGCACAAGAGCGCAGAAGCGTGGTCACCACATCTACGCCTCTACATAAGGAACGACACAGTTCGACTTCTCCACAAATCTGGCTGTCGCCTGATGAAGCTTGTTGTAATTACTGGCGAAACGTCGTACTCAGTTTGTAAATGTTTTGGCTTGGCTCTCCAATACACCGGCGTGCTGTGCTAGTGACGAATTGGGCACGTTCTGTTTACGTGACAATCCTTACTAGTTGGCTGTGTCGGGTGGTGGCGGGTTTGAACGACACATTTATATATTTACGCGATCCAACCCAAAAAGCCTCTATTATGGATGCTTCGATTAAATCGTTCAGTATTCTGTTTGATAAGCCAGAAAACACAGTGTATGTCTCCATATGTCTAGCTAACTTTTCATCTTTCTCAGCAATAGCATGTAATAGCTCCTCATAGTTCCCACGATTAGAAGAGCTTGCACCTCTTATCGTTACCACGAAATGCTAATTCCAGCTTGGCTAGGAAGCAGGTCGCATTAATAAGGTCTTTTAAAATCTCATGGTTTTCCTTTACCTTAGCATTGTGGATGTTGATATTTAATTTCCGCTGTTCATTCAAAGCCAGATCTATCCTTGAAGTTCCAAAAGTTTTAAAAGCAATTTGGCTTTGAATGCGAGTTGTCGATTTTTCATGTCTGTTGAGCCTCCGTGGTAGATTTTTCAAGTCACAAAATCCCGCGTTAGTCCCAGCGTTGTCGGTAGTGGAGAACAGAAGGCAGGGGAAGCAGTGAAGGCGATTCACTTCGTAGCACAGTTGGTACCACTCCATTTGAAACGGCCGTGACATTTTCTGTCCTTTTGTTTAAAGTAGGTCCTTAAGCTCAGGCATTGGTCTTCCATTGGTTATCACTCCCTGTTTTGATTGAAAGTCCAATTTGAAGACATTTTTTAAGGTTAGATATAACGTTTTCCATTTTTGCAGCCGCTGGAATTTTAATGCTAGAGCTGGCTAACGTGGAGGGAGAGCGAGCGTAAATTACATGGGCACAAGACACGCCCCCCTCAGTGAGGCAGATGTGATAGCTGCCTCACTGAGGGGGGCGTGTCAGACACGCCTCCCTCAGTGAGGCAGATGTGATAGCTGCCTCCCCTGGTGCATTTTCATTGCAGTTTCATGACGAGACCAGTGAGCCTTAATATCTTTATACATATGCGTGAAATAAGTTACCCGGAGTATGAAAGGCGAGGATATGTAATGAAGGGGTCTACAAACATTACATTGGTGACATACTGAGATAGTAACAGGCACGTGCCTATTGCCCGCACTCCATCCAGTTACTTAGGGGTTGCACAATCAGAGGGGAGGCTGAGCTCGTCGCTGCCTCACCTCTCGTCTCTTCCTGTATTTGCAGCGGAGCTCCGCAAATTTGGCGATTTTTACTCTAAAAATGATTGGAATCATGCAAAAATGACATAACACAGATCAGTGTAAAAATCTTAATATTAATTTAATTTTTTACAGCTATTTTCATTGGAGTATGACAAATGAGGCTCTGCCTCCCCTGACCTCACGTGACTGAAAGGCGGTCGGGCGTGGTGCTGGCCACCCACCCCCTCGTGTACCGTTCCGGCCTTCGTAGGTGCTCACTAAAAGCACTTTCCCCAAAAGTCTGCTCAGGCTATATGGGGGATCTCTGTCTTTGTTTGGTGGAGGTGGTAGTGGTGTTGCTGGTGGTCGTGGTGGAGGTGGTGTTGGTGGTGGAGGTAGTGTTGGTAGTTGTGGAGGTGGTGGTGGTAGTGGTGGTGGTGGACGTTGTGGTGGAGCTGTAGTTCAACAGATAGCGCGATATGAACCCATGTGCCATGTCGGCCTTCATACGTGCTGCTCGCTAACAGCACTTGGCCCAACAGTCTGTTAAGGCTATACAGGGGATCTTTGGTGGAGGTGGTGCAGGTGTTGGTGGTGATGGAGGTCGTGTTTGTGTTGTTGATGCTGATGGTGTTGATGGTGATTGTGGTGATGACAGTGTGATTGGTCGTGTTGATGATGGCGGTGGTTGATGGTGGTGATGATGTTGATGGTGATGGTGTTGGTGGTAATCTTGCTGCTGATGCTGTGAATTATGATGACGACGGTAATGAAGATATCAATTCTGGTGATGCTGCTGCTTACTGCCTCTCATGTATAACATTTAAAACCTCTTCTTTATACAGGACCCGTGACCTCCCAAGAGACAGTGTCAAGGTCAAGAGGTCATCATGGTCTCGCCACCCACCGCCATCGCACCCTTCCTCTGCCTATATTTTTTAATTATCAACACCCAACTTCAAGAATCGCTCTTACAGTTTCGTCATCATTATCCCCATCATCACTGACATCATCACCATCGTCATCATCTCACCATCGTCATTATCTTCATCATTACCGACATGATCACCCTCATCATCATCCTTACCATCATCATCCCCATCATAAAAAAAAGATATAGGGTGCTAACTTTAGTAATTAATGTGAAGAACCAATGGCGTCTACATCTGCAGAACGTGAAGAATCAGTGACATCTGCATAACACGAAGAAGCAGTGACCTCTACATCTGCAGAACATGAAGAACCAGTGGCATCTACATCTTCAGGAGATTATACAACTTTTGTGTACACGCCATACAACATATTTGGAATTGACAGGAGTAAAGTTGGACTTATGAACAAATCGACTTTCGAACACACACGTGCAACCTAACTCGTTCATAGGCTGTGGAACGATCTTCGACGAGATATCAGGGATCTCGAGTCTGAACATTTAAAAAATGCGCCTTAAAACCTATTTGTACGCTTCCACTTATCCAATTTTTTGTTCATTTAGTAAATATATTTTTTTAAATGTATTTATATTTTCATGCTGAGCATCTGCTGTTGCTGTGACCTATACAACGCTTTTTAGATCTTTGATGAAAAGCCGCTTAAGTTCTATGATTATTGTGCTTGCCGGAACGCTCATAAACAAGTACAAATTAACGTTAACGAGCCTCGTCGCGCACGCCGATTGGTTGCAGTGCGTGACGTCACCGCGACCAAGTAGCCAACCAGAGGGGCAGAATGTTAACAGGGAAAAGTTCCCCTAGCGTATTGTATGAGAATTAAATCACCGCGAGTAATTTAAAACCAGTGCAGGGCTCGAGTGCCATCAAGCTGGGCGGGTGCAGAGGGTACATTTTTTTTCCCCTTCAGATGATAAAAGTCAGACGCAGTCGCTAACAACGATTTGTATTTATTAAGCATCGAGGTGGCGGCCGCATCTCTCGACCAGGGTCGAGCTTGGCCAACCGCAGCCAGGGAGGGTGGGCAGAGACAAGCGGAGAGAGTAGTCGGAGACACAAGCGGAGAGAGTAGCCAGAGAGACAAGCGGAGAGAGTAGCCAGAGACACAAGCGGAGAGAGTAGTCGGAGACACAAGCGGAGAGAGTAGCCGGAGACACAAGCGGAGAGAGTAATAAGAGACAAGCAGAGAGAGTTGCCAGAGACACAAGCGGAGATAAGCGGAGTAGCCGGAGACAAGTGGAGAGTGTAGCTGGAGACAAGCGGAGAGAGTAGTCGGAGACACAAGCAGAGAGAGTAATAAGAGACAAGCAGAGAGAGTTGCCAGAGACACAAGCGGAGACAAGCGGAGTAGCCGGAGACAAGTGGAGAGTGTAGCTGGAGACAAGCGGAGAGGGTAGTCGGAGGCACAAGCGGAGACAAGCAGAGAGAATAGCCGGAGACACAAGCGGAGAGAGTAGCTGGAGACACAAGCAGAGACAAGTGGAGAGAGTAGCCGGAGACACAGGCGGAGAGAGTAGTCAGAGACACAAGCGGAAAGAGTAGCTGGAGACACAAGCAGAGACAAGTGGAGAGAGTAGCCGGAGACACAGGCGGAGACAAGCGGAGAGAGTAGCCGGAGACACAAGCGGAAAGAGTAGCCGGAGACACAGGCGGAGACAAGCGGAGAGAGTAGCCGGAGAAACAGGCGGAGACAAGTGGAGAGAGTAATAAGAGACACAAGTGGAGAGAGTAGCCAGAGACAAGCGGAGACAAGCAGAGAGAATAGCCGGAGACACAAGTGGAGAGTAGCCGGAGACACAAGCGGAGTAGCCAGACACAAGCGGAGAGAGTAGCTGGAGACAGGCGGAGACAAGCGGAGCGCGTGGCTTCACGCGACCCCTTCACTTGAGCACATGGAGCGAGCATCTTCACCATAACAACAACGAGCTGCAGCTTCCACTCCTCCCTTAAAACACCCCCCCCACCCCTCCATATCTTCTCCCCTAGCCCAGCATCACCATCATCGGCATCCTGCTACTATTACTCCCTGCCCCAGTCCCCCATCTACGATCATGGCTACCCAAACCCCGGTCACTACCACAACCCGTACCCCAACCCCTATCACTACCACAATCCCTACCCCAACCCCTATCACTACCACAACCCCTACCCCTATCACTACCCCAACCCCTATCACGACCACAAGCCCTACCACTACCACAAGCCCTACCACTACCCCTGTCACAACTCTACTACCTACCCCGATCACTACCCCTCCTTAACTACTCCCACCTGTTCTCCAGACAAATTAACTACACCACTTTTAATAATTATAATGACCAAACAGTTATATCAATCACGATCATTGTACCTAAAATTTTGTTCCAACTATTTATCATCGTTAAATTTGTCGCGGCAACAAGAACCCTTGCTCCTGCTCGCAAAACTGCGACGGACGAACTCTGCTTCTCCATGCCGATTGGTGGCCGATCCAAACCCCACCCCCCCGGGCAGGACGGTCGTCATCCCCCACCCTTGGCCCTTCACCGATTTGCCCTCGGTGCTCGCGGGTCGGGCAAACGGCCGCTTATGCCCCGGGGCCCGCGGCGACTCGTTCGGTTCGGCGTTCCAGCTGACTTGGGGGTGAGCAGGCGAGCTGTGGAGTGATGCGACGTTGAGAGGTGCCGCACTCAAGTGCCGCGTCTCTATTTGACTGGCGCGGAGGAGGCTTTAGAACCGATCGGTGGGATAATCGATCGCTTAACCCGACCACGCCAGGAGAGGCGCCTTCGAACCGACGATCCAACCGGCAGGGCTTGCCGGCTACCTAACCGGCCGGACATCCCCACCCTCCGCTGCCGCTGCCCGTGTCTAGTCGTACCCGTCTGACGAGGAGGGGCTGTCATCCAGCAGTGGCATGTTGGCCAGCGTCTTCCCCGCGCCGCGGTGCACGGACATCTGGAGCCTCCCCCCGGACCTCTCGATGAGCTTGCGAGCGTCGCCCAGCGACATGTTGTCGGTGGCCGTGCCGTTGATCTTCAGCACCACGTCGCCTTCCCGAACGCTGCCGTCCCGGGCGGCCGCCCCTTCGCCGCCAATGCCCTTCACGTAGATCTTGCTGCCCAGGCTCAGGCCGTAGCCCCCAGAGCGATTGCCCTTCGCCAGCGTGACCGTGACGAGGCGTGTCCGGCGCACGGGAGACGTCGAGTCCAGGTCCCCCGCCGATCGGCCGAGGCCCCGGTTGTAGGCGCGCCCGCGGTCCGGGCTCCGCTCTGTGCCTCCGTCGGGGCCACGGTCCCGGCCGCCCCCGACGCCGCTGCGCCCTTGGCTCCGATCCCCGCCCCTCCACCCCGCGATTTGGTCCAAACCGCCATCCCAGCTGCGGCTGAGGTCGCGGTCCAGGCCGCGGTCCCAGCTGCGGCTGAGGTCGCGGTCCAGGCTCGCCTCCCTACCCCGGTCCAGGTCGCGGTCCAGGCCGCGGTCCCAGCTGCGTCCGAGCCGGCCGCCACCGCAGACCGGACCGCCGTCGGCGCTCCGGTCTCCTCTCCGCTCTGCGCCGCTCCGGCCCGCGCCGACCTGCCGGCCGCGCCGCTCCTCGGCCTCGTCGCCGAAGTCGGGGTGGACGGCCACGATCCGGCTCGCGTCGTCGCAGTCGTCCTCGTCGTCGTCGTCGTCGCCGCCGTACGGCCGTCGGCAGGCGGCGGCCGCGAGGCGCGAGCCGCCGGCCCGCCGCAGCACGACGACGCGCGCCGTCGCGGGGCTCCGGCGGAGCAGCTGGAGCGCGTGGGCGTGCTCGGCGTTTTCCACGCTCGTGCCGTTCACCGCCACGACGCGGTCGAGGCGCCGCAGGAGGCCGTCGGCTGGGCCCCCCCGCAGGACGTCGGACACCACGACGGAAGCCTCGCCGCTTGGGAAGTACGGGTTGTCGCGGCCGCCCGACACCGCGATGCCGAAGCCGGCACCGGGCGCCCTGGTCAGGGTCACCGTGTACTGCTCCCACCCGTCGCCGTCCGCCATGGCCGCACGCGTCGGGGGAGGGCGACGGCGCTGGGAAGGAAAAGTGCGCAAGGGGGCAGCCGTCGGTTGGTCGGTCGGTTCCGCTGTGGGGGGCCGCGTTGCTGGGCCTCCCACAGCGGTTGACAACCACAACGGGGGTCTCCGGTGTAGGGAGTTGATAGCCTCGGCACCAATGACTCGCACAGACACCCGTAAGACTCGCTCACATAGAGACGCATAGACTCACATAGAGACCCAAAGACTCGCATAGACAACCATAGACTCACATAAAGACCCATAGACTAGCATAGAGTCCCGTAGACTCGCATAAAGACCCATAGAGACCCATAGACTCGCATAGAGACCCATAGACTCACAGAAGACCTGTAGATTAGCATAGAGACCCGTAGACTCACATAGAGACCCATAGACTCGCATAGAGACCCATAGACTAGCATAGAGACCCATAGACTCACATAGGGACCCATAGACTCCCATAGAGACCCATAGACTCCCATAGAGACCCGTAGACTCACATAGAGACCCATAAACTCCCATAGAGACCCATAGACTCGCATAGAGACCCATAGACTCCCATAGAAACCCATAAACTCACATAAAGACCCATAGACTAGCATAGAGACCCATAGACTCACATAGAGACCCATAGAGAACCATAGACTCACATAGAGACCCATAGACTAGCATAGAGACCAATAGACTCACATAGAGACCCATAGACTCACATAGAGACCAATAGACTCACATAGAGACCCATAGACTAGCATAGAGACCCGTAGACTCACATAGAGACCCATAGACTCCCATAGAGACCCATAGACTCGCATAGAGACCCATAGACTCCGATAGAGACCCATAAACTAACATAAAGACCCATAGACTAGCATAGAGACCCATAGACTCACATAGAGACCCATATACTCACATAGAGACCCATAGACTAGCATAGAGACCAATAGACACATAGAGACCCATAGACTCCCATAGATTCACATAGAGACCAATAGACTCACAAAGAGATCTGTCGACTCACATAGAGACCCGTCGTCGTACAGAGACCCGTAGAATCGCATAAAGACCTATAGGCTCGCATACAGACCCATACGCTCACATAGACTCGCATAGAGACCCATAGACTCCCATAGAGACCCATAGACTCCCATAGAGACCCGTAGACTCACATAGAGACCCATAAACTCCCATAGAAACCCATAGACTCGCATAGAGACCCATAGACTCCCATAGAAACCCATAAACTCACATAAAGACCCATAGACTAGCATAGAGACCCATAGACTCACATAGAGACCCATAGAGAACCATAGACTCACATAGAGACCCATAGACTAGCATAGAGACCAATAGACTCACATAGAGACCCATAGACTCACATAGAGACCAATAGACTCACATAGAGACCCATAGACTAGCATAGAGACCCGTAGACTCACATAGAGACCCATAGACTCCCATAGAGACCCATAGACTCGCATAGAGACCCATAGACTCCGATAGAGACCCATACACTAACATAAAGACCCATAGACTAGCATAGAGACCCATAGACTCACATAGAGACCCATATACTCACATAGAGACCCATAGACTAGCATAGAGACCAATAGACACATAGAGACCCATAGACTCCCATAGATTCACATAGAGACCAATAGACTCACAAAGAGATCTGTCGACTCACATAGAGACCCGTCGTCGTACAGAGACCCGTAGAATCGCATAAAGACCTATAGGCTCGCATACAGACCCATACGCTCACATAGACTCGCATAGAGACCCATAGACTCACATAGAGATCCATAGACTCGCATAGAGAACCCCTCGACTCACATAGAGACCCATAGACTCACATAGAGATCCATAGACTCGCATAGAGACCCATAGACTCACATAGAGACCCATAGAGTCACATAGAGACCCATAGACTCACATAGAGGCCCATAGACTCACATAGAGACCCGTAGACTCACACGGACTGGCATAGAGACCCATAGACTCACATAGAGATCCACAGACTCACATAGAGACCCATAGACTCACATAGAGACCCGTAGAATCGCATAAAGACCCATAGACTCGCATAGAGAACCCCTCGACTCACATAGAGACCCATAGACTCACATAGAGATCCATAGACTCGCATAGAGACCCAAAGACTCGCATAGACACCCATAGACTCACATAAAGACCCATAGACTAGCATAGAGTCCCGTAGACTCGCATAAAGACCCATAGAGACCCATAGACTCGTATAGAGACCCATAGACTCGCAGAAGACCTGTAGATTAGCATAGAGACCCGTAGACTCACATAGAGACCCATAGACTCGCATAGAGACCCATAGACTAGCATAGAGACCCATAGACTCACATAGGGACCCATAGACTCCCATAGAGACCCATAGACTCCCATAGAGACCCATAGACTCACACAGAGACCCATAGACTCCCATAGAGACCCATAGACTCCCATAGAGACCCATAGACTCACACAGAGATCCATAGACTAACATAGAGGCCCGTAGGCTCACATAGAGACCCATAGACTCGCATAGAGGCCCATAGACTCCCATAGAGACCCATAGACTAGCATAGAGACCCGTAGACTCACATAGAGACCCATAGACTCGCATAGAGACCCATAGACTAGCATAGAGACCCATAAACTCACATAGGGACCGATAGACTCCCATAGAGACCCATAGACTCCCATAGAGACCCATAGACTCACACAGAGACCCATAGACTCCCATAGAGACCCATAGACTCCCATAGAGACCCATAGACTCACACAGAGATCCATAGACTAACATAGAGGCCCGTAGGCTCACATAGAGACCCATAGACTCGCATAGAGGCCCATAGACTCCCATAGAGACCCATAGACTAGCATAGAGACCCGTAGACTCACATAGAGACCCATAAACTCCCATATAGACCCATAGACTCGCATAGAGACCCATAGACTCCCATAGAAACCCATAAACTCACATAAAGACCCATAGACTAGCATAGAGACCCATAGACTCACATAGAGACCCATAGAGAACCATAGACTCGCATAGAGACCCATAGATTAGCATAGAGACCAATAGACTCACATAGAGACCCATAGACTCACATAGAGACCAATATACTCACATAGAGACCCATAGACTAGCATAGAGACCCGTAGACTCACATAGAGACCCATAGACTCCCATAGAGACCCATAGACTCGCATAGAGACCCATAGACTCCGATAGAGACCCATAAACTAACATAAAGACCCATAGACTAGCATAGAGACCCATAGACTCACAGAGACCCATAGACTCACATAGAGACCCATAGACTAGCATAGAGACCAATAGACACATAGAGACCCATAGACTCCCATAGATTCACATAGAGACCAATAGACTCACAAAGAGATCTGTCGACTCACATAGAGACCCGTCGTCGTACAGAGACCCGTAGAATCGCATAAAGACCTATAGGCTCGCATACAGACCCATACGCTCACATAGACTCGCATAGAGACCCATAGACTCACATAGAGATACATAGACTCGCATAGAGAACCCCTCGACTCACATAGAGACCCATTGACTCACATAGAGATCCATAGACTCGCATAGAGACCCATAGACTCACATAGAGACCCATAGACTCACATAGAGACCCGTAGAATCGCATAAAGACCCATAGACTCGCATAGAGACCCATAGACTCACATAGAGACCCATAGACTCGCATAGAGAACCCCTCGACTCACATAGAGACCCATAGACTCACATAGAGATCGATAGACTCGCATAGAGACCCATAGACTCACATAGAGACCCATAGAGTCACATAGAGACACATAGACTCACATAGAGACTCATAGACTCACATAGAGACCCCCATAGACTCACATAGAGATCCATAGACTCGCATAGATGCCCATAGACTCCCATAGAGACCCATAGACTAGCATAGAGACCTGTAGACTCTCATAGAGACCCATAAACTCCCATAGAGACCCATAGACTCGCATAGAGACCCATAGACTCCCATAGAAACCCATAAACTCACATAAAGACCCATAGACTAGCATAGAGATCCATAGACTCACATAGAGACCCATAGAGAACCATAGACTCACATAGAGACCCATAGACTAGCATAGAGACCAATAGACTCACATAGAGACCCATAGACTCACATAGAGACCAATAGACTCACATAGAGACCCATAGACTAGCATAGAGACCCGTAGACTCACATAGAGACCCATAGACTCCCATAGAGACCCATAGACTCGCATAGAGACCCATAGACTCCGATAGAGACCCATAAACTCACATAAAGACCCATAGACTAGCATAGAGACCCATAGACTCACATAGAGACCCATAGAGACCCATAGACTCACATAGAGATCCATAGACTCGCATAGAGAACCCCTCGACTCACATAGAGGCCCATTGACTCACATAGAGATCCATAGACTCGCATAGAGACCCATAGACTCACATAGAGACCCATAGAGTCACATAGAGACCCATAGACTCACATAGAGACCCATAGACTCACATAGAGACCCGTAGACTCACACGGACTGGCATAGAGACCCATAGACTCACATAGAGATCCATAGACTCACATAGAGACCCATAGACTCACATAGAGACCCGTAGAATCGCATAAAGACCCATAGACTCGCATAGAGACCCATAGACTCACATAGAGACCCATAGACTCGCATAGAGAACCCCTCGACTCACATAGAGACCCATAGACTCACATAGAGATCCATAGACTCGCATAGAGACCCATAGACTCACATAGAGACCCATAGAGTCACATAGAGACCCATAGACTCACATAGAGACCCATAGACTCACATAGAGACCCATAGACTCACATAGAGACCCATAGACTCACATAGAGACCCATAGACTCACATAGAGACCCGTAGAATCGCATAAAGACCCATAGACTCGCATAGAGACCCAT